TAGACTATATCTGATTGATTTTCTCCTCTTCATATTCAGATAATTCTGAATTTAGTCATTTTCTTGTAGCTGCTTGAGTTTCTGATAGAAAGTCTATTAAGTATTTAATTCCTGTCTCAGTTGAGAATAAGAATCTCATATTTAATTGATTTAGATTATACTTCTCTTTCAATCTGACTCTGAGACTATTGTATAATGCACAGTGCATTATAATATACTCAGAATTCTCATTTGTATTGCAGAATGAGCATTCTATTGAGTCAAATCTATCATCAAATCTTTGTATATAAGATTTGAAATAGTCATGTTCTAGTTTCAGCTGTATTATAGATGAGAATATTTTCTTTTTACATTTAATTGAACAAGATTTCCACTTGAGTTTTATTTCAAATCTTGAATAATGTATACTCTTCTTTTATTTCTATCAGCTTTCATTTCACTTGTCTAAACAAGATTCTTTTATTTTTCTCTTTATAAAAGATCAGAACATAATTTTTTGAATAGATCTGCTTAATTCTGCACTCTTTTTTACAGCTGAATCAGTCAATTCATTATCATGAATATTCATATAAGCAGGAACTCAGTGTAGATGAATTCTCAGCTTTGATATTCTTCTCTTTTGAATTTTTAAAACAGAGTTTAAGATCAGTTCAAGATTCATTTAATCATTATAAATCTGACTATTTCTAAGTCTTTTTAAAGCAGCTTGACTATCAGAGAATATTCATGTCTCTTTCAAACAATTTCCTCTTTTATAAGATTTTATTTCAATGAGTTTGAAAGCTTTCACTATTACAAATAGTTCAGCATCAAAGACTTCACATTCAGAGCCTAGATTTCAGAAATCTGAGATAAAATTAATATTATCTTCAGTATAAGCAATGTCTGTGTCTAATCTTTTCAAGTTCTTATTTTTTAAGTCATCTGAATAAATCAGAATAGAGTCTTTTATATTGATTGTAGAAATTCTCTTCAAATACTGTTCATATTCTTTCTCTTTTGATAGTTCACTTATTTGTAAGTCTATAAGAGATTCAAGCTTTTTTCTTCAGAGAGATAACTTCTCATGATCAACTTTTTCAACATTTAAAGAAGAAAATTGATTTTTAATCAGAGAGTATAGTTTGTACAGTTGAGAAGGCATTTTCTTTGAAGAATTATTTTCATTTCAATCAAGAAATCTATTCCAATCCAGTTCATTTTCAGAGTTAATTAATGAAAATGAAGAAGAGACTCTTTCTCTGATTATATGATTTAAGCTCATCTTTACAACTCTCAGAGTATAGTTTATACAGGCCTTTTCAAATCTAATAGCAGGAGAAGGAATTGAAGCTTCAATTTCCATTACTTTAATAGAAGATGATTTGAATGCTCTCAGAATTCTTCTCAAGACTCTGTTTTGCAGACTTTGAAAGAGTTCAGTGAAATTTCCTTGATTATTTCATCAAACTTAAACTTCATAATCAGCTACTGATGTAATACAGGCTATATATAACTGTCTCATAGCCTGGAAGAATAGACTCCTCTCTGTATTTGATAGTCTGATTATGTTATTCAATAGTCTTTCTGCCTTGACAGTTCTTTGTTGAATGTGATATTTAAAATTCAACTTGAAGTTTAATCATACTTCTAATCATTTGACATTTACACTGAGTTTAATCTCTCTATTTAAAAGAGTTAGAGATAGTTCTTTCTCATTGAATCTAGAAAAGAAATGAATTAACTCAGTTTTATTCATATCAAATTAAATTTGATTAATATCTGCTCTAACAAAGATTTTCTTTGCAGCTTCTTCAATTACTTTCAAATTTTCTTTGATAGTTTTTGAGCTGTAGACTAGACTAATATCATTCATATAACTCAGAGATCACACTATTCTCATATTTCTATTTTTGAATAGATATGCAGTGTATATTATAAATAAAATGAGTGAGATTGAAGATCTCTGTGATACTTCTATTTTTATCTCAGTCTTGTCTTATTTCATTTCATCAAAGAAGAGTTATATAATTCTTTTAGATATAAAACAGTTAACTTATTTTATTAGAGAAAGTGACAGTTTTAATATCTTCAATATCTGAATTAACTTTGACTTTGAAACATGATTAAATGCTTCTTTTATATCAATAAAAACTACAGTTGAGACCAGACTCTCATGCTTTGCTATTTGAATATCATGAACAACTGAGAGAACAGTGTTAATTACAGAACACTGTTTTCTATCTCTCATTTATTCACTGAATAAAAGAGAATCATCTATAGAGCTTATAAAAGATAGTTAAGTAGCTATTATCTTTTCTAAAACCTTTTCTAGGCAGTTCAATAGAGATATTACTCTATATAACTTAGAAATTGAAGTTTTTCTATTAGGTTTTATAAGAATCACTTCAGTGGCTTCTCTTCAGCATTCAGAATGATATTCATTTTTCAAGAGATTGAAAAAGAGCTCAAAATATTCATTCTTTAAGTAAGAATATGTATTTTGAATAATCAAGTGATTAATTGAATCAGAACCTGCAGCAGTTTTAACAGAACTTGAGAAGATAGCTGACTCTAATTCATCTTGTGTAAGATCAGGTCATTTTCAGTCATTTTCATCAATGTAGTTGAGAAGTGATATATTCTCTTTCTCTGAATCTGAATCTGAATCTGATGAGTTCTGAAAGAGAATTCTTATAAAAGCTTAACATTTTTTCTCAAAAGAGTTTGCTGTATATAATTTATTCTGAAACTCATATTCTAAGACTGAAAGTTTTGCTACACTTCTTGTTTTAGTATAGTTAAAAGCTTTAAAAACTCTCTTCTCTTATGCTTCTTCAAGAAATTTATTTCAGCAGTCTGTTTTAGCTCTTTTAATATCTGAAAAATATTCATTTCTGACAGCTTTGAACTCTTCATCAGATATTACATCATTCTTTCAATCTCTTCTAGCAGTAGCTAATTCTTTTCTTTTAGATGAGATATTCTCATTTCATCAAGATTTTGAATACTCAGAAGATTTTCTTTTTGAAATATTATCTCTAATACTTGTTAGAATAATAGATGTAATAAGCTTCACTCTATTCTCAAGCATTTCATTTGAGATATCTTGATCAGAATTTCAATATAGCTCATTCTATCTTTCAGATTTTAACAGTTTTATACTTTCTTCAACTGCTTTTCAATCAGCTTTTTCAAAGTTATACTGATTAGAGAGAAGAGAATTTTCACTCATTTATTTTTCACTCAGTTCAATATTAAATTGAATAATCTCATGATCTGATTCTGATATCTCATTTGAATTAATAAATCAATTTACAAGTCTTCTTTTCATTAGATTTTATGATATGAAGATTAGATCTATAATAGACTTCTGTTTCATATCTTTTCTAAAGAATGTTTGTTAATCAGACTTATTAACTAAATCTATTGAATACTCAAAGATTCATTCAATCAGATTATCAGCTCTCACTGCTCTCTTGCATTCTGAATTTCATCAGAGATGATGTGCATTGAAATCTTCTACAATTATAGAGTTTCTTGATGAAGTTATGTTCAGAAATCCTCTATCAATTATTCAGATATTGTTATTTTTCTTCAATGACTTTTCATTATAGATATTTATAAGCTGTATAGTATCAAACTCATTTTCTTTATCTATAATATCACTCATCAGAATATCAGAGTCAGACATGATATCAAATCTTAAATTAAATTAATATCTTGATCTCTTTCTTTCATAGATTACTACTCTTGACTTTATCTCAGACTTTTGAGGTAAAAAGCAGTAGTAACTTGAATGAGAAATGACATATTTTTACTCAGCATCAAAATTCAGCTTCTGAAGTAGTATAAAATCAACTTTTTATTCAAATGCAATTTGAAGATAAGAATAAATATAATTTGAGTTTCTATTCACATTATTTTGAATAAATGTGATTTTTGAAGAGTTTTTAAACTTTTTTTGTTGTTTTTGTTGTATATTCATACTAAAAGAGAGTAGAGTAGAATCTAATCACTATCATTAGATAGTAGATTATAACTGTTCTGAAAAGTAGAAATCTCAACTGCTTGCATTATATCTAGTTTATTATCAGAGTCATTTCTCAATTCTCTAATCTTAACAGAAGTTTGAAAATTCAAATTCTGTTTACATTTAGCTGAAGAATTGAAGTTTGAAGACTTAGATAGTTAAGAGTTTCTTCTTTTTAAGCTTGCAGTTGTGAGTTTTCTGACTTGACTCTTCTCTTCAGTTCTAGATTGACTTTGAGCTTCATCTTTTCTTCAGTTCTTTTGAGTTCTAGAAGCAAACAATATAATAATATAGTGAATCAGTGAATTTTGCATGTATTTCTTGATTTTTACAGTTATTACTGTACAGATGCCTTTCCTAATAAGAAAATCAGAATCTGATTGATGTAATTAATTATTATTGCATTTTTGAAAGATTTGAGGATAGAGGAGGCCTCAGGTGGCGGCTTATTATAGGTCACAGTGTAGCAAGAGTAGACTGATCATGTGACTGTGTCTGAGACCAGAACTAGATTTTTTAATAGTCTTATTATCAATTCAACTGATCTCATTACATGATTTTAATATTAGATAGTAGTCTTATACTGTCTCAGTGAGACTTACTGTCTACTCTTATCACATTTTTCAAATGAGATTATGATTTTCACTTCTCAATTTAAATTATTTTTATTACTTTAAATGACTTTAAATCTCATTTAAGTGTTATCAAAAAACATTACTTTTTAAAAAATTAAAAATAGTCTAAAAAAAACCTTAAAATGTCTAAAAATAGTAACTTTATGCCAAGAATGAGACTAAATGGGACTAAATGAGACCACTTTCTCATTTTTTTCAAGTCATGGTTTCATTTTAAGATCTGATATATAGTCACTTTACCTGTTTTTTTGATAGCCAGTCCCAGCGGGATTCACGCCAAGAAATGTATGGGACCAGACCAAATGAGACCAAACGTGAAATTCATGGTCCCAGCGGCCAGTCTAAGCAAGGGGGGGTGTTGGTGATTACTACACCTACCCTAGTCACGTGCCACCCCAACCTATTCATTTAGTGTAACTCGCGTAGTTAGATTACAACACAACAACGTTATCCTCCAAGACCCTAACCCATGACTCACACACACATATATATGTATATTAGTTGCTATCCTCCGTACATCCTCCTACATCCTCCTCCTACGCTCCCTGTTTCTTCACGGCACGTCATTTCCACAAGGCAAAGAGATTTTTTTCCTCCTGGCACAACGCAGCCATCAGATCATCCAACATGGCCTCTAATAAGTGCGATCGTGCGGAATTGCAGCGTCCACTGGCTGAAGCAATACGGGCACGACTGGAAGCTAAACAAGAACGACTGAAAGCTCAACGAGCACGACTGAAAGCTCAACGAGCACGACTGAAAGCTAAACAAGCACGACTGAAAGCTAAACAAGAAAGACTGAAAGCTGAACAAAAGTACGCCGAAGAAAAGGAGCGAGTCGACCAATTAAGGGCGAACATAGCACCGACAAATCTTGAAATATATCTCCAACTTGTCCAACAGTGGCTTGTGTCGATGCTGTCTATCGAACCAGACCCTGATAAAACTTCAACTGGCTCTGTTACATCAGTGGACGGGAAGTACTATCCACTAGAGCTTTATGTATGGGATGATTTTCCACATAACGAAACCTTTGACAAGTTTATGAACCTCTTCTCACACAAGCCACTTTTTCCTTCTAAAACCGATGTTCTCGGTGTCCAGGGCGACCTCTCGCTCAATCCCTGGAGGAATGAATATGACATTCGACCCCTTATTCGGAGTGCCATTGAGAAACCGGCGCACCGTGTTGTGACAGCTTATCTTGAACAGTCTGGCAAAGCGGATCGATTTTTCTTCATGGACTATGCTCATAGCCTGGACAACAGGGCCCCACAGGAGCAATCTGACAAATGCAAAGTCTCATCATCTTCCCAGAAACAGTCCCAGTCCCCTGAACACAAAAATACCAAGCCAATTCCTGATCGTTGGGGCATCTATGAATTCTTGTCTAGAGATGTTCGCCATGTGTGTGTGGGGGAATATAAAATAGCTCGTAAGATACACACTGAAGAAATCAAACAAATCCTAACCTCTTCGTCTGCAAACCTATTTCTGGAGGTTCTTCGCCGAAAACAGTCTGGGTTTGTCAACTCTGATATAGAGAAAACTCAGGAGAAGGTAGCACAGATTCTGTGTCAGACATTCCATTACATGATCACAAGTGGCCTTTTATATGGATATATTATATTGGGAGAGACTCTGATCTTTCTGAAGATTGAAAATTCCTCACCTCAGAAGCTGTATTTCTATCTCACCCCCCAGGTAGTCACTGAGACTGAGTCCCCCCATGAATTTGAGATTCGAAATGCTCCAGCTGCCCAGCTGGCAACTTTTGCAACTGTGGCTCTCCATTCAAAAGAGATATCCCGCGATTGGATTACCAAAGCTCAAAACTGTGGCATCTGTCGATGGCCTCTCCTTCCCCCTAGTCCTCTTATACAGGGTGCCATGCTGCAACCTCAAGGGTTTGATGAAGATCCAAGTCAGAGTAGTGAAGACGAAGATGAAGACTCCAGAGACAGCAATTACAATCCACCAACTGAGAGACAAGCAAAGACTCAATCCCAGCAAAACCAACAAATCAGTCAACGCCGGCAATCTACTCATCAACGAAACATGACTCAGCGACCGATTCTACCATATTGCACGCAGGCTTGTCTTCTCGGCCTTGTTAAAGCTTTGCCTCTTGACCTAAGTTGCCCCAATGCTACCCTACATCAACAGGGCCAGGCGTCCAAGAGGCATCTTGTTATCAAGGAAGACCTCTGTTCCCTTATCAAGGGGCAGCTTGCCTGCAGTCTTGATGAAGACTGTGAATGCCTAGATCGAGAGGGTTTATTTGGGAGAATCGGTGTGCTCTTCAAAATCACCTTGACCAAATATGGATATACCTTTGTGGCCAAAGGTGTGCAGAGTGTGGATGAGTCTTATCTTGCTCATGAAGCTTGTGTCTATGCTCACTTATCTCATCTACAAGGAATTAAAGTCCCAGTCTTTCTGGGAAACATTACCCTTGAGCAGCCATATCCCCTTGTCAGTCTTGCACTTGTCACAAAGATGATGTTGATGTCTTGGGCTGGGTGTAGTATAGGGATGAATAGCTGGCCAGAAGATGTTAATATTGAGAAGGAAAAGGAGGAGACACTACATGCATTGACGTCCTCTGGCATCAGCCACAATGACATCAGAACTGCGAATCTGGTTTGGAACCCTGAGCGAAAACAGGTGATGGCAATTGATTTTGATCAGGCTACGATTCACCACAATAAATGAAAGGCATTTATCCACCTTCAGGCGTCGCCAAGGCGGAAAATGATTGGGAATTGAGGTAAACAAAAGACATCAGGCGGGTCTCATCCAGGGATGAGAGAGCTTTGGCAAGGAGGATATGTATGGGCCCTGCGAGTCTTGAAGACTAAGTGTCTTACTGCCGGTAGTCTGTTCCTAGAATGGCACTGTCCTATTGTTGCCAGCTCCTCTCTTTTCTTTTTGATGGCTTTTTATCTTTACAAGCCTGCCACGGTCGCCCGGTTTGGTGGATTGTATTTGGGGGATTTAACAGGTTTTTCTAGAAAATTGGCTGTATCAGCTTGGGGGGATACATGGAATTCTATATGTTGAGCAAAATGAGAGCAATAGGTCCGGGTGCGTTGCTAGGATGATGTTGGTAGAGAATGTTATCGGACTCGAATCCTGCATTGTATTGGACTTTCAACAAAATGAGAGAGCCCTGCAAACACAACATGACGGCCTATCCCTATCCCCACCCCTGGCGGACATTGCATTCTAATATGTGTGTATGTGAACAATTGTTGACGCGAGATGTTCTGGCGTTGGTTGAAGTTATAATACTCTGTAGTGTTAAGTTGTCATTAGTTATTAGTTGTTTTATACTAGTTGCTGTTTATTTCATAGACGTAATCCAATCTAACTAGTTAATTACCAGCAGGGTAACTTAGTTATGTTGATATTTTAGTGCAGCTGATGCAATGACAGTAGTTAGTATCCAGCTCTCAAACCTCAATTCGCCTCTCCAATGGCACTGCACTCTCTTTCTTCTAGTAGCGTCCCCCGCATTGCTCTAAGGTAGTCTTTCGAGTCTTTTAAAAGTCTTCGAGTCTTATTTATTAACTTATATTAGCCTTTAACTATTTAGGTCGCGCCTTCAGCCCTCGGTCTTCTTGTCCCACTCCATCTCCCGCGTCCAGACCACGCAAGAACAAGATCAAAACTTGGCCCCCCCGCCCTAAATAAAAGAAAAAAAAAAAAAAAAGAAAAGAAAGAAAAGAAAACACTGCACGGGATCAGCTCAATTTTTCTCTTCTCTAGCGCCATTCTTCTGTTCTATTTCAGTGTGGCATTCCGTTTCCCTCTCTTTTTGTCTCTTTTCCCTTCATTTCCCGCTTTGGTTCTGCGGGGAAGAGAGGGTTTCTTCACGCTAACTTAGCTCAGACAACCGCGCGATATCACGATTTATTTTATTCATTTCCATTTCGCTCTTCTCTACGTGGCACCAACACGCAATATCTCTGCAATTGATGCGGCTTCTTCTCTCCTCGCGCTCCTAGAGCTCTGGTGTTGTGTGTGAGAGAGTGTGTGTCTGTCGTGTATATATATGGTGTCCCTCATAACCTCTCTCTCTCTCTCTCTCTCCCTCTCTCTCTCCTCTCAATCTCCCTTATACTAGTTGATCTCTTAAGCCCCACCGCCTAAATATTTTTTATATACTCCGTACTGCCTCCTCCCCTTTCTCTCCCCTCCAACTCCTGAGGACCCTCTATCTCCCCCTCCCCTCCCCTCTTCCTAATCAATCCATATGACCAAACCCAAAACAATCGCCATCGTCAATGCCTCCGGCCGCCAAGCCGCCTCCCTCATCCGCGTCGCCTCGGCCGTCGGCTACCGCGTCCGCGCCCAAATCCATACCCTCGAAGGCGTCATTCCGCAGGAACTCGCCAGTCTCCCCAACGTAACCCTCTTCAAGGGGCCCCTCCTCAACAATGCCCCCCTAATAACAACCCTCTTCGACGGCGCAAACCTCGCCTTCATAAATACCACCTCGCAGGCTGGCGATGAGGTCGCCATCGGCCGCGATCTCGCCGACGCCGCCAAACGCGCCGGCTCCATCACCCACTACATCTACAGCTCCATGCCGGACCATGCCGCCTACAACCCCTCCCGCTGGATCTCCCTGCCCCTCTGGAGCTGCAAGTTTGCCGTCGAGAACTACGTGCGCCAGCTGGGATTGCCGGCCACGTTTGTCTATGCGGGCATCTACAATAATAACTTCACGAGCCTGCCGTACCCGCTCTTCCAGATGGAGCTGTTGGAGAATGGCTCGTTTGAGTGGCGCGCCCCGTTCCATCCAGATATCCCGCTCCCCTGGCTCGATGCGGAACATGATGTAGGACCTGCTGTGTTGCAGATTTTCAAGGATGGACCGAAGAAGTGGAACGGACATCGGTATGTCAACACTTCTCAACCACCACCCCCCCTTCCCCTTTCCCTTCCAGTCCCCTGAAACCATATATATACAATACAACACAACTTAACTTAAATTTCTCTTTCGAAAATGAAACACACAGCATCGCCCTCTCCTTCGAAACCCTAACTCCCAACCAAGTCTGCGCCGCCTTCTCCCGCGCCCTCCGCCGCCCATGCGTCTACACCCACTCTCCCAAAATCGACATCAAAGTCTCCATCCCCGCCGGCTACCGCGAGCACCTCGAGGGCATAGAGGTGCTGTTCGGCCAGATGCAGGCGCCCTATTTCCCCCAGCCGGAATTTATCAACGCTGGCCACGACCAGGGTCAGAACCACGTACACACTCCTATCTCCACCGTAGCGACACCGACGACGGCGATGACGAAGAAGATTGCGATGATGAAGGGGACTGGTATAGGTGTAGGGCAGAAACAGGGGCACGGTACGGGGAAGGGACCTGGGGAGCCGTATGGGGGTAACCGGTCTCTGGGGCTTGTGGATGAGGCGAGGGGTTTGTGGGAAGGGTGGAGGGATATGGAGGAGTATGCGCGGGAGGTTTTCCCGGTAGAGGAGGAGGCGAATGGGTTGGATTGGATGATTTGAACTTTTTAGGGGACTGGCCAGGATGGGATGGTACGGTATGGTATGAGAGGATGAGAGCATGAGCCATGAGGCTATGAGATATGATATGACATATTGGGGATATTGAATGGCTTGCAAAGGAGGGGTGTGTGCGTGTGATGGGGTTTGAATAAGTTGAGAACGGGTATATCCTACGTTTTTTTTTTTTTTTTTTTTTTTTTTTTTTTTTTTTTTTTTTTTTTTTTTTGGTTTTGGCTATTCTGTATCCGTACGATTACGACCATGATCCTCAGTTTCTGTCTTTCTTTTCTAACAATATAATATTGTCGTCCTATTCCTGCTTTCCGTCTCTCCCTCCTCTTATTACTAACTGTAGGCTGCTGGGGCAAAAGAGCTCAGTCACCACCAGCGCACTGCTGGTAGAAGGGCCGATCAACCCCCGGGACCCCCAACAGAAACTATATGGATATAAGTTGGGTGGCACGTGATTAGGGTAGGTGCTGAGGGTGTAACTTTTGGTCGGTCCAGATCTGCTAGAATATCAACAGCACCTTCTCCGAATTGATTGCCTCTCATGCTGTCATTAGGCTCACTCTCTTTCCTGGCTGTTCGTGCTTGCAGAAACAGGGCATATTTAAATCTCGCGACACGGAACCTCTCCAACTGCAAACCGGCTTTAGTACCAAATACCACCCTTCATCGCAGAATAAACACAATGTCAACTGCCTTGACAGACTCTGCGGAGTACATCGGCCAGTCTGGCCACAGTTATAGGATTGAACAGGTGCTTCAGGAAGAGACATCTCCCCCACAGCAGGTTTGCCTTGCTACGTGAGTTGGCACTGATTACCCCTTCTCAAGGTTATGCACTCACGACTTCCTCAGCGCTGGCGACCGAAAGTTCATATTGAAGTATATTCACACAGTTAATTTCGAGGATCTTCAAGAGATAAATAATAGGCTACGCGGGGGTGCTAATCATGTCCGTCTTGTCCAAGACATCATTCCGGAGAAGTCAATGTTCGTTTTCAAGTACTACACAGATCATCTCTTAAATCTTACTCAGAAGGACTTGCCTCTCAAAGTGAAAAAGAAGATTCTCAAGTGTGCTCTTCATGGAGTTGCAGAACTCCATGATCATGATATTGTTCATACAGGTAGGTTACACCTTTCACAGAGCAGTGAGTGATGACTTATTCTGAATAGATATCAAGCCAGACAATGTTTTTATTGACTGGAAAGATGACCGGGATGGAATCATTATTGATCAAGTCAAACTTGGGGATCTTGAAGATGCCGCGCATATCCCTCCTGGGTCACATATGATTGAAAAACAGGTGGGGAACTGGATGTGGAGGAGTCCTGAAGCCCACGCCAAAGGACCAGTGAATAAGCCATCTGATATTTTCTCTTTTGCTCTTGTTGTAAGTTTGTCATAAATCTCCACGCCTATAAACTCTTGGATTCTCACTTATTATATAGTGTATTTATGCGATGCATAAACGCGTCATATTTGCTGTTGGGGAAGAGGAGTTGGACGAAGGTGTGGATCCCTTGGCTATTGTAATTGAGCGCCAAATCTCGTACTTTGCAGATGAAGACACACTGAATGGGTTTTTGAAATACCTTGGCAATAATCCCTGGGTTCGCGTGTTTGAAGTAATTCGGGATGGTTTCAACAAAGACAACCCGCGCAGACCATTTTTCCTTTGGAAGGGTGTTGACAATGATTTTAAAAGTTTTATCCGTGCAACGACAAATTTTGATCCGGAAAAGAGGATCACTGCTCATGAGGCATTGGCACACAAGTGGTTTGAGGGTGTTTGAGATGGGCAGAGAAGCAAAGACATGTGAAATCAGTTACCCTAATCTACTCTTCTTAAAATGGGTGACACAGGTGTGCATAGCTATGCAGCAACAGCAGAAGTGACCTGAGTTTCCTTGGAATTACAGAACTTTCTAATTAGGAGGAACGAGAGAGAACTCGACGTGGTGTTGAGTAAACGGGGGAGTGAAGAGACATTAGATAACATAATGTTTTTCCTTTGCCGCGAGCTTAGAGAACAAAAGAATAAGAATCCAAATTATATAGTGATGAACAGTTCCTTAATTACCTGGGGTTTGTGTAGTTAACATCGTGGTGGAAAGTGGGCTCTAATTAGCAATGAAAACTGCCGAGGCCTTATCTATAAAAATGAGTTACAGAAGAGAGCAAGGCCAGGTTTCATGAATATAATCTCAAAGTGAAATGATATCCATTCTTTCCATTGCGGTGCAGTAGGTAAACTTGAGGCTCCCTCTAACTTCTGACAACTCTTATGTACAAGGTATGCTCAGGTTTGGCACTTTCTTGCCTCCAACTTTTTGCCTTTTGGACCGTTCCCCTACCTATTTCTAGGGTATTATCCTCTCCCTCTTCCACCTCGTCTTCAATATGATCTGTAAAGCTCCATTGCGGGGCGCCCACACACTCAGCGTCCGTTTCGTCAGCTAAAGTATCAGACTCCACGCAAACTGGGCCAGCCGCTGAAATAGAAACTGCCCCATTGCCAGATGATGCAAAAGACTGAGATTCTGTACACACTCCCGGACCCTTTTCGTTCGCAACCTCAATAAGCGCGTCTCTCGCTTCCTTCGCACAGTCGCGAGCATTTCGATATGAAGTAGCTCCATGCCGAAAGGTATCTGCATTGCCAGTCATGCCCCAAGTATTGAGTTGAGTCATAAAATATTCGTCGTATGTTGATGTAATAGTATAACCCTTGTGATCATTGCAGCCTCTGATGTCTTAAACCTGCACTCTTGTATATTTTCTATATTCTTGTCAGTTCATCGCTACGGAACCCTGATTGTCATCGAGAGGCAATGAAAATAGTAACCCTAACAACGCCAGGATCTTTTTGGTTGCTAACTGTGCCATGCTTACTCACTCTCTCTAGTGAGTGCCACAGTGTACAGAAAACCACACTGTACAGAAAATATTTTGAATATATTAATCTTCAAAAATTAATTAATAATCATCATCACATCTATCTATAATATAAAGATTATCTATATACTCATTAGAAGGTGTAGAATCCACTGTAGATTGAGATTCTATAGAATTATCTTATTATAATTGAGTGACTGTAGATTTTATAGATTTGATTTCAATCAATCAAAGAGTCTTATTAAATATCTTTTTTATCTCATCTACTCTACAGATTGTGATCTTACAATTGATATTCTTAATAGTAAGAACTTCATCTACTTATATCTATCTGTGAGAGAATTTAACAATCTGATATTTATTTACTTAATAATAATCTATAAGTTCACTCTCACAGTGTGTATTTAATTTCATCTAAATCATACTATTCTTGAAGATCTTGTTCAACTATCTTATTAAATCAGATATAAGAATATTCTTCATATCTTCTAAGATCTTAACTGCTGTATTAATTTAATGATATAGTTTTACAATCATCTCTGAGAAGATTAATTATAAGAAGACAGTTAATAGTTAATCTGCAGATAATGAAGTAAAGTGATTGTATATATTATCATTATTATTGTATATATTAAGATTCAGAGCATCATCAATGATAAGAGATCTTAATTAATTAAGAATTATATCATGATTAACTGAATATATTTTACAATTAATAAAGCCAGCTCTCACAGTATCAGATTTAAATATTTACAGTCAGACACTTTTCAGATTAGTAAGAAATTATCTGTTATTATACTGCTTATATCTGTAACAGACAGTCTTATTAATAATATTTAACTAATGAATTCATATCTTAATTATCTCTTTCTGACTGTTATTCAATGCTTAATTCAGTGAAACTCTCATAGTTCTTAATTTCTTTCTATTGATTCTCTCATATAAGATAATATATAAGACTTTGAATTCTTATAACAGAGATATGATTTTTAATTTTGAATTACTTTTATATATATCAACAGCTCTTTATAACTGCTTCTCAGTATAATTAAAAGATTTAGACATAGTTATAATTAATGATGATTATTTAAAGATGAAGAATAAAGATATTGAAAATATTTTCTGTACAGTGTGGTTTTCCATACACTGTGGCACACTCACTAGAGAGACTGAGAGAGTGAGTAAGTATGACACGGTTAGCAGTCAAAAAGATCCTGGCGTTGTTAGGCGTCAATTGCCTAAGTGCAGTCATGGAACATACGTTTCGTCATGATCTACTCATCTACACGTAAGTATAAAGGAATAAAAAATATATGTAAAATATCATTCAATATTCGATCTCAATGTGAAACTTTGCAAAGAGCAATGAAGTGTTCAGAAGAAAGGTTCTCTGGACATAGAAAGCAAGGAAGGATGCATGCATGCCTAAAATTACCAAGGATAGTTTCTTAGCCAAGCCTTCTATTTCTTGTTGAATGATTGATATCAGAGATGCTAACTTCAATCAACAATTCTCAACCTGATTTGAAGAGAAGGATTGTGTGTTGCCTGCATACAACATGCTAAAAGACATGGGCCACTTGGCCTATCTCTAATGGCAAAGAGCAAGCCGCTTCATTGCAAACGCTATCACTGTGTGTGTCACTATTATAAGTAGTTACTACCATATCACTCAAACATTTGATCATTGTCAAGGTCATAATGCACTAGCAAACTTCCAACTAAGCTTGCCTATAACAACCTTCTATTCCCAGATCTCTACAGTAAGAAATGGCCCCTTAATCAGAGTGCAAGCATAAGTCTAATGAATTTGAATGCTATGATACAGGTATGAGCAATAAAAAGCGCCTATATATCTCCATTCATCACTGTGATGAAATGAGCCTTCAGGAGGGAATACGCGGAACGCACAGAGCATATCATTGAGGAGTTTTGTTAGCACCTTAAGAAGTCCAACGGCCACGATAATACAGCATTCGGTTAGATAGTGAAACTAGGCGAGATCTAAACCCGGAAAACGAAACATCTTTAAGGGTATTGCTCTGCCGGATAAGGAAACAGGAGAAAGGTGTCGCCATTGGGTTTGAAGAGCCATATCCACTCTACAAAATGTATCATTGATACCAAGCTTTGACATCAAAAAATTCAAAATCTGGATATTGGGAAATATCCGTGATTATAAAGAGACAATCTAGTGATGTACAAGATTTCCTAGTTCATCATAAAGTTCTCAAAGATGGTGTTCTGCCTCAAGCTTATCTGCATATGATATAGAAAGCTTATCTTTGATGCACTCAGGTCATTCCAGCATCTTAAATGAAGTATAATACATCTTTGTTAGCTTTCAATACTCTGGATACCAGCCTGAAAGTGCTCAGTCAACAACTCTCACAATTCTATCATCATGAATGATGATATTTCTCAGAGCTAAGTCTGTATGCATGAAGAAAGTCTGATAATTATTGCTATAACAAGATACAATATTTTCCTCAAAAATTGTAGCTGTGTTTTCTAACAGAATGCCATCTCATAGAAAAGTGTGGAAGCTAGAATGTGACTGAAATGGGCCAACTGATTGACCCCCAATCCGGTAATCAAGAATAGCATCACCTTGGGCTGATGTAACTACTCCTTCTTTTGAGGGAGTAAGTGTTCAAAGCTGAGTCAAGATAGCTATCATATCATTGACAATATTTTTCTTTTCCTTTGTTTGGTTCTAGGCGGCCGTGCATCCATAGAGTTTGAAGGTTTGTATCTGAAATGCGCTCCATTATTATATATATGCCCCCGGGTCCATTGTATATATAGTGAATTTGAGGAACTGGAATTGTAGTGTGTCCTGAGATATAACAAAGCACTTCAACCTCTGACAGATTGCATGGCCCTTTGATAATATATTTCTGATCAACTTTAACAACAGATGGACCTAGGGATCCAAAGGTTGACCGGGAGATTCTAAATAGAGTGTAAAGAATGATGCTTTTCAAGTCTAGTTTGGTGTCAGCATTGGTTTCATTGTGTGATAAGGGTTCTGGGTGGGCAAACCTTGTAGTACCATCATTTAAAGCTTTGAGGGATCAATAAACGGAATAAACAGGTGATGATATATATGAAAGGCAGGTTTAATAAACCAGTGTTCTCTGAGATTTCCGTCGTGAAATAAAAAGGGATTTATACAGAGATTTACGTGGATAAGATTAATCTCCTGCCAAGGCTGCACTCCACATAGTTATGCAACGGCGCTACACAAAACTCAACCCAGCCCAAAGCGAAGTGATAAGGCTTAGGGCTGGTGTGGAATGCGGAATTACAGTGGGGAGCTTATTGGAAATTAGGGGAGAGGAAGCTTAGCTGTTAACAGCTTAATTAGAAACTGGGGGGCCTAAACAAGGTAGCGGAGCGGAGCCTAAAAAAAAAAAAAAAAAAAAAAAAATCTGTTCATTGTTTAAGTTATTTGAGTTTTTCACCCAGGTGAAGAAACTTTCTTTTTTTCTAATTCACAATTATTAAATATTATTACATTCTTTCTCTGTATTATTTTCTTCCCCTGTGTGTGTATTTCTTCTGTGCCTCTTTTGCCTCCTTTGACAAGATAAGGTATCTCTCTGGATTGTATTCTGTTTGGACTTTATCCCTTGGTTTTGATTGAGAAAGAGAGACAGAAAGAAAAGGTTTGTATTAATTTATTAATGTTACCTATCAACCACCATCGTCAACTTGCGACAGGAAAGCATCCCAATCCCAATCTCAATCCCCATAAAAACACCAGCACCAGCACCAACACCAGCATCTATCCTCACGACCCTCATCAATTGCTTGTCCTCCTCCAGAATATGCAACCCCCCCCCCGGGTCTCTCTCCCTTACTCATTCCCAAACACAATACCGCCACCCTACCATACATAACCTCCGCCGCAGTCCACCAGATCAAATTGACCCGCTAACCCCCCAAAAAGCCTCATCTAGGCAAATAAAAAGAGTTTAGCATTACCCTTCGCAATGGCCTCCGACGACGGCCAGGTTCCGCTCCTCGAGCGCGCGGAAATGCCCGACACCACCCCTACAATCCCCAAGGAAACGGCGCGCGAAATCGCCCTGCTGGAGCGCGAGTTTGTGGAGGCGGAGGTTCAGGCGTGTACGTATAACATCTATCTACCTCATTTCGCGTATCGCCGTATCGCTAGGGAAAACATCATATATTAGTTATCGGCGTGCACGCATCAACATCTAAGAGTTGTATAATAATAATAATAATAATCATAATCATAATAATCATAATCTAATAACAAATAAATAAACCCCCAAAAAAAACACAGTCCGCGCCTCCATCCCACTCCTCCGCCCCCTCTACACCCGGCGCAATGCCCTCATAGCCAGCAAGCTCGCCGACGCCGACTTCTGGCCCCGTGTCTTTGCCTCCGAAATCGAAGCCTACCTCCTCCCCTCCGACGAAATGATCATCAGAGAGTGTCTGAAGAACTTCACCGTCGAGCGCGTCAGCGTCAACGAGGCCGGCGACGCCGGCGATCCCCGCGACGTCCGCTTCACCTTCGAGTTCGACACGAGCCCGGAGCGCAACGTGTGGTTCGGCGGCGATGGGAAGCTCGTCAAGGAGTTTTATTGGCGGAAGAGTATTGGAGTTTCGGAGAAGAGTGGGCGCAGGAAGGTGTGGGAGGGCCTTGTGTCGCAGCCTGTGCGGATCCCGTGGAGGAAGGCGGAGGTGGATCCTACGAAGGGATTGTTGGATGCGGCGTGTAACCTTGCGGAGGCAGAGGCCAAGGTCGCTGCGGGGAAAAAGATTACGCCGGAGCAACGGTTGGATTTACCCGAGTATGAGAAGTTGGTGACGGAGGTGGCCAAGGTGGAGGCTCAGGCGGGTTTGCGTGCTGAGCGTGCGGCGGATGGAGATGACGATGAGGATGAGGATGAGGATGAGGATGAGGATGATCATGAGGATGGGGGTCCTGCTGATGTGAGCTTCTTTGCGTGGTTTGGGTATCGTGGACGGGATATCTCGGCTGAGGAGTCGGAGGAGGCCATGAAGGCTGATGAGGAATATTGGGGGAAGATCGCTCGGGGAGAGAAGGTTGAGGGTGACGAGGAGAAGGAGGGTGAGGGTGATGCTGCGTCAGGCGATGAATTCGAGGAGGATGAAGATGCTGACGACGACGACGAGGATGGGCTTATGGATGCTGAGATCTACCCCGAGGGTCATGAGCTTGCCATGTCGCTTTGTGACGAAGTCTGGGACAATGCGCTTAAGTATTACGGTATGTCTCAATTTGGATCGTTATTTCTTTTCTTCTATTTTGCTTCTCCGTTTTCTTGCGTATCTTTCCTGCTAACCGTTGCTTCTTGTGTGCAGTACAATCGCTCCAGGCGCCAGAGTTCGGTTCCGATATTGATTTCGACATGGACGGGATGGAAGACGACGACGATGATGATGAAGAGGAAACTGACAGACCTCGCAAGAAGGCCAAGACTTGAGCTCCTTTTTCCCCCTTTCGTTTCGCCCTTGTATCTTTTCTCTGTTGAACGAAAATGGTTTTGATGGGATGGTTTTGAGTTTTGCGTGGAAATTCATATTTTCGTTTCGTCTTTTTTTGTCTTTCGTTTTTGTTGAACAATGTATACCAAAGGAAGGGAGAGAAAAGAATCCCCATCTAACCCTCCGTTTCGAATTTGTAGTTATAGCACAATAACCAGAATTAATAGCAGTATCAACACCATAATTAACACCGCTATACAACAGCTCGACGCCGTATCTACCCAAACACGAAGAGTAAGAGTTAGCGAAGGATCTCTCCCATATTCTCATGCAAAAAGGTACCAAGCGGATAACGAATTCCATACCTTCATTCCGCCGTATAATCTTCCCCACCCGTCTAACCCCACTCTGCAATTTGCCCCCAACCCGCTCCGCCAACGTGTCCACCTCCTTCAGCATCTCCACCTGCTCCTCCAGCTCCCGCCCCATATCATCCGCCTGCTGCCGCAGCGTGCCCACCGTCTGAAACACCCCATCAAGTTGTTGGTCCTGCTCCGCCATCAGCTCCTGCTGCCGCTGCTCCTCGAATTCAGCATAGTAGTCTTCCCGCTCGCCGTCGTCGCCGAGCAGGTGATCATCATGGAGCTCGAAGTGGGAGGGGCTGGGCAGCGATCCTCCGCCGATCCCGGTTCCAGTGCCAGTGCCGGCATGTGTGCCTCTGAGAGCTGTAGTGCTGGCGGTAACCGTCCGCTCAAGCTCCGTGCGCATACCCTCAATCTCCCTCCCGACATCCTCGACCAACTGGCGCCGGCGGCCGACTTCCTCTAGCTCTAGGCCATAGCGGTATGGATCCTTCTCGACGACGCGCACGCTTTCGACTAGGTCTTCTAGATCTGCAGAGAGTTGGCGGAGGGTTGTTTCGAGCTCTGCGCGTGCTTGTTGGAGTTCGGGGGACGACGGCGACGTAGCTAGGGAGCGGATGCGGAGATAGGAGGAGAAGAGGGGGCGAATGTCGTTGAGGGCGGAGAGGACGTCCCTGTTGGTTTTGGGGGGATAGTATCAGTAGGTGACTGCTGGGATGATGGGGAAAGCGGGAGAAGGGGCAATAGAACGTACGCTTGGACTTGGAGGAAGGGGTCTGTTTCTGTTGAGGACGCCATAGGGGTGTGTGTGTATAGGTGTGTAAATGTTGTAAATGTCTAATGATGGATGCGACGTGGATGGATGTTGGTTTGTCTCATCGTCCATTTCATTGTTGCAGGCGGCGGTAGAGATCAGGCTTGGCGCCAAGCCCGGCGGCCAAGTGCGGAGTTTCAAAATTCTACTTCCGCCAATTGACTTTGTATTCTTTCTGCTGCTGCCCTGACATTATTCATTTAATTTTTCTTTCTCTTGATACACAATTGTGTAGCTGTCTATGGCTTCCTTCTTTTGTACAATCCTTCATGTATCTAATTGCTAGATGACTAAAGCCTCCCTCCAATTGAGGAAGGCCCACAATCCCGCGCCCTACTACCCCTTGTTCCCCTCTTAACTATGCGCCCCGAAAACCCCCTCCCCCTCTCCCCCTGCTGGCCGGACACCGACACCTACATATCCTCCCTTCTCACCTTCGCAACAACCTCTACCATATTCCGCAATTTATGTGGAGGCGTACATATCCTCGATTTCCTCACGCGCGTTCCAGATCTCTACACAACCGTCCTGCCCCAGGACTGGAGGGATTTCTTCGCGCACCATGATATCGGGGTTATCTTAGACTTGCTCTTGAGAGATGACATAACACCTCTTTTGCAGGATTTTACATCTCGGAATGAGCGGAGTGAAGACGAGGTTGGCGGCGGCTGGAGAAAAGGACCCGTTCGTCCCCCGGAGAGTCTGCTGCGATATATCCATGATATACGCCGCCATTGCCTCCAGCGCGAATTCACGCCGTTACCTATGCCAGCACCCGACAAAAATAAAAGTTACAATAGCAATAATGACAATATCACTAATAATAATGATAATGATAGTAATTTCAACACCATCCCCCGCCACATCGCCGTCGGCATGAAACCTAAAAAGGCGCACGAAGTCGCCCATTTCGCGCGCTACGTCGACGCACTATCCGACCACATCGAGCAGCAAACAGGCGGGGCTGAGCGCATCTCGCACATTGTCGATTTTGGCTCTGGGCAGAATTACCTTGGTAGGACGCTGGCGAGCCCTTTATATAACCGGCACATTATTGCTATTGAGCGCAAGCAGATGAATATTAGTGGCGCGATGGGGAAGGATGTGCTTGCGAAGTTTCAGAAGTCGAAGAAGGACAAAAAGAAAGTCAATGGCGATGTTGAAGTTGGGACGGAGTCTGATTCCGCGGTGTCGACGCCGCGGAGTGGGGAGCTGGCTCATGTTCAGGGTTGGAATGAGGATGGGTTTGATCCTGATACGGATGGATGTGCTACCTGCTATACTAAGCGGACTACCCTTGACAAGGGGGCGGAGGAGGAAGACAGTTCCAAGGGGTCTATGGATTATATCGAACATGATATCCAAGACGGCTATCTCGAACCCCTAATCAGACACGTTGTGGAACCATCACCCCCTGCCTCAGCTCCAAACGATCAAAAGCCACAGGTGGAATGTACATGCACATATTCAAATTCGCTACCCGGCTCCAAAAATTATACCAACCCAGCCCGTGTGATGGTCATCTCCCTTCACTCCTGCGGCAACCTCGTTCACCACGGCATCCGGTCTCTCCTGCTCAATCCCTCCGTCACGGCCATCGCCATGATCGGCTGCTGCTACAACCTCATGACCGAACGCCTGGGCCCCGTAACCTACAAACTTCCCCTCCTCCGCTCTTTTCACCCGCGGCTCGAAACCACCTCCAAAGCCTACGACCCTCACGGCTTCCCCATGAGCAAGAAGCTGGAAACGTATCCGCACGAGGGCGGTAGTGGCATCAAGCTGAACATCACCGCGCGCATGATGGCTGTCCAGGCACCGCATAACTGGGGCCCGGAGGACAGCGAGAGTTTCTTCACGAGGCATTTTTTCCGCGCGCTGCTGCAACGGGTTCTGGTTGATTATGGCGTTGTTCCTGTTCCTGGAGTGGGTGTTCCAATTGGCGATGCACCCACGAAAGACGGGGTGAAGGGGGAGGTCCGCGGGACGCCGTTGATTGTCGGGTCAATGCGAAAGGCCGCGTTCGTCTCGTTTGCGGCGTATGCGCGAGCAGCTTTTGCCAAGTTATCGCGGGATACGCATTATGGCCAGGCTATTCGGGAGAAGGTGTCGGGGCTGCCTGAGGAGGTGTTTGGGGAGTACGAGGAGCGGTATGCGGTCCATCGGAAGAATCTGAGCATCGTATGGAGTCTTATGGCGTTTAGTGCTGGGGTTGTGGAGTCCATGATTGTGGTGGATCGGTGGTTGTTTCTGCGTGAGCAAGCTGGAGTCAAGGAGGCGTGGGTAGAGGCGGTATTTGAGTATCAGCAAAGCCCGAGAAACTTGGTTGTTGTTGGGGTTAAAGGGTGATTGTGATATATTTATTAATCTCCTTTTGCTAGGAGACTATGTTACAGTTGTCTATCGACTATCGGGAGTTTGGCTGTCGAGTTGTACTGTGGATATATTACACTCTCCTCCCACGTCCAAGTCCAACCCAGGCCCAAGGTGATGGCCATGGCGATCACGCTGAGGCCAGCCTGCCTCTCATCCTCCTGTTTATTTACCCTACAAAAGTATTATCTCTCACCCCAATTACCACTTCTGGCTTTTAAGTGGTTGAGAGGAAATTCGCCTAAATGCACTGGGTGTGAGCAGCGTCAATTCATCTGCTGGCAGAGCTCCGTGCATGGGACCAAAGGACCAAAGTATGTGGTAGGCTTATTATCAACTTGATTGATCCCAAGGATATAATACCGAGACTACTATCTAGTCCTTGTACGGCAGTCTAGTGACAAATGTGACAAATGGGTATTTTATACTAGTGTTACAATGAGCACACATTAATGATACTGATTGTATTAGCAATCAAGATCTATCTATCTCTATCCTCATCTTACCATTCTACCCCTTTCTCATCATCTCTATCACCATCACTGCCTCTATCACCCCTCTCTATCACCTTTTCCACTCTCTAGTCTCTCTATCATCATCACTACCTCTACTTGTCTCTTACTATCTCTACCACATTTTGATCACTGTGTTTATAGTATATACTGCTAAATACTCTGTAATAAAATCGCATGTGATGTCATGTGAATTATGAATGAGATTCTTTTGAATAGCTGACTCTGCAGTCTGTACAGCTCTGATTAATCTGATAATGGTGATGGAGATAATACAGAGTGAAAGAGAGTAGTAGAAGAAGTAGAGGATGATAGTGGTAGAGAGGGTAGAGAGTGAAAGAGGTGGAAGAGGTGATAAGAGAGGGGTAGAGATAGAGAGTGGAAGTGGTAGAGAGAGGGCTGCGCAAGCAGCAAAGCGAGCGTAAGCGAGCATTTGATGCTTGTGTGAAATTAAGTCTTTACACTGAAAAAAACATTGAAAAAAGCTATTTGACATATTTGTCACTATAGACTGCTGTACGTTAACTACTAACTACCTAGTCACATTTTCAAATGAGATTATGAATTTCATATTTTAATTCTAATATTGTAGGCTACTGGGGCAAAAGAGCTCAATCACCACCAGTGCAACTGCTGGTAGAAGGGCCGATCAACCGCGGGACCCTCAACAAATATTATTTAAATCACTTTTAAAAATAACTATTATTTAAGTGTTATCTAAAATAGCTCTAAAATAAACTCTAAACTTTCTAAAAATAGTAATTTTATATCAAGAAATGTCAAGAATAGAATTAAATGAGATCAAATGAGATCAAATGAGATCAAATGAGATCACTTTCTTAATATTTCTCAGTTAATCTCATTTTGTGCTTAAAAATAATAACTCTTCAAATATATACATTGACTGGTGATTATTTTTCATGTTTTATAATTGATCAGTCCTAGCAGGATTCACATCAAGAAATACATAGAACCAGATCAACTGAGATCAAACATGAAATGCATGGTTCTGGCAGCCAGTTTAAGAACAACCGACTTGGCTAACAAAGCTGCTGGAGATCTTGGTTTATTCGTCAGTCTTCCCTGCGATGGTCAGGAGTTCAATCGAGAGAAGTTGATGGCTGGTGAGACTGGCCATTGCTCAAGGAGGTGAGCCATAGTTACATATATATCTCGCTGAAGTGAATGCACTGCAATCATCTGATTGATGCTTCATGAAGAGGTGGACAGACGGACTACTCCTAAGGCAGTCAATGTCCGCCTGGCGATATGGAGGTTATATGGTCATTCCATTTCTCCATCCTATAATATATTATACATGGCGATGGCTGCGATCTGTATAGGGCAATCCCTCTTCTCTGCGCCAGATGTTCATGCCATGCCATGCCATGTATGAAGCAGGAGTGAATCGAGGCTGCTTCGACCTCCCACGGCTCTTTCCCTCCTGTCCGAGTCCAGGGAATCCTATATATTCCTCTCCTTGTCCTCTTTGTCCCTCCTTTTCTTCATCTCCTTCTTCTTCTCCTTGTCCTCCTCTTCTACATCCTCTCCGCCCTCTCTATCTTATATATCCCAGTCTCTACTGTCTTTGTTTCAGATTATATCCAGTGAATAACTTCTTTTTTACACCCGCTATTCACGTATCAAGCACATAACTACCTATCTATCTCTTCTAAACTCTTAGCACCCGTTTAAGTCCTCGTGTCCTCTAGCAGGCAGCAGCAACAATCATGACCCTTATCTCAATCAACGGCAATCAGCTTGACCCGCTCGCGCAGTCCCGGCAGCTGAGGGGCCTTGGCTTGCAGGCAGAAAATGCTTCCAAATCAGACTACATCCTCATCCAGGCAGGGCCTGACCGTCTGTCAGAGAATCAGCGCCGCGTGCTTAAGGACTTAGGTGTAGATATCAAAGAATACGTCTCTAAGGATACATACCTTTGCAGCTACAAGGGTGTGGACCTAACGGAGATCCGTTCGCTAGACTTCGTCTTTTGGGCCAATCCCTACTTGGAACAGTTTGTTGTACAGTCGTGTCTCAAGTCAAACCCACCGCGTTCCCAACCTATCTCAGCTTTCACCGCTACCCCCAAGACCAGTCGCCTCCAATTGGTCGATATCATCATGCACCACGATGTCGATGCGACGGACGATGCTGTCAAAGCGGCAGTTGCAAGGGCTGCTCGTGCTGATTTGAAGTCTCTTAAAGCTTCTGCAAGGAGCATCCGTATTCACCTGCAGCAACAGTATCTCGATGATGTAGCCGCCATCGACGCCGTCTACCTCATTCAGCAGGTCCATCCCTTCGTTCTTTGGAACAACAAAGCCTGGGAGATCCTAGACTGTGACACCACTAACATGTCTGCCCATGTAAGCGAATATCTGGGTGAGGGCCAGGTCGTCGCGGCCGCTGACACCGGATTCGATATTGGCAAAACGGATGATACTCATCCTGCTTTCACTGGCAGGGTCAAGCACCTTTACGCTCTGGGGAGACCAAATGCAACTGACGACCCAGACGGACATGGCACCCATGTTGCCGGCTCCATTCTTGGGGATGGCGACTCCCCTTCTATGGGTGGGAAGATTACGGCCGCTGCACCCAAAGCCCAGCTTGTACTACAATCGGTCCTCGATAGTTCTAATGGCTTGGGTGGCATCCCGTCAGATTTGAGTGAGCTTTTTATCGTTCCGTACGAAGAACACGGCGCACGCATACACACCAACTCTTGGGGGTCGTCCTCTCTATTTGGCCAGATTCCCTACGATGTGTCAGCTTCGCAGGTGGACAAGTTCATCTGGGAGCATCCTGATATGCTCATCCTTTTTGCTGCTGGTAACGAGGGTTTAGACCGCAACTTCGACGGCGTCATCGACCTCAGCCAGATTGGGTCACAGGCAGCGGCGAAGAACATCCTCACTGTTGGTGCGAGCGAAAATAATCGTCCTGATATCGGCGTCCAATACGGCTTTCGTTGGCCATCAAGCCCTTTCCGTACTGACCTAATGGCCGACAATCCTGCTGGAATGGCGGCATTTAGCAGCCGTGGGCCTACCGTAGAGGGGCGTTGCAAGCCTGATGTTGTCGCCCCTGGAACTGCCGTCTTGTCTTCTCTCTCTCGAAATGCCCAGGCCGACTCTCAATATGGAGAAAGCCTTGATCCCCAGTGGTGGTTCCTTGCGGGCACAAGTATGGCAACTCCCCTGGTTGCTGGATGTGCTGCAGTTGTGCGCGAATCTCTTGTCAAGAACGGCACACCTAACCCTAGCGCCGCGCTTGTGAAAGCTCTTCTTATCAATGGTGCAGTTGAGCTTGTCGGGCAGTATGACCCCAGCGAAGCAGGCCCGTCCCCGAACAATAACTCCGGGTTTGGCTTGGTTAATCTCAGAAACTCCATTATTTTACCCAATCAGGAGGACGGAGGCTTCTACGAAGGAGGTCCCTTGGAGCAGGGTCAGGGCCTGGACAAACCTATCACCGTCAACATTCCTCCAGGTACATCGGCAGAAGGTTCGGTGCTGAAGGTAACACTCGTATGGTCCGATCCACCAGGTGCAGAGCTTCAAAACGACTTGGATCTGCTCGTGAGAACTGCTAATGGCCAAGAGCGTCACGGAAATATGGGCGAGGAGACTGATTTCGATAGAGTTAACAACGTCGAGCAAGTTACGTGGACCAACATTCCAGACGGAGAAGCACAAATCATCGTAAGCGCATTCCGCATCACCCGTGATGACGCCCCTCAGCCATACGCCGTGGTATGGAGCATCAACCGGCCTATCAAGCCTACGGCCGCAGGAGGAGATAAAGCAAGCTGAAACGATGAACCTTCCCTTCCTTCACCCCCTATTAAACCTATATTGTTACGTCTGAATTTCTTGCAGATGATTTGCACATGATCAAACCACACTCCTTAATTAACCTAGGACAGAACCCTAAAATGGAGAAGAAAAAAAAGGGGAAGAGAAAGAGAGAAAACTGGCAAAAATGGAACCGAAAACTCGAAGCTTTCTCCGTTAGGGAAGACAACTTTAAGAGCCCCAGTTTGTTTTATATCTCAGGAATGGAAATTTGAATCAATTAATTGCCTTCTCGACTAATTGATGTACTGTGTAGCTGTGCAACTGCCAATCTTGTGGTATTTCAATTAGTTGTAGGCCATGGCGACCATCAGCCGCAAAATAAGCTCTCTTGTAGACGGGACTCGGTGATCTGCAATCAGATATGATGAACTAAATCTGAACCTTGACAGCACATGGTAAACAAATAGGCCTCTGCTCCTCTCCCTATTGTTTAAATAAAGTGTCAGAGAACATAAAGACGAGAAAGCTTGGTTGTATTAAAGTAGCTCTTGACGAGATCTACAGCGCAAAGGGTCACGTGCCATATAAGGACAGAAGCTAGTTTTAAAGTATTTCACATGAAAATAAAAACATATTGACGTATATTAATGACACAGGGCATCTAGAATACATTGTCTGAGCTAGCTGTGGGTAACTATTAGAAAATTAATAGGGGAGGTAGACGTGTGAAGGGACGCCAGAGAGTTTAAAAAAATTCCTCCCCACCCAAGGGAAAAAAAAAAAAAAAAAAAAAAAAAAAAAAAGGGGGAAGGAAAAGGAAAAGAAAAAGGAGAAAGAAGAAAGGAGAAAAGAAACCGAAGAATAGAGAAAAAAGAAACATGCATGACAGCTCTGGGTCCCCAACACCTCTTCCCGTCCCGTTCCGTTGAACAATTGAGTAATATGGAGAGTGTGAAGTGAAATAGTTGAATGGTATTAGCGGGTGTGCTGAATGTAGACGTTGAATGCCCCCTATTAATAAGATATGTTTGTATCCATCTATACAAAACAACACATAAATATATATATATATACATAGACCAACCGGCCATTGGTTCTCTGGCCCCGTGCTGCCCCTTCCCCCTGTCTTAGGTTGTAATGTTGTAGGCATCATGGTACAAAGATTATGAAACTTCGGGATTTTCTTTTTTTAGCTCTATCGGGGATCCATTCGTTGGGAGGAGACAAGGGGGGGGAGGGAGGGAGAAGAAGGCTAACGATTTTCTGCTTTTTTTTTTTTTTTTTTTTTTTTTTTTTTTTTTTTGAGTTATTATTTCAAGTGCCGCCTGGGGAAATGTCCGGTCCATGCAGCAGCGGAATTGGTTCGTGGGTACAGCCCGCTCATTTTACTTGGGGGGGTTTGAGGAGGCACAATTGGAGGTCAACTAGGGGCTTGTTATCTATTTCCTGCGCCTTGATAAGTGTTGGGGGGATTGTAGATGTGTGGCGTGCCAGCATCATTTCCGAAGTCATGTTATTGTTTAATGTAGATTGCGAGATCAATCAGTCCCAACGTATTTAAACCAGTTTGGTCGGCAATCTTCGAGCTGGAGGAAAGGTTCCCCGGCGTAAAACTTTCCCGGAGTGCAGCCTTTGCATTTTGGAGAGTTCGGGCAGTTGAAGTATGGGACATGTTGGTATCCGATGTCACGGAACCTAAATAAAAAAAAGTGATGGTTAGGATAAGGAATTGACATTGTGGTGGAATCGGGGCACAGAGAGGAATAAAAAGGGTTAACAAACCAATGAATTTTACTCTTGTCCTCAAATAGGCCTAGGCCGATAGAATGTACTGGTGCATCGCCCCATCTTTCGTAGAAGAAGCCTCCGGCACGATCCAAATGGTTAAAATAATCTTCATAAGCCTGGCTTCGATAGAACGACATATCCGCGATTTCGAAGTTAGACCAAAAGTGGCAAGTGGAGTACCCGTTTGCGTCCTTATTATGTTGTGGTCTTTGCTTATTGTCCACCAGCCAGTCCATTGCGTTGTTTGGATGTAGGTGATTGGGGTGCGCTTCGAGGAACTTAAGCGTCTGCGGCCATAGAGTAGCAATACTCTCAGGAGCATCATAGAGGTTGATGGTGAAGCCATAGGTTTTGTTGTGGTCTTGCATGTAGCGGAACACATCGTAGTCGACGTCGCAGAAGAAATGGACCTTGGGTTCGACTCTCCAATAGTACTGCACATTCGCCAAGGCTGGGTGTTTGTAGAACATGCCACTGTTCCAGCGGCACATTTGATGGTATGACATCAGGTTGCTGTATTGGATATTCTTCTCCTTGAGGATTTTGGAGGATTCTTCGTAGAGCTCCATACTAATAAAGTCGGGTACGTCCCAGTGCTCCTTTGGAATTAATTCTGGGTAAATAAAACAAAATTAGAGTGCCATCACGGTTGACAAGGAAGCTCAACCGCATTCATCCATACCGTAATTGCATTGTGCCTTTGTTTCAGCTTGTGTTCGAGTCTTGAACTCTTCCGTAAACTCTTTATCGTTAAAAAAAGTCCACGGGTAATTGAACTTGCTATTCCAAGTCCTTTCCAAATCCCTCATCGTCATTATTAACTCGTCCAATTCTTCGTTTCGAACCAGGGCTAGGAGCGTCGCGTTGATGCGAGCGGAATTGGGGTTGTCGGGCGCATAGGCATCATCTTTTGCCCGCCAAAGAGGCTCAGGAGGCTCTCCTGTAGCTGTAGATATCGTCAATACATATTGCATTAGGATGAGAGGAGAAGGAAAATTACTCACGATCCAAAAGAGGCTCCCTCTGGAGTCCATTATCGTATTGCCCCTTTCTTCCAGTTAGCAACGGGGGCGATTTCGAAACCTGGAAGATGAGAAATAGAGCAAGAACAAAGCAGGCGGCTAAGAGCAAACGAAGCGGTCGTGCGAGGCCCATACTGCTATTATGCGCATGGCCGTGAACAGCATAAAGAGAGATAAAATGTTTTTCTCACAGCTGAACAAAGATCGCCCCTGGTTGTTCATGTAGTTAAAAATAGGATTTGGCCGCGATGATGCTGCCAGCTGCCAGGCTGCTGAGTCAGCGCGCCCAGGGCGGCCGATGCAGCTCTTCCTGCCTGTTACGGACTAGTGTTTATCGCATAATATCAGACCTTCAGGGGATTGAAACGCGTTGTTGTTGGAGCATCGAACGAAGTATGTGTCAGAGTACTTGTTCTATAGCATATTATGGGGAAACATGAACAAGTAGACGCGTAACTGTGCATTTTCCGCCGACTTGGTGTCTGAGAAACGATTTGAGATTGCCTATGTAAGACAAGAAATGGCTCATTCAGCGAATGTCAGCGCTCTGACGGACGAGCTTATTATCATAATTACGAACACGCCAGACAAGGCGAGTATTTGTGTCAATTGTTAATAGTTTTTTCTGCTGCTGACTTTTGTACTAGGGCAGCCGTCGTTTCCACAGGTTGAAATCTCTCGTTGAGAGGACTCTGAAGCAGAACAATGCTGGAAGAACAGACCATCTGGAGGTTGCGAAGCGGCTTGATGGTCTCCAAGAAAAGTTTCAAGTTTTAGACAATGATGCTCTTTCCGACGCGCTTCATTCGCGACTGGAAGAGCTGAATCAGAGGAGGATCCACCGGGCTCCTGAAGCCTTGTCTTTACTCCTAGAACTCTCAGATAGGCCAGCAGTACATTCCACCATCGAGGACTTGGATTTACTTCGACGACCAGCTTCACCACCTCCTTTAACATGGAGTGATATTTATGCATCTGACCCTCTAAGTGACGAGGAAGAGATTTGGCAGGATATTGATTATGCTGCACTTACCTCCGGTGACGATCTATCAAGCACATCGAGTGGCGTATCTATCCCCCGAATTGTTCCACAGCGGTCCAAAGTTCCCCTGGATGATTTTAAGACTCCAGATACTTGCTTCTTACCAGTTGAAGATGAGATATTGCTCTCACGCATTCAGGATCTTGAGCTCTGGAGAAATAGGGTCGCGCAAACTAATCGACCGACGAACGATGATGACTTGTATCTTACAGAGTTACAAGTAATAAGAGAGACGATATTTATGCTTCAGGGCCTCCCCACCACCTTATTCTGGTATTTAGACGATAGCGTTGAGGTTGATCGAAGATTTAGATTGCGTCATGCATCACCAATCGCCTTTGGGAACTTGCTTCGCTCATTTAGTGTCCTAGGAGCCCAATTACATGTTATTCGGCGATTTGCACAGCATCCCCAGAAGCTTCAATTTATGCAGATGTTTCAGCGTGAGGTGGAATTTCACTTGTGTAGATTTAACAAAGACCTATCGAATATGGAAGCAGAACACTCTGGAACAGCTGAGTCTTCTACGCCGAGTTTGATTCGACTCTTCTCAAATGTGTACGAGGAAACGTCTCTGCTACGAGAACTGTCAGATCTCATCAACAAACTAGCGGATCAGTCGCCAAATGAGGCGTTCCAATGCCTAGATCTGCTCTATGATCTTGTTTGTTCGAAACAGGCATGCGGAGACGATACAACTTTCCAGCATGTGGCTAAGATATTTTTCAAATGCTTCGAAGTCTACGCAAGGCCAATAAGACTGTGGATAGAAAAAGGACAGCTGGACAAGACTTTGGGTACATTTTTTGTCTCTGACTCGGGAAAGCAACTCACCGACCTGAGAACACTCTGGCACGAATGGTTTGTACTGGATGAGGTTCATGGACGACTTTATGCGCCTGATTTTCTACGTCCTGCGGCCAAGAAGATTTTTACCACTGGCAAAAGTATGATATTCATTCGCCGCCTTGGCTTGGATCCAGATGTTTTAGAGACTCCAAAATGTATGAACATTTCATATGAGAATATCTGTTCATCCGACCACTTCTCCCCCTTGCTACCGTTCCCAGTACTGCTAGAGTACTCATTCGATCGACTCATTGACTCCAACCACACTTTTGCTTCGAACTTGCTTCGGAAACAACTTGACGAGCAGTGTGGCCTGTGGATTTCGTTGGAGGCGCTTGAATACATATACCTAGGAAAGGATATGTCACTTTCCTCGATAATCGATCACGAAGTATTCGACTTGATCGATAAAGGAATTCAGTCCTGGAATGATAGGTTCTTCCTTACCGAGCTAGCACAAGGAACATTCGGTAGCCTAGCATGCATCGACCCCAGTCGCCTCATAATCAGATCGAAGCAGATCGGGCTACAGGATTTTGAATATCACTGTCGCTCCGCCCAGATCTTGAAGGCGATCGCCATGGACTATATTCTTCCTTGGCCAGTGGCTAATATCATCACAAAACAGTCGCTTTCGGCATATAGACGTGTGTCAACCTTCCTAATGCAAATACGACGAGCCAAGTACGTCGTGGAGCGACAGCGTCTCCTGAGATCGCTACATTCCGAGACCGAAAGCGAGAAGAAAGACGATATCCTCGGGTATAGCATTCGACACCACCTCCTCTGGCTTCTAAACGTCCTCTACGCACATCTCACACAGCTTGTCATCTGCACCTCGACTACAATCATGAAGGAAGCGCTATCGAAAGCGAAAGATGTAGATGGGATGATAGCCGCTCACGAATCGTACACCTCGTCATTGGAAGACCAATGCCTCCTGTCCCCCAATCTCACTCCTATTTACCAAGCGGTCATATCCCTTCTTGACCTGTGCATACACTTCTCTGACATTCAAATCTCACGTCACGGCGACAACCAATTCGACCAGGGAAACAGGAAATCATTCCATTCATCCTCCGGGCGTCGATACAGGACTAGTGGTAGTCTGCATCAGCGGCGTCGTCGTTCACGGTCCCGAGAGATTGAATCTAGCTCTGTTGCAGATGATGATAGCGTAGATGATGCTGATGATAGCATGATGGACGAGGGAAATTTAACCAGTGTCTCCTTTATTGAGACCTCATATAGGAAACGATTAATAGGCGTTAGGGATAAATTCGAACATCTATGTTCGTTCATTACGGCAGGGTTGCGGGGAATGGGACGGGTGGATGGCCACAATAGTTGGGAGATTCTCGCAGAGAAATTAGAGTGGAGGAAGAGTAGAGGTGGACATGTATGATGAGTTGTCGAAGATAGAGTTAGAGGCATCCTATGTCCGCCTGGCAAATGCAACGAGCCAGGTTGATTACTACATATATTGTACGCCCTATAATTATCGATACCGGGGCTTCTGATGTAGATACTCCCGTCGATCAGAGCTATCCTGAAATACTCATGCCAAATACCCGAAGAGCTAGCTTAACGAGATCCGCGTCCTTATATACAATCAAAACTCGAGTCTGTTTATATGTTTTCTATAATTACCCAGTATGAATATGAACATGCGACTCTCGGTGCTCAACATGCAAAAGAAATAGAGAGGTGCGTAAGAAAGAAGCCACAAGTAGGGCGGTAGTAGATGGGGAACATGACAATTGGTACACTTCGTAGCCAAGAATGGAACAGCAGAATATATCAGGGTGACTTTATAACTAGAACAAACCTAGGTCACGAGAGATGTAATGACAATCAAAAAGAAGCAGCTTTTAGAGTAATCTAACCAACCCATCTTCTTGCACTGTAAAACATCCGGCCCCAGGGACCGATATTGCCCCATTCCTCGACCTTTTCGGGGGGTATCCAACTTCCAACGCCTGCCATTATAGTCCGCTCAGGGTGCGGCATTAGCGCCAAGACCTTACCATCGGGCGTTCGGACTCCAGCTATACCTTCTGGGCTACCATTAGGGTTGAACGGGTATTTCGTTGTAGGTTTTAGCGAGGAGTTATCGACGTAGCGGATCGGTGCGAGATTCTGTTTCACAAGGCTCTCCGCGTTTGAGCTGGAGTTCGTGAACGATGCCCGGCCTTCGCCATGGGCGACGGCGATGGGCAAGCTAGAACCGTGCATCCCGTGGAGGAAAACACTGGGTGTTGCCGGGTCCGGATCGCTGATGCCGACCATGCAGACGCGGCCTTCGTACTGTTCACTCGCGTTTCGTTCAAAGCTAGGCCAGTCCTGTGCGCCTGGGATGAGTTCCTTGAGACGACTAAGGAACTGGCAGCCGTTGCAGACGCCAAGGGTAAAGGTATCTGAGCGCTGGAAGAAAGATTGGAATTCGTTGCGGGTGTCTTTATGCAGGAGTACTGATTTAGACCAGCCCTGGCCAGCACCGAGGACATCACCATATGAGAACCCTCCGCAAGCTGCGAGGCCGACAAAGGATGAGAGAGAAACTTGTCCGGAAATAATATCTGTCATGTGCACGTCAACGGCAGTAAAGCCGGCCATGTTGAAAGCGAAGGCCATTTCAGCTTGGCCGTTAACGCCCTGTTCACGAAGGATCGCAACCCGTGGTTTGGCGGAGAAGGGGGAGAAGAGAGAAGTAAGGTTGGTTATCAGGGGCAACACGGTTTCCTTGGGGTCAAAAGAGAGGTTGTATGATAGGCCCCGATCTCCGTCGTCAAGGATATTTGCGTACTCTTGCTCTGCCGCTGCGGGATTGTCTCGGAGTCGTTGCATTTGGTGGGATGTGTTGGCCCATGCCTGTTGAAGATTGGCACGAGAATTCCGATAGATCGGGACTACCGAACTGTGGTAAATTACAAGATCTTGATCAGATTTGATGGGTACCTCACCGATTCGGAATATCAAGCCAGGTGGAGGGCCACAGGTTGCAAAGCACTTTTTGAAAAGATTCTCATGCTCTTTGCGCACCTGGAACACAGCGCCAAGCTCCTCGTTGAAAAGAGTCTCGAGAACATGACGAGTATCTGAACTTTGACATATACCATCGAGCATAATGTGTAGCCCACATCTACCGGCAAACATCATTTCAGCGAGAGTTGTGAAGAGACCGCCATCTGATCGATCGTGGTAGGCAAGGACGATACCGCGCTCTTGAAGTTGTTGGATAGCGTCGAAGAAGTCTTTCAGAAGCTGGACTTCGTGAACATCGGGGCATTGATTTCCTACTTGTCCGAACACCTGCGCTAATGAGGACCCCCCAAGAGCCTTGCGACCGAATGAGAGGTCAACAAACAGAAGAACAGTCTCGCCCACCTCCTCACGTCTGCGGAGTGCTGGTGTCCATGTTTTACGTATGTCGCCAACAGGCGCAAACGCTGAGATAACCACGGACAACGGGGCAGTAACTTCACGTGGTTCTTGAGACTTTTCATCTTTCCATTTCATCTTCATTGACATTGAGTCCTTCCCAACAGGAATACTAATACGTAGCTGTGGACATAGTCCCATCCCAATGGCTTCAACAGCTTCGTATATGGCCGTACCTTCTCCAGGATGGCTTGCCGCTGACATCCAATTGGCCGAGAGCTTGATACGGGTCAATTGGCCAAGCACATCAGCGGCGGCAATGTTCATAAGTGATTCTGCAACAGCCATTCTTGCAGAAGCAGCAGGTGAAATTAAGGCCAGGGTTGGTTTCTCTCCTATAGCCATAGCCTCACCAGTTTTCATTCCCTGCAGCAATGATGTTGCCGTAACAGAGACATCTGACACAGGAACTTGCCAAGGTCCAACCATTTGATCTCTCGCCGTCAGTCCACCCACGGTTCTATCGCCAATGGTAATGAGGAACGATTTCGAACCAACAGCCGGTAGATTGAGGACTCTAGTGACAGCTTCGCTAAACAATCCATCCTTAGGGAAGTTGGGCAGATAGGTTTTAAGGCTGGAGTCGAAGGGAGGAAGAGGAAGTTGTCTAGATGTAACGTTCCTCGTCATTTTCGGTGGTTTTCCGAAGAGTACGGAAAGGGGGAGGTCGATTGGGTCAGGTTGGTCTTTAGAATCTCGGTCAAGAAGAATTAGCCTCCTGTCTTCTTCAGGTTGACCCAGTCCGCGGCCAACAACTGAATAACCGCAACGTTCCCGTTTCGCGATCGCCACGAATTTATTCATGCTTTCCTCTCCTACAGCCATTACATATCGCTCTTGCGCTTCACAGCACCATATCTGCATAGGACTCATCCCTTTATCTGCATTGTCAATCTCACGGAGCTCAAATTTTGCTCCCAGCCCAGCATCATGAATAAGTTCAGGTAAAGCATTAGATAGGCCTCCTGCTCCGACATCATGGATGAACTTAATGGGGTTATCGGCTCCCATAGCCGCGCAGGCGTTAATGACTTCCTGTGCTCTCCGTTGGACTTCTGCATTTCCTCTCTGGACGCTAGCAAAATCTAAATCAGCGGAGCCTTCTCCAGATGCAATACTGGAAGCTGCACCTCCACCCAAACCGATGAGCATGGCCGGTCCGCCAAGGACCACCAAATATGAACCCGGTTTGACAGTGTGTGGATTTTTGAGTGCGTGCTGTGGCCGGACAGTCCCAACGCCACCAGCAATCATAATGGGTTTATGATAGCCTCGGAGCTCCGATTCTCCATCCCCGATATCGATTTTGGTGAGGAAGGTTCGGAAGTAGCCGGTTGTACACGGTCTTCCAAACTCGTTGTTGAATGCAGCACTGCCGATCGGGGCCTCAAGCATAATATCCAAACTGCTTGCGATATGATTGGGCTTTCCAACATCGAGTTCCCAAGGTTGTCTATGCCCTGGAATCAATAGATCCGAAACGCAGAAACCACTAAGACCGGCTTTCGGCTTCGAACCTCTGCCAACAGCTCCTTCATCACGAATTTCACCTCCAGATCCAGTTGCGGCACCAGGGTAGGGTGAGACCGCGGTGGGGTGGTTGTGCGTTTCGACTTTGGCCAAGTAATGAACCTGCTCTTTTGTCTGAGTCCATTCTCCGTTCACCGGGCTAGGGGCCCAATAACTGGCTATTTCTCCTTCTAGAACAGCAGCATTGTCGCTATATGCACTAATAGTGTGCTCCGGGGTTTTTTTGTGGGTGTTTCTGATCATACCAAATAGAGTATGGGGTTTCTCCTCGCCGTCAATGATCCAGGTAGCATTGAATTGTTTATGGCGACAATGTTCAGAATTTACTTGCGCGAACATAAACAGCTCGACGTCGGTGGGAGGGCGACCAACTGGGCCATCAGGCGCATACGCATCGACCAGGTAGTCGATTTCGGATTGGTCCAATGCCAAGCCAAGTCGGGTATTTGCTTTTTGTAGAACCTCAACCGGGGATTTGCCCTCTCCATAAAGAGGTATCGTTTCAAGGGGAAGAGGTTGATGCTCCGAGAACATGAGGTGAAGATCTGGTTCATCTTTCGAAATGATTTGAGTCATTCGATCATGAAGAACGTCCAACGCAGCCTTATCCAAGTCTTCGCGTCCTTCAGCAAGCAGGCACGAGATTCGCAAGCCGCGCTCAATGCGCTTGACGCTACTTTTAAGGCCACAAACATGGGATATCCCGGTAGCTTGGGAACTCCATGGGGATATGGTGCCGGTTCGTGGAGTAACGTGATAAACTGTGAATGGTCCATCTGTTGACTCGAACGATGAAGGAACGCCCACAATATCTCCGTAATGTAGAAGCTGTTCTAGCACCGCGCGCTCGCTTTGCTGTAAATCCCCAGCAGCATGAACATAATGAACCCACTGGGCACGCACCTCCTTCACCCCGATGCTTTCCGCAATGGAGCGGCTCCGGGATTGAGAAAAGGCAATTGAGCCCGGGATTGTGAGATAGGTCGACTGCGAGGAAGTCATTGTGAATGCCAGTCAATGCAGATGGGTATCTGAGCAAAGTGCAGCTGCTCAAAATTCATGTATTGTTAGCCGATGTGGGATGCCAAAGACACACTCGGTGCAATTTGACTCACTTGGACGAGCTAGCGAGAAGCTGGGTTCGATAGGGGGATACCCCGAGCCAAGGGCTTTTGTAAAGAAGGGATTCGCGCTATCTAAACATCTGGGAACCCGCCATCAGCAATATCAACTCTCCAGTTGCTGTTCCTAATGAGTCGGTGTTGCGCAAAATGTTCCCCGCCAAGCGCGAGAATTTGTCCGTGATGGGTCACGTGGTGATAGGCTTTTGGCCCCTCATTAGCGATGAGTCAGCCAGGAAAAATATAAGTCACATGACTATGGTTAATCCACGTCATTCCTTCAACGTTCGAGAAACAAAAGACGAAGTCATACAGCCAACCAACTGCTCGCTGGAGTGTCAACACGGAATCGCTGCTGTTGGCAAGTTACTGAACTCAACCCACTGCTTCATTCATCTTCTTCTGGCTCTTTCGCAGTAGCTATTTGAATCTGCATTCGTCTTGAGGAACCTTGTCCGGCTGGACAAGAGTGTGAGTTCCCAGAAACATTCCTAGACTTTGCGGACTCCAAAATACGACTTGTTTCTGGCAAAACTTTTATCTCTTACGAGCGAGGTGTCTTTCCTGGTCAGCTACTGTTGGGGGTCCCGGGGGTTGATCGGCCCTTCTACCAGCAGCGCTGGTGGTGACTGAGCTCTTTTGCCCCAGTAGCCTACAGCTACCTAGGTCCTTAGTCTGTTGATCACGTGATAATCTCTTTCATAAACCCGGCACAAGGGAGGGGAGACGAGCGCTTTTGTTCAAGAAAAAAATGCCGTGGAAAGTACGAGGAAGAAAAAGTACTCATATTGAAGTTTCGATTGCCAAACCTGGTATTCCCTCATTCTGCGCGCTTGCTTGGCGCTCGAGAGAGTCGAATCGCGCAATCAGCGAAGTAGCTCAAGCTTACAGCGAACGACTTACCCAAACACCTTCTAACATCGGTTCCTGGGCTGTTTGATCCGGAGAGATCCAGCTTTCATTTGCATGTCCACCGGACACCGGAAGAAGGACCAGTCCAGCTGCCCAGGTGGCGCGCCCTACCTTACTAGGTCCCGTCGACGACCCGGGCTTTTTAAATATTGCGCGAGGAATACGTATGTACTGTAGTGTACATGCACATGCCAGTTGGATACATCGGCATGTAGTTGATAGGCGAGAAGTTGCTAATTTGCTAATTATTTATTCCCACATTCATTCTGTTAGATTTTCGATTTCTCAACGGCAACTGAAGTCTTTCTTGATATTTCGTTCGTAGCAGCAGACTATAACATTCTCGAGCCGACACCAAAGAAATCATTCAAGCCTGGTTTGCCCTCTGAAAACTATTGAATCCGACATCATTAGCTTTGAACCCCTTGCTTTGTTCTCCTATTTACACCTGATGTTGTAAAGCCACATTTTTGAGCCCCTTTACGCAGCGTAAACTACTCGAACTGAGGAGTTGGCTACCTAATCATCAAAGAAAAAGAAACTGAGTCTCTAATACATGATGCTTACTTTATCTTCCAACCAACAGTAATCAAGCTTCATACACTCGCAAACATAATAGACTGGAGTTCAACCCTTCTCTGTATTAATGGGGCCCCGAACAGTTCCCGAGATTGCACCGAGCGCCGACAGAGAAACACCTACACCTTCTCTCTACGTTTCCTACAATGCTTTATATATCCAATGACTACTAAACAAGCATAAAAACTTGTATTTGCTTCATTTAGGTATATGGCACTATCTCGTGCCTGTTCCCACAATGAAGTCACCGATACCGCCGAGGTGCCGCGTTACCCGGGCCAGAATTTTACCCCCCTGATATATATAAACTTGCCGGGCGCCCAGTCCATCCCGCATTCTCAGGCCGACCGCTACCCTTGAGGCATCTACGACAGAAACTCAGGAAGGCCGGATCATAAAGCCAGTCAGATCTAACGTTACTGGGAAGATCGAGGACCACAACCTCATTACTTTCAAGCTCAACGATCCAGAAAACCCTAAGAACTGGAGCAAAGCGCGGAAATGGTACATCACGAAGGTTGAGCTATATCTTGCTTCCTTCGTCGTCGCTTTTGATAGTAGTGTGATCACAGCTGGTATAGGACAGGTAGCGGAGGAATTCGACATAGGGGAAATTGTGGACCTCCTTACGATTACAGTCTGTGGTATGTATTGGATTCCAAAGTGTTGGTAAGTTTGGGGTTTCGCCCCTTTGAAAATTTGGTCGTGTCGGATGGAAGTACCTAGGCGTATTTTCTTGACATTAAATATGTCATTTACAGAGCCAATGTCAGAAATGTTTGGACGAAAGCCAGTATATGTCCCTACACTGTCGGTCGCTGTTGTCTTCTTGATTACGGAGTACATAGTGTCAGGAGAGGGCTGTGTGGGCGCTAGTCACGTTCACCGCCCCTGAGACGTCCACGGGTACACTCCCACGCTTCTCGTCAACAGGGCCAAAAAGATGAGAGAATGAGACAAAGAACGATAGATACGTGACAGAACAAGACCTTGATTCTAGATCATGAGGGGAGGAGAACCTGTGCTTGTTCCTTTTCCCGCCGTTCCAGCTTTCTTTTTGGAACCAAATCGTTTCGATTTGTATGTCCATTCTATACCGGCTGTTTTACATGTTTTTTCAGTGCGTAAGTTGCCTATGGTGGAGTAGAAATTTTGGTTTACCGGGAAAAAGTGACTAGTTAACTCCCTTTCCAGATTTCCGAACGTTTATCACAAAAGGCTATTCTGCCGGTATAGTACTTGGCCTGATGTTTATTCCTCTCGCAATCGGAGTCTTACCAGCGCTTGCTGTGCTCCACTAGTCAACAACCAACTACATAAAGCTGAGCCAAAAAAAAATATGGCGGGAAGCCCCATGCTGAGATGGGTTTGATTCCTAAGATGATGTCCTGCTGGTGTATTCCAAGAAATGTTCATTTTTGCGTGGACCTCATATTCTTGCATTCATTGGATTGGGCCGACAATTGGAGGTTTCCCAGTTGGATTTGGATTCATTTTCTTGGTAACAATACGCTACCTAAGGTCCCGTCCATTCAAATGGTTTGGGCTATGACATCACGCTAACACAATTTCCGCAGTTGACACCTATCAACATCAGGCTACTTCCCGCGCTTGCCGCCAAAACCTTTCTACGATCCATGTCCTTTAGTTAAACGTTCGTTACCAGTGCGCAAGCTCATTTATCCCGTTCCTTGGTTGACGTGCTGCGCAATCCCATTCGCTTTCTATTTCAAGGGAGGCGATTCCGAAGCACTCCAGATATGCCTTTTGTTGACCAGAGAAATAATAATCTAACAACACAATCCGTTCGGCCCACATTTGTTCTCTAGCAGCAGACCATGCGGTTGGAATTAATGGCCAACTACTTCGTGGACTCCTGGTATTCGTGGTTTTTCAACACGAGAACCAAAAATGCTGGTCATTTCAATGCTTCCTTCGACAATGCTTCCTTTTCTACTTTTCTGTTTCCTTTTCCTCTTATCTTGCACTGCCCTGTATTTCCTACCACCCGGTACTATCTTTCGGTATTTAATGTCTTTCACCCCTTTTTCTTCATCAATTGGTTTACCTCGTAGCATAAAAAAAACATTTACTGAGCGGGTTGTTTCATTTGCTTCTCATTGCCCTATTGATTTGGCGAAAGGTGCAGCGCTTGATACCATTTCTAGAGCATCGATGATAGATCAAAAACGTATATAGTGTTCTATTATTATTGTCCATATCACAGTTAATAAAAATAATTCAAGAAAAAAACTTTAACTATTTCTTCCAGTTATTTTACATGCGCCACAATCGGACTATCATTGGTCCGGAGGGGAGTCCATCTTGAAGCCCCCCATCTAAATCCGCTTTTCCAACTCCCTCCGCCGCCCCGAGATGCCAGCGACTATGTATTGACCAGCCAAAATACCAGACTCCTATATAGATTCTTTTGTCAATAGTAACAATGATCCCAATGCCTTTCATTCTCAACAGCATACCCTTTTTATAAAAGCTCAGCCGATCATGTCGCTACAACTTTCCACTAGTGCCGCCGCCACCACCTCCCCGCTTACATCCATCTCAACCCCTGTTTCCGAACTCCCCCAGGCGCAGGTGGATGCAATCATTCGCACCAAACGCAAGGCGCGCGAACCCAAAGCCTGCTACCCCTGTCACACCCGCAAGGTAAAATGTGATCGCAATCTGCCCTGTGACGGCTGCGTCAAGCGAGACCATGCGGATCTGTGTTCGTACGAACGGCCCTCGAAAAAGCGGCAGGTTGCTGCAGCCCAAGCGTATGTTGCAGCTGCAACGACAGCAGCGACCACCAGCAATGGAGCTGAGCCTGGCAGTCTCCAAGTGAGCCCGACGGAGCTGCAAGTTGCCACTACGGGTGCTGCAGGTAAAGTGGCTATTCCCAAGGAGGAATGGGAGACAGTCTGCGCCAAGTTGAAGGATATGGAAAATATGATCTCATCGCTTCGGATGGGTCTCGAGCAGGTGGAGTCTGCCCAGCCTATACCATCAACGATCCCAAGTGCTAGTTCAGGTGCTCGTTCGGCGGATAGCTTTCCAGACCGCGAAGGAATTCATGCGTCGAATGAGCTGGGGAATGGGACCGTACATCTGGGATCAAGGTCCGTCTTGGCCTACCTGCTTGGTCGATCAGGCACTTCGCAAGAAGCTTCCCAGGCGTTACTTGAAGGGGGCATTCTTCCGAAGCTGGGACTTGATAATGAATCGGCTACATACCCGTTCGTTGATCTCTGGTCAACGGATATACGTACATTCGACATGCGTGCTGTCTGTGCGGTTTTACCCGACGATGACCAGTGCAGGATGTAAGGTTTATTTTATTTTGTTTTATTTACTTTTTTGTCTTCTTCCCTCTTCAGCTCCACAAGCACATTTTTGCTAAATAGTAAAACTCTTGTTGGTTCTATTTCTTCTACCTTAGGTTCATTCGAAGTTACCGTGATATCAGCACAACAATCTATCCGGTTATTCCTGATATCGATCAGTTTGAAGCGAATCTAAATACTCTCCTGCAAAACAGGATGCTGTGGGGCGGTCTTCAGCAAGGATCTAGTGAGGATACGGACAAGCCCTACGGGATGAGCCTGGCTTTTGTTGGGTTGCTCTTCGCCGCACTGGCTGCGGGGTGCCAATCATCCGACCTTCCTAGCAAGGAGAGGGAGTTGACCTCCCAAGTTTACGGTATGTCTCCTTTCTGAATCGCCCCCGCCATACTCCCAGTTTCCATTGTAAACAAATCTAATACATGTTTTAGTATGCTGCTCATATCAATTTTTACGAATGACGAATTTCTTGTCTCAACCGACGCTCGAAGCGATACAGACATTGCTTATTATCGGCAACGTCCTTTCGTACAATATGAATCCCGGCGTTTCTTACGTTTTACTGGGTGAGTATTCTGTCAAATGCCAATTACTTCACCTCAATTACTTAAGAAGTATACAACGATACTAACCTTTCTTTCACAGGTATGACTCTAAGAATGGGTCTTGCTCTTGGTTTACACGTAGAGTCGAACAGGTTTTCATCTGCTGAAAGATACATTCGGCGAAGAGTTTGGTAAGACTCAACTATCGCCTCTGGTGGTGGTCATTTCTGTAGCTTGTTTCGTCCTAATGCTTACTTACTTGCACAGGTGGTCGATGGCATGGCAAGATAGTCACTTCTCCTTGTCGTATGACAGGCCATCCACGATGGCGTTTAGCCAACCAGATATACCCTACCATTCGACCTCACAGCCAGGGCACCGCTCTTACTTCGAAACTCTCAGCCGGATAATCTCACTCACCTTGGAAATTCTCAAGGGGCGCATGCTATCACCGCAGTCGCACATGGGGGTCACTGTCATCCAGGCATACAGGGATGAACTTCAAAAAATCATGACAGATGTATCCCCACACCTCCGCGACCCGGCATCCTGCCTCACCCACTTCGACCACATCCAAAGATTAGCATTGAAACTACACTCATCTTATGTAACGTCAGAACTCTGTCGACCCGCATTGAAGAATGCCGAGTCAAAGGACCCTTCCTGGGTAGCCATGCGCAAGGATTGCGTCGCCGCCCTCGCCCGCACCATCGAGGCCTATATAGAATTATATTCGATCAGTCCCCAGGCTGGGCGATCATGGATCGGTCTGCAACGCGCAATCAGTTCCGCCTTCCTCCTCGCCGTGATTGGCGAATCTAAAAACGACCCGTACATTTTGCAACTACTCCGCCGGCTTGAATCAGTGATAGCAGAACGTGCAGCGTCTGAAGGTGCCTTTAACGCCCCTGCTACCGCTACCGGCCCAAGCACAGCTGGCACTGCAGGGATGCACTCACCGCAACAGGCATACCGTGCCACGAAGATAGAGCGTTCTGACATGATCAATGGCACTACAAACATATCCACTCCAAGCTACGACCCGGTATCAGTCTCCATCGCCTCTACTGCCCCGCTCCCCATCTCTGTTGTAGCCGACACTCAGACCCAGTGGGCAAAACCCTTAACCAAATCGCTCCGTGCCCTGCAAAAACTCAACGCCGCCTTCAGCATGCAGGCGCAGCACAAGAAAAGCCCGTCGGCGGCGCCGCTGCATATGGTCGTTCATGGCTGCGCTAACACTGGCAGCACAAACAACACCGGCACCGCCGCCATACCCACGCCGTCGTCCACTTCCCCGCCTAGTGTTGGAGGTGGGTTCGCCGTGTCGACAACGGGAAGTAGCGCTGCGGGTCTAACCCATCCGGCAAAGCCTGAGTCGCTCCCGCCACATACGCCGGAGAGTACGACGAGTGGAGAGTGGACGTTGCCGAATTTGATGGATCGGGCGGCGGAGTATATTCATCCACCGTTGTGGGCGTGAAGGGTGTATTATATATATATGTATACACTCTCGACATGGAGGCTGAACTGGGGTTGCGGGTGGCCTGAGAGATGAAAACGGGCTCGCGGGAGAATATGCCACGAGCACAGAGAGGGGAAACAGGAAAAAAAGGGAAAAGGCAAGAAGTGGAAAAAAAAAAAAAAAAAAAAAAAAAAAAAAAAAAAAAAGAGGAAAAGAAGACGAAGACGAAAGCAAAAGTTTGGAATAAACGGGCTTGGAAGTACGTTCCCTTTGTCTCCCCCCCACGCACGTACCTATAGTCTAGTAGGTACTTAACTCTTTACTATACGCTTCGTATGCATCTTATCCCACCATCCCATCGTTTGGGTGTCGTTTATTCCTACATTCACGTCCCCCCCGCGCCCCGGCGGCATACGACAACGTACTATATTTTTTTTTAACTTTCCCTATACACATCCCTACGCAGTATATTTTTTTTCCCCTTTCGCTTTACTTTTTTTAAAAGTCCTTGAGCAAGATCATCATCGGAGCCATTCGTCACCACTACCAGCACACCATGTTCAGCCTGAGATTTTCTTTTTTTTTCTTTTTTTTTCTTCTTCTTTTCTTTTAATATGTAACTTCTTTCTATTATTATTAATGTCTTCGGAGGTTGGCGCATGGATAAAATTAAAAGGGGTTTCTCTTTTAAAAAGTTGAAAACAAGGGGCCGGCGCAACAAGAAACGGAGAAACGGATTTTTTTTTTTGTCGAGCGTTTTATTGGAAGTTGGGAAGGGAAGAAAAATATTGAAAAAGGATAGACTAATCTCTAACTCACTCTCTCTCTCTTGCACAAAAGTTATAGATGTGTGTACATGTATGTACAAAAAAAAAAAAAAAAAGAAAAGAAAAGAAAAAAAAAAGTTCATAATGGAGTAACTTATTCTATTAACTATCTGTTTTGAAAAATGGTATGAAAAATGGTCTCATTGACACATTAATTTATCTATGCAGCATTCAGATGAGTGTAACAAATTGTTGGAATCCCATCTTTTTTGCATTTCCTGACTTTCCTTTCAAAGATGGCAGAGAGGGAGAGAAGTAATGAAACAGGGCTAAGAGAGAGACTCTCATTCCACAACTACAATAAATCACCACTATATATATATACATCCCTACTTGTTTTTCTCCGCTGCCTGTTCTTACAGCTAAGTTGTGGTTTTGGTTTTGAGGCCATCACAAAAGAAAAAGAGTATGGAATAAATAGTAGAAATAGTAATAATAATAAAACAAGAACCTATTGTCATCCCCCCCGCTTCTTCCTAGTGTTCATATAGTTACATGTACATATATGCAAGTCATTTTTGGGTGTTTTGTGATGAGTGAGAGATTGCTGGCTAGTGTGTGTATGTATGGTGTATGTGTGTGTGTGTGTGTTTGTTTTCCTTCTCATCTTCTTTCTTTCCTTCTCTTCTTTCATCTTTTTTATTTTTTTCCATTTCCCCATTTTCGCATTGCAATCAATAATCGCCATCCCTATGGCTACCCTACCCCCCATTCATCACCATCTATCTCCCTATAACAATTCATCCCGTTCCTGCTCCCGCAATCCACATCTATGTCCTTGCCCTCGCCACCCCCACATTACCCTCGACGCTTTTTCGTTTTCTATTTTTTTTCCCGGATATTTTAGGGGTTCGGGGTGTATGTATTATATATTTGAAACAATGATGGGACCGCCAACCCCAATTCCAATTCACCACTTTAGAAATGCGAGTTGTCTGGTAGAGGAGGAAAACGGAGGCAGGCAGGTGACAGGAGAGATATTACAGATGGGAGAGAGCGGAGAGAGGGAGAGAGAGAGAAAGTAGATAGAGAGGAGAGGGCGGGAAACCAAATTGATATTGAGTCTTTTTCGAAACGGAATAAAAAACGGTTTAAGGAAAGGAGAAAGGAAGAAAGGAAGAAAAAGAATGGCGGTGGGTGCTTTATTTCTGCTCCTGGGGATACAATTCCTCCTGGAGCGTGACTCCGAGTTCCTCTCGTAGACTCTTCAGTTCTTCGAGGTACATTTCGTATTGGGCCTTGTTTTCGACCTTGGCTCTGATGCCTGTGGGTGTTTATTTTTCCCGATTGGAGTGTTTGTCAGTATTCTGGTGTGAAAGTGTGATTGCTGAAATTGCAATTGGCATTCTTGTTCGTGTGTATGGGAAGCAAAACGAACCTTCGAAGATTCTAACGGCGGTGGGGAAGTCGTTGACTCTGCGGGCAGCCTTGAGGGCGGCGGTCATGACGCTGACGGAGGGGACGAGATCGTAGGCGAAGGCATTGTTAAGGTTTCGCTGTATGGTTTCGACAGGGAGGGTAATTATTAGCCTTCAGCTATATTTTTGTGAGGGAAGCGGGATTCAATCGGCAATTGGAATTCCCGGAATGATAGGATAGGAGAGTTTGGGGAAGGGTTTTATACCTGCAGTTCGAAGACATCCTGTACACCATCGAATTCCTTCTCATATCTATTGAACAATTTTGGAATTGAGGGTTAGATGGGTTGTAAAACAATATGGATATAAATAACCAAAAGTAAAAATCAAAATCAAAATGAAAATAGAAAAGAGGCTCATTAGTTGCAGGCGATGTCGGAGGGTGTGCGGATCGGGAAAGAGTTGTTACGAGCGCATACCTGGCAGAGAACTCTTCAAAAGTCTCCTCCTCATGGCCCATAGCTCCGCTGGCGCATTTGGACGACGAGCTGAAGCTGCTCACTCCTCCAAAAGCGACAATGGCGGGAGCGGCGGCAGCAGCGAAGACGGGCGCGGCAACTCTTGATCGGGCAGAGTAGGAAGCTCTGAAAAAGCCGACTGGGGCTGTGCGCGAGGCAATGCGGAAGAGGGTGGTGGACGACATTGGGGGGAGAGAGGTTGCCGATTGAGCTAGACTGAGCGGGATTGGGAGATGTTGGACAGCGCAGAGGAGCGGTGGTGGTGGTGGTGGTGGTGGTTGTGGTGGTGATTGTTGGGCGAGGAGAAAAGGCGAAGTGGTTGATGGTTGGTTGTGGTTGGTGGGAGTTGGCTGTGGGAAGTTCTCGGAGCGGTTTAGCCTGGGGCGGGTTTGGTCAGCAATTTGGCCCGACCTGGTTGGGTTCCATATATCAGATCACATACAACATACAACATACAACATACAACATACAACATACAACATACAACATACAACATACAACATACAACATACAACATACAACTGTTGTTAACATACAGCATCAAGCAGCTCAAGAGTGCACCCCTCTCAAATTGCTGTAGTTAGGCAGTGATAGATAGCCGTGGTTCGTCGCAGAGTATCGTACACTACGAGGACAAGAGCCTGTCTAAAAAAAAAAAAAAAAAAAATTATTCAGTCTAACCCTCAACCCGCGGAGGCTGCTGCTTGCTCGTCAAGCGCTGATAGCCAGCAGGAGAGTGCAAGAGATGGCAAGTAGGTACATGTAGATACACTCGTTCTCATGAGCAGCTTTGTTCAGTTGAAAGGATGCCAATTAATATCTATAGTACAGAAGAAGCGCTCTCGTTCTTCTGGCTTTGCTATGTAGCTGCGGCTCTGCTAAGTCAGATATATATATATGTACTCCGTATTGTTCACAGTTTTTCTCCCAATCGTATATGACTGACTGTTGTTCCAAGAAGCCTCATGCTACTTGGATGCACTTTTTAAACCCTGCAATTCTCTTCTCATTTCTTTTCTTTTCTTACCTTCTTTTTGCCATTGTACCACCAAATCCAAGGGTTTTGAATTCGACATCTTGGCTGGTAGAGAACCATGCCATGCCCATGCCCATTCTGCATCTTCTGGTCAACCTTGAATACTTTCAGCAACTACTTTAAACATTCTTCTTCAACTCATGGATGCCCCAATTCAACCTTTTTCACCTTCTGACGAGGGGTTCATCTTTGGGTTTGTTTTTTCCTTTTACCTTTTCCCAACTCTGGTCTGATTTGACGTAATTTTCGGCATCTTGCTTTTCCTTCCATTGTAATAATCTGTATTATCGGATGTAATGACGGGACTGTAATTTACCTAGGTAGTCGTATGACCAGTTCCAGCCCAATCACATGCCATGCTGACCGAAATGCCCAGAGCCCGCCAAGTAGGCCAATGTCGCCGTGCGTACTGGCCGATACAACCAAGCAGCTGTCTGTTGCCATGCTTCTTGTGTGCGTTGCCCCTGTTGTCCCTACTACGGGCTTGGGCGGATCGAGGTAGTGTAATTTATTCTTTCCAAGGGCCGATTGTACTGTGGGGGGTTTAAATTACGCTGTTACATAGAGTTTACACTGAGTGTACACTGAGTTTACACTGAGTTTACACTTTACTGCTCGTTGAGAACCCCGTCCACAGTACAGTGCCAGTACCACAGATCCATCCCCCTCCCAATCGGGCCGCAATCCCCTGTCACACGCGTACATACCATACCATTCCAAACCATACGATACCTCCTTTTTTTTTTTTTCCTCTCCTCCTCAACTCTACGCCGACTCGCTATATTTCGCTTCATCTTCAAACTTCATTTCTTTCTTCTCATTATTGATTTATTTCTCCCAACTTCTCTCCTCTCCGCGCCTTTCTGCTGCCTGTCCTCTCTGCAGCCCCCGCCTTTTTGTTTGGCGTCTTCTTCTTCTTCCACTTCTTCCGCTTTTTCCTCTTCTTCTTGTCACTCCTTCATCGGTCCCCGTTTCCCTACCACTTTTTTTTTTCTCCCTCTTCTCCTTAACATTTTTTTTTTCTTTTTTCTTTTTGGGTGTGGCTCTGCCTCTGCAGATCGATTGGATCGCCATTTGGATCTGAACAGCATACTACATTACATACCGTTATATATAAATTCCCGCATTTAAACCCTGTCGCGCCGTGATCAATTTTTATTATTTTATTTGTGTACGATTATATGTGTATGCGTTTGACTGAAACTACTCCTTGCAACGCTCTCACCCTCGAAAACTGCCATCTCCTCCTGTCATCCTGACCATAACACACACACGTCTCTTCGATATGTCGTTCGACCTCAGCTCCATCCCAATTCCAACCCTCGACCGTCCGTTCGGCATTGAACTATGGCCGCTCTTCTCCAAGGCTTACACGGCAGTCGCGGGGTTCTCGCCGGAAGACTTTAAATTCACTCAAGGCCAGACTCCCATGTCGACCTTGAACGGAACCCTCATTTCCCTCGCGTCCTACTATATCATCGTCTTTGGCGGTCGAGAGATCATGAGAAACCGCCCCGCGATGAAGTTGAATGGTGTTTTCCTCATACACAATCTATACCTGACCTTGATCAGTGGAGCGCTACTGGTTCTGTTTATCGAACAACTTCTTCCGACGCTGTGGAGGAAAGGCGTTTTTTATGCTATTTGTGACGTTAAGGGTGGTTGGACGGCTCCCCTGGTTGTTCTATATTATGTATGGCACATATTCCTTTTGTCGGATATATATTATGTTTGGTTAAACGTAAAGTGTACCCGCTAACACTTCCGTTATAGTTGAACTATCTCACCAAATACCTGGAGCTCCTCGACACCGTCTTCCTCGTCCTCAAGAAGAAGCCTCTTACTTTCCTCCATACCTACCACCATGGTGCCACAGCTCTTCTGTGCTACACGCAGTTGATTGGTCACACAGCTGTCTCCTGGGTGCCCATCACCCTAAACCTCCTGGTCCACGTCGTTATGTACTGGTACTATTTCCAGAGCGCCCGGGGCATCCGCATCTGGTGGAAAAAATGGGTCACCATCCTCCAGATTGTACAATTCGTCATTGACTTGGGTGAGTAATAAAATAACAACTCAACCCCAACAAAACAATCCAAAACCACATGCAAACTAATACACTCTACAGGATTCGTGTACTTCGCATCCTACACCTACTTCACATCAACCTATTTCCCACACATGCCCAACGCAGGGCACTGCGCCGGCGAGGAATTCGCCGCCTTTTCCGGTCTAATCATCCTTTCGTCCTACCTCCTCCTCTTCATCTCCTTCTACTTTGCCACATACAAGAAATCAGGCAAAGCTGGCCGCCCACGCAGAAATACCGGCAAGCAGGCTGTGATTGATATGCGCAATATGGAGATTCCGTCGGTTGGTGGAAAGCCTGCGGCTGTCACAACGACGGCGACAACCAATGGCACCGCCAATGGAAATGGCCATGTCTACGCGACGAACGGATCTGCGGTTACCTCAGCGCGTTCGAATGGTGGCCCCGTCACGCGGTCGAGAAAGGCCTAGGTATAAAAGCAAAGTGAGCGTAGGGGCTTGCTTTGCTTTTTTGTTTTCCAAAGACAGAACGAAGAATTCAAGTAGGAGAAGATAAGGGAGGGACACACTGAACTAAACACGGGAAAACGAACACGGAGTGGGACTTATTGAAGCAAAGAAGGAAAATTAGCTTCTCTGCCGCTAATTTTTTTTTTTTTTTTTTTTTTTTTTTTTTTTTTTTTTTTTTTTTTTTTTTTTTTTTTTTTTTTTTTTTTTTGAAATCCGACACGCCTCCCTTGCCCCCAGTCGCCAGCTACCATATAATGAGTGCAGATCATTTTATTGTTTAATTTTTCTCTTTTTTTTAATACTTACATTTACATTGCCTTTTGGTCGAATCTAATCAATTGATCATTGTCGCTTTTTTTCCAACCCCGCTGTGACCAATTTCATCACTTGTCGATTGAGATGATTTTTCTTTTTTTTTTTCTTTCTTTTTTTTTCCATCTTTTTTTAACTTCTGAATGAGGTTTGAGGTTTGGAAATAATACTTCTTTAATACCCAGTTCGTTCTGGTGTTTTTCTTTCCTCTTCTTTTTTGCCACGGATTTCTTTCAGGTGATTTTTCCCTCCATCCTTTTTTTTTTCTTTTTTTTCTTTTTTTTTTAAACTTGGTTTCTTGCTTGGTGCTTATTATTTTCTCTCTGCTTGAACATCGTCGCTACATCACATATCAATCAAATCACACATATATATCACCTACCACATATTTTTCCTTGTCTTTTTTTTATTTTAATTTTTTCTTCTTTCTATTTTTGCCTTGCCTTTAAAACTATATAAACGCGAGGAAGAGGGATAAACGGATAAAAAAAATTACCAACAAGTATTGATGTATTGATTATATTATGATTGGGGTTGCACATGCCTTCTTTCCCTTTGTTTTGACTATCTTTCTGTGATGTACATGTACATATTCTTGTTGGATTTTGATGTACTTTTTAACCTTCTTTCTTTTTTTCCCCCCTTCTGTACTGTTGAACTACTGGGAAAGGGGATTCTGTTTGGCAGGTTCGATGATACTAAGCCCGCAATCCGAATCAACTCAATTGGCAACAATTCTCTCAGCCCAACGGACAAGATGAAACCGCACGCGACGAGGCCGCTGTTGACAATGAGCTCCCATTCCATGTCCTTACGCGCTGAAATCACCACGCACATTCATTCTCCCAAACCCCTACCCACTGTTCTTCCGAGTTTTGGATTCCACCCACCCTTCACATCCCAGATATCTATGTTCCAGATTCAGATTCATTTTTTACTCGTTCCTCCCTGCCTCGCCTATCCAGCTACCTCTCATCGCCTACATCACATCGCAACGATGGTGCAACGACATTTCGCTGTTGATGGGCTATGGGTGGAATGCAATGGATATTGAAAGGTGAGAGGGGAGTGGGGATGGGGTTTCTTATCTCCATACCTATGTAGGTGTATTATTATATATCATTGAACGTACATCATTGTGAGTTCTGAGAAAGGCCCGACGCCCACCTACCGTCTTCCTGCTTTTTTTGCTCTGGTGGGGCGCTCCTCATGTCGCTTTCATTTTTAAATCATGTTTAATCCTTTTTCTTTTTTTTAAAAAAAATTGCTCTGGTTTTGGTGTCTTGGTTATCATTGTATTTTTAAATTGTGATGTCTATTTAATCTAATGTTAACTTCTATTTGCCTGGCGTTAACCTGGTACAACTCGCTCAAATGCTTCGATGCACGGTATGATCTATGATCTTTAGCTTAAAAAAATAAAAAAAAATAAAAAAAAAAAAATAAATCTTCTTTTCCCTTTGTCAGTGGTGGTGGGTTAGCTATTATTATTAACTAACTAACTGGATATGGCCTCTATTCTGTTCGATCTTTCTATATAGCATTAAATATGCTGGACAAAAATACTACATATCCCAGCCCCTTCTGCATCCGTTTTCAAAAGCCACATCTTCCACACATCATGTGCGGTGGAGTGCACCGAAAGGAATGAAGATGAAGCGTACATGGCGCTGGCGGCCACCGCTCATCTGCCTACATCTACATCGGTGTCTATAGTATCCTCCTGCTTGGGAAATTGTATCTCCGTTTTTTGATGTGGGTGCATGTATAATGGGAGGCGTCCTGTGCCGTGGGGAGGGTGAGATTTACTAACGTTACAATGTGAAAGAATCAGTTTTGAGTTTTCGTGTTTCCACATGTTAAAGGGCTTGGTCATTGGGTATAGATAGACAGTGAGGAAACGGAGGAGAGCGCGATTGGGGGGGTGGTGTGGAGTGGTGTGTGTGAAGTGCTGGACTGTTCACAGCTCTGGTTGTGAGTTCCCGAGTCAGAGTGTCAGATAACGAAACGCATCGCCTCATTGGCATGTCTTGTGATTGATCTCTGGCAATCTGTTTGCCCCTAGCCAGCGAACAGTACAATATCGTATTTACAAGCAGAACCCCGAAAGAAGGACCACAACGGGGCGATGGAAGGTCAAGATTTAGGTAGGAGCAAGAGCCTAGATAAGCGTCCATGTAGGTCTTGTCATATTTCGGAATCTCTATCGATATTCACAATTTCAACAGGGACGTCAGAGACTGGGAATCTATTCTAAATGTCGACCGCATAAGCCGACAGCATGTATCTCCTATAAAGCAGGGTTGTGAAGAGCATGCTAGCGCCACATAAGCCAATGGTCCAAGGCCGCCGTTTTCTAGAAGAAATCAATGATGGAGAAGGCTTGGGCTTCTTCATCTTTGTATAGCGAGTTATCGTGACGCATGGCTGGTCTCGTCGATAGTCGCGATTTCTCGGGGAGAGATTTGCATGGGACATTTGCCATAGCCATCTCGGTTGATAATCCGGCATCCGGCCGTATCCCAGATCTCATTTGCGGCTTTATTCAAGATGATCTCGAGGAGTACACCGGCATCGTGTGCTATGGTAACCCAACAACATGGCCACATCAATTACTGATTTCCCCTGCCTCATCACAATGAGGGCGCACGCTGAAGTTGATCAAGAAGAACCTCAACTCAGGCCGGCCGAGGCAGCAGTGATAGTCCTAGCTGCCCTCTATATAAGGGTTGTCCAAAAGCTGTGGACCACCTCTTAGGGAATATATCTGTTATACCAGATCGATGGAGCTGGTTGCGGTTGACCTGAGGACTTGATTTCTCACAGAGCTAGAGATCGGAGTTCCAGTTCTGCAGAATCAGTGAATAGGCGATCTTGCAAACAGTGTCACCTCAAGACTTCCAGATAGCCCTATTTTAGATATGGATGATAATTAGAACAAACTCGGATGCGGCTGAATATCTTTTGAGATACTGTGGTGTGAATGGAATCACGGCCACAAATGTTCTGTTGTTGAACCAGGGAGATAGAATTTCTATATTTATATTGAGATGGAACAAGGTTCACGCTAATCCCAGTTAGTTCTAAGCGAAAGCTTGGCACCGAGTCCTTCTCCAACGACATGAATCAATGATGAGGTTGCTCTGCATAGCTAAAATGCCAATCATGAAATCCGAGCTTCCTACATCGATAGCATGTAGATAGTGGAGTAAAAAAACCCCAGCCCAACGGAGGCCCGTGTTTTCCCAGGTGCGCACTATGGTGTGCAATGCGTGCTCGGATGGGCTAGTTACAGCAGGCTGGGATACGGCTGAAATACGGGGTAGGGTTGGCAAAGTTCTCTCTCAGTCATCCCGCATTACAATCAGCAAAGCAACGCTGTCCTGAATTAGCCAACTTTAACTGTGGCCAGATTCAAAATCGGGCGCGGGATCTCTCACTGGCATATGGCACCCCTGGTTCTCCGGTCATGCTAGCTCTGCAAGTCGTTAATGCGATTATGACCTTCTGTCGCGGTCCCTACAATAGTTTCATCCCATGCTGAGAATTTTGGGTCGAGCAGACGTTTTGCACAGGTCGTCAACTCCGAACATCCGGGTAGACAGACATTTTATGACTCAGGTGACTGTATAGCTAGACGAGCTCGTTTTCGCAGGCGCTTTCATCTCTACCCGGGTTTCTAGTGCAGCAGGGCGTCTTGTCCCGGGATATGGGGGGGAAAGTGTCCCTTTTTGAATTTTTTCCTTTTTTGATAAGTCAGAAAGAAAGAAGAAATAGAAAAGAAAAGCTCCTGAGGAGAGAATTGATGAAAAGGTAAGTACTTTCATATTTTTTTTTCATTTTTCTTAAACCATGCTGCCAAGTAATTGCCCCTTTTTTGCTAGGATTGCCATCTACAATTCCCCGCATCTCCCTTCTGTTCCCATCATTCTTTGTACCCCATCCTTATATCCTTTAATGGCACCCGAATCCCCTCGAGTGCTCTGTTCTCTTGCATAAAACTACCAAACCATACGCAATTTCCACCCAACAAAGTCCAAATTTGACACTCTGAGGCTCTCTTGCCCTGGCCGTTATCTTTCCCCATCAGCAAAGCATGTCTGATCAGAACAAAAAGTACACCGTCGGCCGGATCTGTGCCATACCTACGGACCTCGTTGCCGCGCAAGCTTTTCTCGACGAAAAGCACGAAGGTCCAGTATATGTGGATCCCAACGATGCCAAGAGCTACACATTGGGTAGGATTGGGGGGGAAATAATGTCGCCATAGCTTGCTTGCCCTAGCAAGCACTGATGATAGGCTATATTAAAGATGATTCATTCATCCCTTAGCTGGTAAAGCAAATGTTGCGGCAACCTGCGCGGAAATCTGCGATAAGAGTCAGTTGGTACCACGGCCTGAACGGCTGAAAAAGATCATAATCCAGCAATTCACCCTGGCCTAATTGCTTCAGCGAACCAGGTGATGAAGGATGCTTCAGTCAAAGAGATGAACTTTCTGCAGAAGGGGATGTACTGTGTTTTGAAATGGAGGCAGGTGACTTAATGACTACTTTCCCCTGTTTAGTCATTCGCAGTATATGTGATTACTCAGATTAGCATAAAATAAGGATTGGCAGGGATATGCAGCGATGGCGGCGGCAGCATATGCAAAAGATCTTTGATGTAAAATCCATCCACGCAGAGTTGAGGCTGAGAGAAAATCAGCGAATTTCGATCTGGTTCGTCTAAGTGTGTCGCGGAGTCTTGTAATTCATAAATGCTAACCTATGCAATCATTACAAGTCTCCAAGAAGTTGCAGTAGAGCACGGGATATTTCACGAAAGCATCTTCAACTCCAGCAAGAGACGGCCAAGTAGAAGCTATTGACAAGCAAAAAAATTGTCTCAGCTGTTCCGTCTCACCAAGAGCACCGAGGATGCAACATAAACAAAAACCGCGTGGAAGACCGAGTAGAGGGCACATACGAGTGGTTCCTCGGACACAACAACTTCCGGAAATGGTTAAAACAAGAAGAGTCGGGGCCGGTGCTGGTCTCAGCGGACCCAGGGTGTGGAAAATCGGTCTTGACCAAGTACCTGATTGACCGTGAGTTACCAGGGTCGGCGACTATTTGCTACTTCTTCTACAAAGATCAGGACCAGAACACCGTGCGCCAAGCACTTTGTGCACTTCTTCACCAGCTGTTCTCCCAGAAGCCTTCACTGCGATAAAACCATGCGACGAAAACGGGCCAGGTCTTATCAACTCAACTAACCCTCTCTCTCTGTGGACTATCCTAGGAGATGCTGTGCGGGATCCCGAGGCCGGACCTGTTATCATTGTACTGGATGCCCTGGACGAATGCGATGCGTCAGAGTTAGCGGACTTGGTGCGGAATGTGTCAGGCCAATTCCGCAGCAGCCAGTTAGGCTATGGAAAGTTGAAATATATTCTAACGAGTCGCCCGTATGAGCAGATCGAGTCCAAGTTCCAGGCCCCTGTCGGACTGTTTTCCGCCAATCCGTATACCAGGGGGGAAAAGTCGGAAAAAATTAGTGAAAAGGTGGATCTCGTCATCAAATACCGAGTCAAACGGTTGTCAAGGGAGAAAGTGCTATCAGCCCAAATAAAGAGTCACCTGGAGAATAGATTGCTCAAAATTCAGCACCGTACATACCTTTGGGTATATCTCGTGTTTGATTACTTGAGGGCAGAAGACTCTAAAAAGACATCAAGAGGAGTCGATTCCGCTGCCAAAGAGTGTCAACCAAGCATATGAGCAGATTCTCAACAAGTCTACTAAACATTCGTTTGTTCGGAAAGGCTTTAAATATTATTTTGGCCGCACAACGGCCTTTAACGCTCTCGGAAATGAACGTTGGCGTAAATATAGATCACAAATCAGAGTCGATTCACGACCTCGACCTAGAAGAAGAAGGACTTGAAGGTTCGCCTCAGATATTGGTGTGGATTGTTCGTTTCAATCTATCAGGGCAAGGTCTACTTCCTTCACCAAACTGCTCGGGAGTTGTTCCTCGCAGATCTGCCATCATCTACGACTATTCCCAAGGACCTACACTAGCATCACTTTATCACTATCCATAATGCACACCGCACCCTTGCAGAGCCCCTGTGTTCGCTATCTTAACCTCTTCAACTCTGAAGCTAGTCTTGTGACAGATACAACTGCGGAAGCCAGCCCCCACATTGCTAGACACGCCTTCTTGAACTATTCGGCCGAACTTTGGACTCTTCACTTCCGCGAGGTCCATATCAACAATGACGATGCTACCATAACACGTCTCGCCTTGAGAATATCTGACCCGGATTCGAGGGCCTATTCAGTGTTGTTCCGAATTTGTTGGCGCGCTGGACGGCATAGACATGTGCGATACCCTGGGTTTTCTATAGGTCTCATGGTGGTATCATATTTTGGACATAGTGCTGTCGCTAAGCTGCTGGTGGATAAAGACGCAGACCTGGAGCCAGCAGATAAATATAGCAGGACACCACTATTTTGGGCTGCAAGGGCTGGGCAGGAGGCAGGTGTCAAGCTGCTGCTTGAGAAGGGTGCCAATCTGGAGTCAAAAGATGAAGGTGACGATGTGACACCACTTCTATGGGCTACAAAGACTGGGCAGGAGGCAGTGTCAAGTTGCTGCTTGAGCAGGGCGCCAATATGGAGTCAAAAGAGAGATACAGTCTGATATCACTATCCTGGGCTGCAGAGAATAAGTATGGGACAGTTGTCAAACCGTTGCCTGAGCAGAACAATGAAGGATCCCAAATAGTACGTTAGATTTAATATTAGTAACTGGAATAGAGCGAAGCCAGGGAATGATGATGTTTATATACTATTAGAACGTTACCACCAGTTCTTCCCGTCCTTTCCATATACCCCCTTCTGATTAAATTATTCCAGAAAACTCCTCATCTACTTATGCAACTCTGATTCTTCCTTTAGCATAGCCATGCAATTGTTTGGTAGGTCTGTGGCAAATAAAAAAAGGTATGTCTTCCCGAGTTGATCGGGCTCGTTTCAAGGCGACAGACCTAGCTGAAACCGGTTGAACGGGTCCAGTTGCGTGGCTTTCAGGCAGCAGACTCTTAAGAGCACAGAATACTTTAAAATCGCCGCCGCGAGTAGGGAGGGCGATCGGCTATAGGGTCGTGTTATGCTTCAAACTGTGAGACCCATAGCCCGCGCTAGCTTGCTTAGCTGAGATAGACAGCTATGATTTTTTTTTTTTTTTTTTTTTTTTTTTTTTTTTTTTTTCCCCTCACTTGACTTGACAACACGGTGATCCGAAAGAAGAAGGGACGGTCGGAGGTTCAGCATGCTAATTTATATACAGACTTTTCGACGGATGAGTGCTGTTTTCTTTATCAGCCTTAACCAGGGTATATTTGGTTGGTTGCGAATGGCAGTGCTATGCGGTAACATCCACGAGTGGAATGTGATATACGGCGGATCCGGGTTCCCTTCCCAAAGAAAGTGATGCAAGGACCTCAGTTCGGATGGGGCGCGAGGAATTGAACCTGACCCTACTCGAGTGGGACATGCATCAAACGCGCAGGCATCATAATGCGAGGCATGTATGCACAAGCGAAAACGGCCCATCGTTCGTTCTATTAGACCTGGATGTAGTCGGTGCCAATCACGTACCTAGATACCAAGCTAGCTGTGTACCTACCTCGCCCAGGAAAGGAGATAAAGTATGACAAGGATGTTGGTACGTATGAGTTTGGTTATGCTCGTCCGAGGGCCATGGCGTTAAGGGACAAACCGAGTGCCTGTTATAAACACAGCATATTTAAACGTGAGAAAAAGTGTCGTGGTATGCTTGCTGTGGGAAGTAGCTCTATTTTTCTCTGCTCACCGAAGAGTCAAGATCCAACCGATCTGTCATCTGCAATTCCCCTAGCAGATTGCTCAGGGTTGGGCTATGGTGCACGTTGTTTGACTCATCATGTCGGGGGCCGGTCCTGCTCCCTTCCACGGGATTACATCGATCCTGACACCTTCCTGTCCCAAGAGCTATCTGAAAGCAAAGCTCCCGACAACTTTGTGTGGCAGTGTTGATATTAATAGGCGGCGGGCAATCGTTCTGCTCTGTTGCTTCGACAGGATATCTAGAGACAGCCTCACCGAAAGAACCCGTCTTCGTTTGTCCAGTCACCGTCAGAAGATCTCTCTGTGCTCCGTATTGGCTTCCACGACAAGTCGCTCCCAGAAGAACAGAAAGGATGGAATGAAGAGCCCGAACGAACGCCTAACTTGGTGACAAATACAAACAAGTAACAGCAGTGCCTTGTGGACATCCTCGATGATAAAGTCTTTATTGCAGATAGTCTAGGTTTCATCACCTCGGAGGTCAAAGGTAGGAGAGCTCTCCCCCCACAGGTTTGTATATGAAACCGCATATTATGAGCTTTTGCTATCAAAAAAGAAAAGAAACATCAAAACAAGTTGTTCGACTACTGTTCAAATATGCTCGAATATGAGAGCATTCGGCACAGGCATAGCGAACTTTCCGGGGTTGATGATATCTTTGGGATATTCCTATCCGGGAGAGACCTTGCCTAGCGCGCATTAAAGCCAAAACCCCTGTTTCTGAATAGAAGGGAATCTGAAGTTTAATCGAACGTTCAATTGTGTGACAAAAACGCCATGAGAAATTTCTGCCTGTCAAGTTATTGATGAAGTAAGCTGGTCGTATGGTCGCTATATTTCTTTGATTGCGCCGTACATTGGAAAATCTTTTCCGTAGATTATGACGTGCCTGTGATAGCTGAGTGTGTTGCTTCTCTTATTGTTTGATCGAAGGAGACCCATGGTTTCTTGTTTCCAGAGATAGATCTATCAGTTAAGCTAAACCCTCTATTGGCTCGCATGGCCATTCATCTCCGGACATTTTCGATGCGGACGTTAACAATTTTTGTTTTTAGTAGAAGGTATCAAGAACAGACCGACTCTGATGAAACGCGCAAAATAGTCGCAGAACGCCGCTTGATTGGCTTAATTTCGTAATGAGATATCGGCATTGGAGAGCATGAAATAAATCCTTTTCGGTTTGTTTTTCGTAGCTGATCATATCATCTTTATCAATCTTAGGGATAGAGGGTGCGGCGCACCTCATGCCATTGAAGCATATGCAGTCCATTCTGTGCCAGAGCTTCTGAAACGTGATTGACAGTGATCCTGAAAGATCATCAACTCGGAACAGCCGAGAAGCTGGAAAAAATATAGCGATCAGGAGGGGTACATGAGATTTTCCGAGAGGAGCACATCCAGCTGGTTCAGCGATTCATCCCCTGGTTGGTCAAAGGCTGTGGGAAATAAATTATCAGCTGGAAGCAAATTGAGGATCTGCCGCCACATCGAACGTCAAGCATTCTGTAACTACTGCTTAATAAACCTGGAAGAGGTTCGATCGCGTTGGATGTTGGCAGCCAGTCGTGAGCGAAAGGTGCCTGTTGTCATCCTGGGCTAAAAAAATTGCTGGAGGCGAATCAGACTGCACGCCTTACATATATCCAGCGAGACACCCAAGGCTTACCACCGATTTACTGTAGATGTTGGTCGCTTGCTTGCGAAGATCCCAGGAGAAGATTTGATATCGTTGGAGATATGGGCTTTGCCCTGACTTTCCATAGTTGGAATGTAGTAAGACCCTTGGATTGTCATTATCACCAAGCAAAGCCTTTTGCCGGCCATGACAACTTGCGGGCTGAGTTCTACATACCTATACCAGGACGGAAGCCCCCAGAATGGATGTGTTGGACAACAGGACTAACTGGAGACACGCATGTCGGGTTATAATTAACTATCCCAGCATATACTCTGTACAACGGTGTCGATCAGGATTCAGGCTACTTATAAGTTATGCCCGTCGAATGCACTGTGGGATGTTGGGACACACAACGGGGCTTACGGACGCACTGCATATTTTGTGCAGAAACACAGGGGATCTTGATATCCCGACTTCGGTCAGAATGAACACCACCCACACGATGTTGATGGCTAACTAGCTAAACTATTTTTGAAATAGCTACAAGTTGAGGGGGAATGACGGGTGCAATCGAGTCGCTTCCCCTGGCCTAAACTGGCGTCGTCGGGGTGTCGCATCTTTGAAGCCATCGTCATCCACAATGTTCTCATTGGCACGCTGGCGAGGCGGATGACTTGGAGGGGCTCTTCGCGTGTCTTGGCTGGCTTGGAACTGGCGGTTGGTTTGCCCACCGGGATCACGGAGAGAGCGAGAGCCTTTGACAGTTGCGAAACCTCCCCGTCCGCCTCGTTCGCCTGCTGGTTGTGGCTGTACACTCCGCATTTTTGTTCAGCCATCATCTGGATTCGGTTCTCGACCCTGATGCCATCTCGCCCTAAAAGTCAGACGTGGTCCAATCAGTATCATTTTTTTCAAGCCCCTTCAAGCCATCTGCTTGGACTTCGTTGAATTCTAGACGAAATGCACTTTATTTCAGGTACCATGCCCTGTTGGGGGGTTGGAGAGGGGGAGGCAAATTTCTCGAACGATCCTAGGATATAGTCATGACCCTCGCACCCCTCCCCTTCTGCCGTCTGGGATTCAACGAGGAGCTGCTGGGTTCGAGTCTTCACAACCGAGCAGGGTCATGATACATCTCATACCTCACCGTTTGTGTTTGGGTTTCCTTCCTTTACAACCCCAGACATGGTCGCCGTTCATTCGTGTTATAGAGCAACCTTAGCTCTGTACTCATGAGAATTCTGCGTACATTTACTCTTTCTGAAGCTCTGCCGCCCTAATATTAGAGCTTGGAGTTTACCTGGTGAGCTTTTACGTCTTCAGAAGCATCGCACGCTGGTAGCTGTTAACCTAATATCAGTATTCAAGTTCTTGTTACACCTCGTGTCCTAGTTATTTCACCTTGATATATGATCCGTACATAATCTTCGATTTATTCCAGCCCTTATCCTCTTGGCTTTTCCCTGCTGCAAATTGAATCAACAACAGCCGGCGGGGATTTCCAAAGGTTTCTTTCTCTAGCCATGGCTACCGCCGCCGCACAAGCAATGAGCTCTTCTGAACTTCATAGAAAGTTCAGTAATCCGAGACCTTCAATAAATGTGACCGATATTCGACCAGCGGATATATACCCGAGATATGAATCCGAGGAAGAGGAGATATCTGAAGCTGAGGTGTCTGGGCGGACGGAGTCTGTATTTTCCCCCATAGAAAATGACAGCGATACTGGTGTCTCCGAACCTGAAGAGATGGGCTCCGATTCACCCCACTTAGTTCACCAGAACTATACGTCGGAAGACGAATTTCCTTTGCAAATTCCCATTTTCCCAGCCTCAGAAGCAACCATATCTAGAGCCGGTTCAATTAACACCGTCAAAAGGGCCAGCTGTATCACATTGATGCCTCCTCTCCAACCGCAACCGACGAAGCCGATCTCAATGGCCTCATCAACGTCCACGTCAACCTCGCCGCCTATGTTTCCAGCTATCGAGCCAATATTTTCCACTAACCATGCCGCAAAAACGGAAGCTCTTCAATACTTCCGTTCTTTGTATTCCGAGACAGCATCCTCGGATGACGAGGATGTTGCACATACGTCCTTTCTCATTGCAACTCCAGTATCCTTCTATGCGCCAGAAAGTAAACCGCAAATGATATCTATAGAACCTCCAGCTTGCCAAAACTCGAAAGGACGAGCAACAGAAACCGAGCAGAGACGAGAACCTACCAGTATCACAGGTCAAACGTCCCCCAAGAGTAGTCCCAGCAATTTAGGCATGAAAAATCGCATTTCTAGCTTGAAGTTAGGAAAATATAGCAAAAAACGGAGCTCCACCCAGCCAGCCTCTGAGTCAACCTTTCCTATAAAAACTAAATTTTCGAATGCATCCATTCACTCTCTTTCCAATCTAACCTGGCGTTCTGGAAGCGCTCTCTCCTCGAACTCGGAGCCCGAACCCCATTGTTCTGCTGCCTCGACGGAATCGCGCAGTGCAACGCCATTCCCCCAACATAGGCGATCTCTATTGCCGTCACCTAGGATGTCAGAGCAGAGGTCTACTAGAAACCGTCACCAGACAACGGAGAGACGAGTCATAAATGAAGCTATGTTTGAGGGAAATACCCGTGGAACAGATGATAGAAGAACTAGTAAGGCCAAAAAGAAGGACATCATACCACCCGTACCCCAGATAACGGGACTTGCGATCTCGTCAGATGTTTCGTCCCCAGGTTCTGTTGAATCATCTCCAAATAGCTTTCCATCCACGCCCTTGCGAGATCCACGACTCACAGCCAAACCCCCGTTCCCAACACATGGTGCATCTCGCCGTGGTAGCAGTATTAAAAGCCCGATAAACTCTTCACCATCGCCTATCACTCCAATGGACTTATCTCCCAATTTCCCCTTTCCAGACATACCCAATTCAGACTCATTGCAGACAGCAACGAAAAGAAGAGGCTTCCATGAAAGGACCCACTCGATCAACAGTTTGACAAGTACATCCAGCATGCCAAACTTTGCCTCCCTGGATAATTCTTCACCCCGCTCCGCAACCCGCCGATATAAACAGCGATTTTACCCAGCAGACGATTTCCCATCCGAACGGCATCCGTCACATGAGAGTGTGAATCCAGCCATCTTGAAGGCTAACTCCCGGAACACTTACACCTTTACACCGCGTGGAAGCATATCCACCGCCAATCTGAGCAATTTATCATCAGTATCGACAGCGACCTCGAGATCTAACTCTCCAGCTGATGGTAACAATTTGTCTTGGAATTACCACACAGGTACCTGGAACCCCTCCGAAGCCCCGAGAGCGGACAGCGTAAAAGCTCCGCTGAGGAAGTCGGCGCACTCGAAGGGTATTAAACGTCTGTATGAGACAAGCGAATCCGTCTCTCGTGTAGGGACTAAGGCCTTTAGCGGCCTTGGGTCTATCTTGCGGAAGAAGCACGTTGCGTCTGGCGATGAACGGTGGGGCTGAAATCGGGTGGTTTAAAAGTTATGGCGATTGGAGTTATCACTTTACGTACTACAGTACAGTTATATCAGCGATTATTTTGGGGTCTGGCACCTTACCTGGCTCTATTATTTCTTTTAACTGGGGATTTCTTGCTCTCACTTCCTTGCCTGTTGTTCCTGGCGACCCCCTCTATTTTTCAACCTCCTTCCCTCCCTGTTATTGGACGACCCCTTCATTACAAAATTACTCTGATATTTGCCGTCTCTTCCTCTCTCTTGCAAAAATACATCACATCACCGAATCAATCCTTGATCCACCACCGTCCTTATGCACACTATTCCAGACTCTGCCTTACCACATCGGAGTGCCTGAGATCTGTCACTCCTACCTAATACCTCCCACACAGCCCTACACCCCAGATCTATTCAACCCCATGCTGAACCTTCGGCAGGAGGTATCCTCTTTTGAAACAATACTCGTTCCAAAATGACGTTTGCCCAAAGTTTCATCTTCTGTCTTCGTTAACCCTGGTCGAATATGTTTTGGATTTTAGGTTTCCTTTTTTTTTCTTTTTCGATTTCTTGTTGTTATTCTTTTCCCCTTCTGTCAGGAACATGTGTATTCATACCCAGGAGCGTGTTGTCTATTGTGGTGATACAGCTGCTTCATTTATTTCACTTAATATTATATTTAGTTAATTATCTGTTCTCGAGTTGATATTGAATAGTAGTTAGTTATATAAATATGAGACTAACTTTCCATACCTCTCTAATTCGAATTTACTCTCTTGGTGTGATGGTGGTGGGGCCGTTCTCAGATTCTCAGATATTAACGTTTGGCACATCTAAAGAATATGTACCTATGAATTCACTAAAGCAATCTCATGGAAGAAATGGGGCGAGGAGATCTGACAGCAGACGAATTTCCTGGACGTGCGAGGATTCGAAAATCAAGCCATTTGAACTTCCACACTATCCGGTCTGAAACTCATCTCGAGCTTTATTTTCTGTTGGGCAGCGGCTACGGCTAGCTCAAGCTTAGCTCTTTTTTCCCTAATGACAACTCCCTGAAGTAGGATCTCGATTCTGATGCAGAATCAACGATTCGCAGAATTGTTCATTACCTCATTACTTCGTGTGGTACAGTATAGGTAAACCCGCATCGAGCCCGCTCCGTTTCCAAAGTCAAACTATGAACCACGCCAACATATAACGCGTGGCTAAACACATCCCGAAAGGTATCGAAAACCTAATCCCCGACATAAAAAGGAAAGAAGAAATAAAGGGAAGAACATCGCCCCCTATGAATCATCTGCCTTCCAGAAAATATTCAGAGCTTGCTGGCTTTCGCTAAGTCGATTTGGCTCCCCAAACATGGGGACCAAGCACAACTCATTTTCTGGTTCGGGAGACCAAGATGGCGGAGACTTCTTTGATGGACACCACTTTATATACTCACCAGATGCTCTATTTTGAACCGTTAAGCATAGTGGGGAGCTAATTTGGGTGATTTGGTAGGAATATGTGTCGATCGGACTGCTTGTATCGTAGATATCGCTATCACGATTGTTATTTCTATTCTTTTCGCAGAGGCGTATTTTTGAAAGGCAGTATGTGCGGAAGAGATACGAGACCCTCGCACATGTTAAAAATGTGGTGTTGTCGGTGTAGTCGAGGATCATGTAGTAGAGTTCATTCGGCAAGCGGCCCTGGGTCTCCGGACCATGAGGCTTTAGGCGGCGGAGTGTAGCGGTTGTGAAGAAGTTCGAGAGCGCCCTGAAGCTTTCTTTGCTCTTCAGTAGTGGAGGAGATATCTGAAGTTTGCCCAACGAAGTGTGGATGGGTGACTCGGGTGACGAAATGGCTGGGCCTTTACAGTTCTCGAATAACTCGAGGGGCTCCGTGTATTTCACCACCGGGATTCCATGCACATCTTCAACGTCAATAAGTATCACGGTTGATAGAGACAGTAAAATGGCTTGGAAGGCAAGTTTTCCTTGCTGAAGCCCAAAGCTGACAGTCTTGTCGACATAGATATGCCTCTGTTGTGGAACTTCCGGAACTAGGCTGACTAGGACATTATCAAACCAATAAATTGTTTCTTCAGGGGCAGATCCTGGGAGATGGCGTGCTAGATGGTATCCAAAGGCAAGCTCGGACGGCCAAGAAGCTTCATTTACTGGGTAGTGATCTGTCGACTCCCCAATTCGAAAGTACACTCTCCCGGATGCAAAAGAGATGATAGCATATCCAAGTTCCCGGAACATGAAATTAAGTGGGGACCACCTGGTGTATTCTTGAGAGATAAGTTGAGAATATACTCTTTTGAACTTGGAAAACGCCAGATCATGAAAGGGACAAAACGAGTCAAGGTCAGTAGATAACCATCTGCTGGGTGAAAGAGGAATTGTGCGATACTGGGTCTCATATTTGCCAAGATCACATTCCAATGCAACCGGCACGGTCGATGGAAACGGTATGAGGTAATGTGCTGCGATTGGGAGGCATGGCCAACGAAAGGAGGGAGCAGAAGGCGCAGCAAAGAATTTGTCACGGTCCTTGGGAAAATTGGTCAGACTGAGGTGTATCGTACGCCCAAAAGATACTACTTGCATGTCTAGATCAACTGTGAAAAGCGCAGAATAGTTGCCGCAACGTTTGGGTGGGAGTGGAGATGGTAAGAGGTAAAGGCCAACCTCCCGAAGTTTCCACTTTACATACTCGGCGCCACGGGGTTGAGAACTATCCAGGGTAAACACGAAATCTTCGAGTAGTTTCTCCTTCGCAGCATACTCTTGCCGCCTCTCCTTAAGCCAAACTATAGTATCGAAGTAGTCGTTCGGATTAGCCTTTGCCTTCTGTGAATCCTCGGTTTGGCTTCAAGAAAGCTGGCATGTAACCTACTGATATATTCCACCTTATTTGCAGGTATTGTACAAAGGATATCTGGACTATATGCGCCGTCAGAATTTGCAGAAATCTTTTGCACGTAGTATCTGCCACGATATACGACGACATAAATCCCTTGCTGACGAGGAGTTTGCCATGAGGTAGGAAGCATGGTGAGCAGTTTCCCGGCTGCAAGGGCTAATGTTGATATGGTCTCAGCGCCTATATAGCCTTTACAACGGTTCCGAGTAACGGGAATCTTCTTCGTTCGCCAAAAGCTAGCGGTCCGTCCCAAAGAATACTTGAGCGAAACTATGCTGTTCTCTGCTTCATAACGAGAAGGGCATTGCAATACAGCACGCAAGGCTTGGCATGTTCCTGTTCATTGCGATAGCGTAGATGCTGCTGGCTTGCCTGCGACGCATAAGTAATAACTAGCTCAGTACGTACTGCGTAAGCTGGGAGTCAGAATAACTTGCGGCTCTTCCGATCTTCCGTTAAGCTTAAAGAGTGAGTCTAACGCGAACTAGTTAGTTAGATGGCCCCACCCTTTAGTTACTAGTTGATTCTTCGTTACGGCCTCCGACCTGTGAAATGATGAACTTTCCTCTGCAAGGGCCAGCGGCGAGGGTCAGCGGCGGAAGAATTATTTTTTCCCCCACTCTTTCTTTGGCTTCATGATACATTGAGAAAGCCGGCAATTTTCCTCTCTACTCAGCCTTCCAATTCGATGCCCTCACTTTACTCACATACTATGTATGGTAGATCAATCAATGATTCAACATTATGGTTGAAAGATGACTTAGGGGAAATAATCCTACTTCTTTGCTGTCCCCAGAAAATCGCAACCTTCTCAGTGGCAATGTATTCGACTTTATCAATGTGCGGGAGCGTAGTGTCGACACCCCTTGTGGCTCTACTCATGTTATACGTGTACGGAGTACAGTAGTAGTGTAGTTGTTAAAGATGGTGGGTGCATTCATGATACAATCTCAAACGCTATGATTGTCACAGCTGTCAATAGCCTCACCTCTGCTAGCCGGAGATATTATTGATTGTATTGCGAATTTCTGCGAACCACCTACTGCCATGGCGGAGTCAAATGGTGCCTACAGTTGAACACGCGAAATCGGTGACCTTCTATTTATTCTTTCCAAAAGCTACCCGTGGTATATAGACAGATTCTTAATACGAAGTGACGCAGAAATTTCTCCCTAATGCCCTACGGACATTGTCAGCCAGCAGTTGCTGGCGTCTCCCAACTTCCCAAGGCCCCGTAATGTCCATGGTGTGGTTAGTTGATACAACATGCCTGCAGCACGGCGAGAGGATCAGAACAGTCTCGGCACTGGTGGTGTAAATCAGCTCCAACTACGCCGTACTCCGTACCTACCTGCTTCGGAATAACTGAAATCCACGCGGCCGGACATCGAGTTAATTCGACAACGCACGGAAGGTTTGTTCATGTCATTTAGCTAACATAGCCCTTACCCTAGGATGTTATATTCTTCGCAAATCTGACCAGCTGGCCTAACTACTCAGTTTCCGAGCGGGGATAGATAGAACCTTCGGCAGATCTCAATCGGACAAGCCATTGGCAACCACAAAAATTTGACACCAAAAGAAGTGCCGAGAAAATCCTCCGTAGTTCGTTGTGATGGAAGTCTGTGGCCACGAGGCGGGCGAACCCTAATGTGAAATAATTGCTAAACTTTAAACTTTGCTTGATTTGTTCAAGTAAACAGCAGGAGATTATTGAGAGGCGTGTTCGGTTGCACGTTTAACCTCGTATAACCTGCACGCGAAAAGTGGATTATTATTAGCGTACTGCCGGCGTCAAATTATTGATTGCCACCACACAGTGACGACAGGCAGACCTTTCGTATTAAATATTATTCAATCCACCCTCATCCTATTTTGTATGATAGAGCTGTGCAAAATGCCGGGCAGTGAGTCTTCAAATAATGACAGGGTTTTTGAACCTGAAGTAGTGCCAATGTCAATGGCCTACCTCACCCTCACCTGCGTCACCGTCACCTGCATTATTACCTCCCACAACGCCTGTGACGCCAGCAGCTGCAACGTATGCGGATGATGATTATTCCACCCAGTTGAGTGTCCTGCCTGCTTTTCAAAGCTCCCAATCCACCTCCCAATCCACCTCCCAAACCGCCTCCCAAACCGCCTCCCAGTCCCGCCTACGTATTTCATGGAGTTCAGCAATGGATGAAGCTATGTTGTTGGGGCTGCTTGACGCGAAAAAGGATGGCTGGGAAACAGACAATGGAAATTTCAAGACTTATGGATGGAATATGGCAGTTGAAGCAGTCCGACGTGCCACTTATCAAACTGTCAATAAAAACAATCTCGATAATCGATGGAGGAGTAATAAACATACATGGCAGCTGTGGATGAAACACAAGAATCAGATCTCTGGCTGGACTTGGTGTGCAGATCGTGAGACTTACATTAATGACCCAGAAGTCATGAATGAATATTTCCAACACCATCCAGATATGGTTATATTTCAACATCAGGGGCCCGCGTTCCGAGAGCTGAATGAGCAATTGCTTGATGGTAAACTTGCTACAGGGCAGTATGCAGTTGGTTCTCGAGCTATGAGACGGCAACTCGGTATAGATGATGACTTGTATCCTCCTTCATCCTCTGCGTCAAATTAACTGCCCCGGGTGTCAGGCACCACTGCAGACAGTCCTTCTCCAGAAAGAAAACGTTTGAGAAAGGGAAAAAATGAGGCATACGCTGAACCAATATTAGGGCTTGGTTCAGTGTTGCGAGAAATGAATAAGGAGATTCTTAATGCCTTACGAGAGGTCCCTGAGAAGGCTCCTGAGAAAGCCACTAGATTGTTTCTGCAAGAAGTAAATGAAATACTTCCGGAGGATTGGAAGGATAGTGATGAGGTCATTCCATATCGGCGTTATGCTGCAATTCTACGCATTTTTGCAAGCAATCCTGCAATGGCTCAGGTTTATCTGGGATTCAGTAATAGCTCGAAGGAGCAGCGATGTGCTTTTATAATGGATATACTTGAGGAGTAGGGGGGGAAAAAGTAGGGGGAATGTGGGTGAAAAGTAGGGTGGTTCGGTGAAGATCTTTGTACTGTAACTTACATAGTCAATCATAGTAGTTATAGAACAACATTCTAAGCCGAGTGGAGTTGGTTGACAAATCCAGTCCCGAAGAATCGGGCTTGGCAGGCGAAATCCTGGGTTCATCATTGTTCCACGAAGACTCGCTCTTTATGAAGCCATGAAGAGGTGCGTTTATCGAACCCTGTTTGCCTCTCTGGCCTCAATGGTTGTCAATCCGAAAGGCATTGGATTTGAACTACGAGATATACGCAATTTTTTTTTCCCTCTCCAACGCTAAATTACCCTGAAAAGCACGCAAACTAAAAATTCAATGGCAGTTCCACATAAAAAGCTTTAACATGTTGTCATACAAAGTTCTTCGGTCCCTTGGACCAGCAGAGCATATAACTATCAATAGGCCGAACGCTGGATATCGTTTTCCTCTTTTCCTCCCATATTCCTTTTAATTTTGTTGTTCTTCTTATTTTAATTTTTTGATTCACCTCGTCCTCGTCGCAAACCATACACACATCTAATGCATCAGTTTCGACGGCTCTATAAAAGAATTTTGCGTATTGCCAATGGAACCCACAAAGTCAATCGTTATCATCGGCGCTTCATGGGCCGGGGTTAAAACAGCGCACGCCATCCTGAAAAGCATTCCAGATGTGAGGGTCATCCTAGTAAACCCTTCGTCAAAGCATTTCTTCAACATCGCTGCTCCCCGCATCCTAGCAAAACCAGAAGCATTCAACCCGGATCAGTATATTCACTCCATTCCGGAATTATTCCAGGAGTACGATACGAAACTCGTCTCGTTTGTCCAGGGAGCCGCAAGATCAATAGACGTGGATGGGAAAACTGTCACCGTCGCTGCCACAGGATCTGAAGACATGGAACCTGAAGACTTGGTCATCTCCTTCGATTATCTTGTTATAGCTTCTGGAAGTACTACTTCCGCAACTATGGGCCAAGACAGCATTCTTGCACCCTTTAAAACAACCGGGTCAGATGATATCCAATCCACCATTGAGCAAACGCAGAAGACTATAGCAGAAGCCAAATCCATAATCATTGGAGGAGCTGGTGCTGCTGGTGTTGAATTTACCGGAGAGCTGGGGGAAGCATTCCAAGACAAAAAGGACAAATCTATCACCCTTTTAACACAGACAGATCGAATTCTACCTGACCTGAAACCTGCAGTCAGCAGGAAAGCAAATGATATCCTATCCAACCTAGGTGTCAACGTTCGTACATCCGCCATTGTCACCAGCGCTTCGCAAGATTCCTCCTCCAAAAAATGGGCTATAACATTGGGCAGCGGCGAGACACTCACCGCGGACGCATACATCGCAACTACAGGCGTCATTCCAAATAGCGACTTCGTTCCCACAGACCTAAAAACAGGCGAGGGGTGGGTTCCGGTTGATGCCGAATTCCGCGTCCAGAAGAAAGACGGGAAACATGGTGAGAAATTGCCCATTTACGCGGTTGGTGACATTACTACTCATACGCCTCGCATGTTGTTGACAATTGCCGGACAAGTCCCTATTCTAGTCGGCAATCTCAAAGCAGACATTGAGAAATCAGAAGGGAAGAGGCCCCAGTATTCAACGAGTGACAAAGTCCTCATGCTCGTGCCAATTGGCGCGCGGACGGGGACGGGCCAGCTTTGGTTCTTTGTTGTATGGGGATGGCTTGTCGCGCTCCTGAAAGGAAGGGATTATTTCCTCTCTAGGGCTAACGCTGAACTGAGGAGTTGATAGGGGATTGTCTCTGTCTTTTCCCCAACCCCGGCCTTCATAATATGCATGCAATCCCCTTTCGACCTCTTCCGGTTCCATCAACAATGGCAGTTTATTATATTCCTTTATTATGTGGTGGTTGTGTCGCCGGACTGGCTTTGTTCGCTTCTTGTAACTCAATAGATACTATTCCCTTTGTTCAATCACCGCCTTGTGCCCTTGTTATCTTTTAATATCATTATTATACATAATGCAAAAGACATACTCTATATTGGTTCTTTTTAGCGGACCTCTTAACCCCATTGACTCCAAAGAAAGAAAATGGTACCCATTCCGGAAATAGGGGAGTTAACATCCGCGGTCATCCTTACAGTCTCTACTAAATATAGACCAGTGTTCAACTAATCTTAACTTTTTTCTCTCTTGATTATTGCCATAATCTTAGTTAAAGAGAGTATTACACAGATAGCTGCTGAAAAGTCTAGTATTAGAGATCTTCAATATCTATCATAAGATAAATGGATAAATGTCAAGAATGTAAAAAAAATCCTTTATCAGCTGGTATTTTTATGTGTAAGAGCTTGTATAACTACACCATGTGAAAAATTCTAGTGCCGATGTGATGTTCTGTATGCGAACAAAATCTCAGATAGGGATGACTGTTGGCATTTATCTACATACACCATTATGCAACAATATAGCTTTCCGCGATCTAGGATATGAAAACAGTGCGTAGGTGATAGGAAAATGCACAAAACCAACACCAGCCTTGAACGGCACAGTTCGCTCCTCTAAATGGGCAAACGCACCCACGCATCTCCCGTGTCTCAACGTTCAGATATGCTGTGCAATCCTCCATCCTGTCAACATTCCTAGCTGGCCACGGACTGAAACCCTTATTACTCCGTACTGTCCTATGTACATGTACAACAAGGAAAGGGAAAAAGAGATAAGAAAAGAAAAGAAAAGAAAAGACTTAAAAACAAAATAAGAAATAAGAAATAAAACAAATAAACAATTGCATTACTTTTCAGGGGATCCAGGGGCTGCATATCTGGGGAGCACATATGTCTAACTGTATATGAACTGTACTTAGGTACAGATAATATATCCTGCAATGTAAACTCAACTGCATACGTGAGGATAAGTAAAGGAGTTTTGGTATATAGTCGGTCATACCCTAGGTATAGTACAAACAAATCACTACATCTTGTTCTGCTTGGTTTGATGTATATCAGGACGATATACGGAGGACAGAGTACCAACGTGTACAGCAAAGTCCAGTCCAGATCTCACAAGAGTTGATTCAGACTGCCATTGCATAGTGTTCGGGAAAAGTAAATAGGAGAACACACATAGTCAGCGGGTGCTTGCACACGTCGTGTTGGTTCCTCACTAAAGCCTAGATATAACTAATATTGCGACGAAGCCCCATACAGGACGAAACTCGTTTCTTCCATTTATAGATATCTGAATCTTATAATCTCTATCTGGATAAATGCAACATTTGCCATGTACAGGATATAGACACGAGCCTCCTAGCATAGACCACCGCGCGTGGTGATAACGACCCGAGAATGCAAGATCATGGGATTCGAACATGCGTCATTCTGCATATGTGGTCAGTCGCGTGTTCTAGAATATGATTCGGTCTAAAATATGCGTGTAAAGTTTGGTAAGTCTTATCACAAAACAAACACCAGCCAATGTAGATTATAGCCATTCGCTTTACCTTCCAATGGATAAATAGACATACTAATTAGAACAGGATAGGCTACAACATCAACGACACCCCCTGCTATCACCACTACCTTCACACTCACCAAAAACAACTGCAACAACAGGCGCAACGGGGGCGGCACAAGGGAGGCGGCAGCATTTAGCAACTATGTATCAAGCCACGGCAGCCAGCCAACCACCATTAGTGCCATAGGGGAAACAAAAAAAGAAAAATTGGTTGATTGAGAAATATAAGAAGGGGCCAAACAGGATAATGCAGGGAAACCACCTGTATCACATTGTGTCACGTCGCTGTTCAGCAGCTTCTGTAGCATCCGAATCCGACTGAGAGGTTGCAGTCGTCGATCTTGTCACACCAGAACTCTGAAGTTTGTGGTCGAGCGCTCTTCTCTCTTCATCTGCTGCATGTGGAGTGACTATCGCAACTTCCTCTCCAAAGTTTTTGGCGATTTCTTCCAACGTCAGACGGGCGGTTTCGGGGAAGAAGAAGTAGATAACTATTCATTCGTGTCAGCACGCTCTTTATGCTATGCGCTAAATGATTTTAATTGGGTGTGGGCCGACTGATAAGATGTTCGTCAGCTAGAATGGATATCCTAACTTACCCGGGATGAAGAATGCAGACCAGCAAATAATAACGAGATAGTACTTCCAGCCTACGTTGGCAAATCCTATTGGAGCGGTTTGGAGAAGAATGATCGTCGCTGCGCAATCGTTAGTAAATGAGTTTGCTAAGGCTGTATGAGTTTGTGTATCCTCAAGTGCCTGCTTACATGCGAACTGGCCGAAGAGGGAAAAGCCCATCCCAATTGGACGAATCTCCGTGGGAAAGATTTCAGACACGTATAGGTACATGGTAGTGTCACAGAAGGTACTGAGATGAGTGATTAGTTGATAAGTTTCACGAAGGACCACGACAAACTCACCCTTGGAACGCGAGATACAAAAAGATGAAGAAAATCCCCAAACCATTGCCAACTCGATTGAGTGTGCCGGCATACTTGGCGGTCATGGCTGCTAAGCATGATGTCGTCACGACGATCCCGATGAAACCAACAAGAAACATGCCTCTTCGAGAGTTTACTTTATCATGCAACCATGCTCCGCCAGGGTTATAAATAAGGCCTGCGGTGGTTAACCATAGTGCGCTAAGGAGAAGCGGCATATGGCCGGTCATGCCTAAGTTTTGATACAGCAGTACTGCATAGTTATTCTAAACGCGGCGTTAGCAATGAATCGTAGCTACCGAGCAAGTTTGCCATGTGTGGTGAAACTCACAATAATGAGGGGGCCGCCAAACTCTGCACCCCACTGCGTCAAAAACCCGATGGTCATCCGCTTTCTGTAAGACTTTTTCTTGAACACGGCAGTCCACACACCATGGCCTGTTGTAGCAAGCTTTTCGGCTTCAAGTTTGAGCTGTTCTTTGGTCTGGATAAATTCCTCCTTCGCCACTAAGTTGTCTGGATCTTCTTTTGACTGCCGTAGTCGTCGAATGACCTCCCAGGCTTCATCAAGTTTCCCTTTTGATATTAGCCACCTGGGCGATCTTGGAAGCCAAGGGGACCCTATCAGCAAAACTAGGGGGCTTAGAGTCTGCAAACACAGAGGGAACCGCCAGGCGAAAGTGGGGCTTTTTGCTGTTGCAAAGTAACACCCATAACCAACCCAGCTGGAGAGCATGTAGCCGAAGACCAAGAATATTGGATGGTGTCCCACCAACCAGCCACGTACAAAGGGGCTCGACATCTCTGCGAGATACATTGGACAGACGGTGACGAGAATTCCAATTGCAGTACCAGAGACAAATCGACCGGCTTGAAACATCCTACCTCTAAAGTTAGCTTTGAGCTGTCACCGCTGCCAAATAGTCAGCCATACTTCAAGTTAACCGCTGCTCCCTGTAGAGCACCACCTAGTACAGCTAAGAACGACCCAAGTTGGATATTCGCTTTGCGACCTACGGCTTCGCAAGACCACATCATAAACAGAGACCCAACAGCGCCTCCAGCGCTAAAGACTCCGTTCGCAGTAGCAATCGCATTGGTCGTGACCGTGGTATAACCAGGCTGGCCCTGCAATGGGAGCTTGAAAAAATCGTACCAGCCAGGTTGACCGATAGTGCTGCCTATGACAGACGCACAGTAGCCATATGTCTAAAGGATATCCGAAGCAGAGTGGTTAGCTCAAGCCAGCGTTGAAAGTACAGTGAAGCGCTAGGATATCAGGGAAAGACAATATCACGTACGAAGGACCCTAGAGCAACGAACACTATCACTAATCGATTATATCGACTAGTTTGTGCTCCGAAATTTGCCATATTGAGCCCAAGGTTGAAGAGATCAGTGATTAGTGAAGTTGGAGTTAGTGGGAGGGAGAAGGAAAGGTCTTAAAACTTAAATACCATGAAAAAGGGGAGAGGAGTGGGGACAAGAACAAGGAAGAAAGCCAACAGAAAAAAAGCCCGAGAGGTCCACTCAAAGAAAGGTGAAGAACAATGTTCTAGAGAATAATAAGGACACAGGCAATTGTAGACTGTTTTAAAGGATCAAGCAGGTTGAGATGTAGTACGGGATATGTCTCTCCTGCTTGTGCTCTGCAATACCCGAGCAGCGCTTCAAGATCACCATGCCAGGGACCAAAGAAAAAAAAGAAAAAGGAAAGGAAAAACGAGAATGAGATGTTCTCAGAACCCGATGTGAGAACCATTTGGAATGCACGAGAGGAAGACAGATAATTGATGAAAAGAAGCTGGCAGTATCGAGCTATACATTTCGCAACATTAGACTTGGCTGGTAAGACCAACCATCCCCAAGAATAGCAGGGAATCCTATAGGTAGACCGATTTGGAAATGAAAAGGAAATCCTAGTAACTGTCAGAAGTTACAAGATACATGGTCATCAAAGCCACGAGTTTCTGTGTAATCAACTGTCAGCCATTGCACCGCCTTGGGATATATTCCTTTACCGCGCAAGCCTGGACCACCACATCTCCATACCGCCAACCTGGGTGGAAATTCTCAATTGAATATTCACAAGAGAAGAAAGAAAATGAAAGAAACGGAAAGAAAAAACAAAGAGAAGAGAAGAGCTTCAAAGAAAGTCTTCAATTTTTTTCGTGTTTTAAGTTTCCGATGCAGTGAGAACTTGGGCCCCTTTTTTGCATATCGTTCCCTAACTTCACTTGTACCCGGACCATGCCCATCGGTGGTTTTCCCGGGCGCGGGAGGTAGAAACGGCATCAAGCAATTTGCCAGCATCGCCTGAGGAGGTTTGCAGTCTATACATACGCCAGTCAACGTATCTATCTGTTGCCTTGGCCGAGCTGATTGATCGCTGGCTAAATATCGGCGACGGAACAGCACACTATGCCAAATTAGCCAGGGCAGATGCCCCCCCCCCGCCAGTCAGATCATAACTTTTGGATAGACCGACGGCTAGGGCAAGTGGGAAGCAATGCTCTAGCTATCTGCCAACCCGCTTGAATCTATTTGTGGGAAGCCTGACAATTGCAATGTCGGCGATGTTTTTGTCTTGCACCTGATGACTCAGCAGCTCAGCCCCTAAACTTCCGGTGTTGGCTTGAACCAAGATCATCCAAACCACAGGAGCATTGCCGACTCGCGATCGTTCGCATTATTTCCGTTGTTTATTTTCCAAACCCCTTTGATTCCCGGAAATAAGCTGCATTGTGACTTTCCGGAACTCTCCGAGTATCAGAGGCTGTTGGGTTACCTGAGTTTGTGATACTCGCGTGGTCTGATAGCGTGGGTGATGTTGGGCTTGGATCAAGCGAAAATCTGCAGCTTAGCCCTTTACCGCCGATTTATATCGGGAACAGCAGTCTGGAAATGAATATCGTGTTTAATACTAGCATGATGGTCTCGTCGTTGGAGATGATTTCTTCCGTTCGCCAGTTTTTTTTTTTTTTTTTTTTTTTTTGCTGAGCTGCCCGTTATATGGAAATGCACATGCTGAGGATGTAATTTTCCCCGTTCTACGGAGTCTATCCACCCCCGATTTGGCCATATATTTATGTGGCATTTATCAGTGGCTGATAGAATTATTCCTTCTTGAACTAATTGAGAATCGAAGAATGCCTCTATCTACGATTATCTGTGGTTTTCGACGGTGCAAAACCGAATAACAGAACCCTCAACGCATTCAATCACACCATTGCTTTGTTATCTAACGGGCTAACGTGACAGGTCTCTGAGCATAATGCCGTTATATACGGGAGAGGTCTCTTGCAAAACTCGTGGCAAGAAGTACTCTTTTGCTATAGAGATAATTCGAATAATGGGATTATTACCACAATAAATGTTCTGCAATCATCCTCTCGCTTGGAGCACGCCTCAGGGCATTTTAATCACCTCCTAGGGAACAAATCTCACCACTCATTCATCATCAATCTTGAAGAGCCTGCTCGAGTATATAAAAGTATTGAGAGTGTCATTGTTTTGAATCGAAACCAGCATGTAGCCTGGGCCTGATTCCCTTGTGTCACACCATGATGTTGCACATAGTGGGATTGTACGACATTAAGACAAACCTCAATCTCGATTTTTAGTTCTCCCACTCTTAATATATCTCATCGACCACAAATATATATCATTGCCAAAGAACAAACGCCTGCAACCATGGCCCAGACATCGCCATTCGACACCCCCTTCGACGAGCTCCCAAACCCTCGCCAGGTATGGGTAGGCACGCCGGGGAGCCCGGAGGAAGGGATGGGAAAACTTTCCCTTTTGACTCCAGCAGTCGTCTCCGAAGCAGCAGCAGAAATCAAAACAGGCATGCGAGTGACCCTTGGTTGGGAGATGACGAAGCTTGAACTAGCAAATCTAAACCGACAACCGTGCCAGCATCATATCATCTCCCTTCTAAACGGTCTTGCCTTTGATGATGTTTACATCATGAACCCTCGTGCGTTACCTAACAAGTGGCATGTCTTTGTTGAGAGTACCTTTTAGTTAACAGGTGTATAAGAACAAAGCAGCCAGTGGGACGGGCTACGTCATTTTTCGCAATCAGTGACTGCCACCGATGGCAAGGCCGCGGAAAGAGTTTTCTATGGAGGAACAACTGCCAGTGAAATACTCAATCGATCAAACGATCGCATCGGGATGCAATACTGGGCTCGTCAAGGAATTACAGGTAGGGCTCCCCACATTCTTTGACGCGGTCTATATATAGCATTGTGATAATTCGCAAAAGCGTTCCTAACGTACTTCTTTTCGCCTCTTACCTTTAGGCCGTGGGGTTCTCATTGATTATGCCTCCTACGCCTCAAAGAAAGGGATTAAATATAGCACCTTTTCAACCCATCAAATCAGCCTATCGGATATCTTAGAGATCGCTGCTGACTGTAACCTGACATTCAAACGTGGGGATATTCTATTTATTAGGATCGGGGTGACCAATGAGTGGGACAATGTGATGACCGATGATCAAAAACGGGCATACTCGGTGAATCCGAAGCCGGAACATGCGGGCGTTGAAGCTACTACTGAAATGCTCCGCTGGCTATGGGACACTGGATTCTCTGCCGTTGCAGGTGATGCTATCAGCTGGGAAGTGAGTGCGTTTCTGATCGTTAAGCAGATCTACAACGGCCTTGTTTATAAGGGTAAATAAATATGCGTATGATCTCTTGGCTGACATGGTGTATTCCGCTTCCAGGTCTATCCTCCGCAGAACCCAGATATCTTCCTGCACGAGTATCTGCTTGCAGGCTGGGGAGTTCCAATCGGTAAGCAAACCAAGGATTCATGATCTACAGATCTACCCTGTTTATTTGGTTTGGAGCATCACCACGTCCCTGGGTTTGGTGAAGATGCTAACCTTACTTACCATATAGGAGAGCTTTTCGACCTCGAAGCACTATCACGCACCTGCCATGAACTGGGCAGATGGACCTTCTTCCTCTCGTCAGTGCCCCTTAATATGCCTGGTGGCGTTTCTTCGCCGCCAAACGCAATTGCAATTTTCTGATCGGGGTTGTCTAAATGAACATCCTCGATGGTGTGTTTCATCGCTTTAAATTGAAACGGGTCATACAGAAACGGGAAGAGAATGCAGAGTAATTTGATAAGCTTTCGGCTCCACGACCCCTTTTTTATCGAATTTCTAATATCCAATTTTCATGAGCTTTTCAGGATCTCCATTCTCCTTATCTGCATCTTCCGAAGAATTATTGGCTACTCACAAATGATTTGACTTACACTTTGAGTTTACTTTCGGAGAGGGATAGTAATCCTAACAATTATACGGCAGTTTCGGGATATTTTTTACCCTCACTAAGTTGACTTGAGTGTTGATACCATCCATATTAGTCCATGTTCTCTCCGCGTCTCCCACCCTTCTTCACCTGAAAAGATTAAAGCAAGATTTCCAATCTCCTCCCTACAAGCTTGAACGAGTATACACAGTATCAAACTACTGTTACTCTAAACCTTACGCAGCTGCACACTTCTCAAATCGCCAACCTCCCCCTATGACTCAGCCCTGCCCTACATCATCAGCTGCAATCCAATATACCGAAGCCGCAAACATGTATATTGTAAATCTACTTATCAGAAGGAAATAGTATGCGTAGCGTATAGCCTTTATATCATCCGGTCCCCACAGTACATCTATTGTGGCTAAGCCCACAGCATTTAATAAGACGCTCAATATGCAATAGTTGCTCTTAATTACAACAACTCTCTTATCATCAGATATACATCTCCAGTACACCCGCGAATTAAACCCACCCACGCACGCGTCTCTTCCTTCCCAGAACCCTGCCAGTGATTTTGTAGTGATTTTGTATGAGCTGTACATACCCGACCAAAAAACAAGGTGTCACAAGCATAAAACCCCAACTATGAAAACTATCGTTTTATATGAGTATTATAAATCATCTACTATACGTGTAATGTACTGTACATGGAGACACCTAGGTAACTTGTACAGTCCATACCCAGCAAAGTACAGTACAGGCTTGCTTTATCCCGCACGCTAGCCCAACGGTTTCAGAGGACGCCCACCTGGTTGGTGCATTTTCAAATATCTACCTATATAGTTGTTACCCATCCAGCCTGTCTGGGCTGGCTATGCAACAAAATTTCGGATTGACCGGACGACCTGGGCTTGATGCCGTTTTCATCAAACTATAACCAATTTTCTTGGGAGGGACATGCCATGACCCCTCCGCTCGGGTATGTCGATGGAGTTTCGAATGGAAGGGCTGGGAAAAGGCGGCAGTTAAGTGGATGGGGAAAACGCTGGTTCATGTATATCATATATATATATAAATGGATAGACAGATTGTGTCAGTTGTTTAGGAGTCAGCCCTAGGCCCCTAGCCCTATAATGAGAATGGATAAACACATGAGAAACCAACTCTATTATAAGTGGCGGAGTATTTGTTCGGATAACAGGCATGAGTTGCAGGATAAAGAAAGTAAAAAGATGTCTTTGGCACAATATTGCATTTGGATGCACATGGCATATATGTATCTATGATGTTATGAGTGCTGTCAATTGCTTTCTCAAGTTGGCAAGCAGAAAGATACCGATACCTAGGGACTCGCTCGCATCTTGCTCAGTCAATTATTCTATGCTAGGTAGAAATGTCCCTGTAGATTCTCACCAGCAGTAACACATAAAATAACTCCTCACGCAGCTACAGCCCTGAACACCTCCGCACCTGGGCCTTTTATTAATGGGCGCTCATTATTCAGAAATATCCCATATCACGGGAGACGGGCCACACATGACGGAGCCCAAAATAAGATAGATACGGACTCCACCGTCGTGGCAAAGCACCCCGGCTTCCCGGGAACTCGAAAATTCTGTATCCAACGCGGCCAAAACCAGGTCCCCGGCGGACCTTGCACTTGTAACCGGAGCTGCACTGGATCTTGTATCTCAACCCCCTTGGCCCTGGTATTTTGTATCTCCTTGTAGCTGTTTTCCCAGCAGGCATTGGTCATTGGTCATTGGTCTTGCTCTGCCGGCCCTTGTACCCCCTTTATCCCTCCTCCTTGAGACACGACTGGGCAATGCGGGGCGCGAAGGGAAGCCGTCGCTTACTTGGCTTTTAGCAGGCAGAATTAACGGCCCTCTGCTATTACACATGTTCCACACCCTAATTTAGTACAAGCTCAGACCATCGAGTTCTTAATCGGGTCCCTCAAAGTGGGAGAAGGCCGAGTCTTGGGACACGGTATAGCGACGGGGAAAGGAAAAAAAAAAAAAAAAAAAGCCTTAACCCATAGTCTCACGGATGCACATGATAGGAGAGGCAGAATGTGTAGTTAACCATCGATTCTATTCGGACTCGGAACAAAACGCAGGGGTCATTTCTTGTTCAGGCGCAAACACATCAAAAGACCTACACAGGGTTCCCCTCTAGCACAACGCAGCACAAGAGGTAACACCATGTTAAACCCTCAATGTAGCGAGAGTAGCTCATAGCCAAATTCGATCATATCGATTTCAAATAGGAAGAAAGGAACAAAAATACATGCACATTTCAATGTATGATCCGCGTGCCCAGACCCTGGCATCTTGTTATATTCAGTTTGTCCGCTTAGACAAACATAGAGAAGGACTGAGGGGTCGTTCTGAGAGGTATGTACATGTACAAAACATACCTGCATTAGCCATAAGTATAAAGGATTGGTGTTAATCTGTTTACTCATTCGGCAACGGCCGTCACACACGGTGATCCAAACGGTATTTCCTCCTCCTTTTCAGATGTAAGATAAGAAGGGGACAGGCTCACTCTTCATTTCCTCCAGACATAACAGAGCAATGATATTTTTTTCCCACTTCTATTTCCGTGTTGGCAAACCTAACCGCTGATAATGAAATTGTGGGATCAATATCGGAATTTTTGTTAGGTGTGGACGGAGACTGGCCCGGACGGAGTTCAAAGAGAAACGAGGGAGACAGCAAAAAATAAAATCACACTGTTTCAAGGACAGAGATCAAGCAACGGCGACTAAACCTTGCTATATATCATCTTGTTCCGGCGGGCGAGCCTCTCCTGATCTATCCATCCATCCATCCATCCAGCCAATCCCCGCCCCCCCCCCATCCCACCCCCTCTTTTTATATATTTCCCTTTTCTGGTTCGTTTGTTGAGTTTTCATGATTTGTCTGACTCGGAAGTATATGGTTTGATCGAGGGTTATTGATTGAAAAGTACTTTTGCTTTTCGCCGTTCGTTTAACACTTTTCGTCGACGAGGGCAGGATCAGAAAAGGAAGAGGAAGCACAGAAAGGGGTAAGAAGGCAAATAAAGAAGAGATAAGCAGTATACCAGGTAGCCTCTGAAGGGGAAACCACGGGGGAAACCCGAAATATGGCATCAATGGCCGCCGCAACGGAACCAGCTCTGGCGCCTCCATTGGGCATCGAGTCCAACTTCGACGGGCAGGAGGAGGCATTGCATGTATGGAATCTCGTCACGCAGGGGCTCTGCATCTCCTTAACGTCGATATTTTTCTTCTTGCGGATGTACGTTCGAGTCTACGTTAATAGGGGGTTCGGAAGGGAAGACTGTAAGCTGCAGCTGCTTGTCCTGACCTTCATAATTTGCCGCAAATAGGAGCTAACGAATATAAAAAAGGGTGTTGTTCTCTTGCCTGGGTACGGTCATCCACAAAACGTCTGTTAAGCCACAGGGACAATATAGCTGACTTAGCTCTTTAGTTTCTCGGAGTTGGATATTCCATCATTGCGATTCTGAGTCCGTATTCCCCTGAAATATAACCCATTTGTTTATTCCATTCAGTAGACTGACTCAGATCCTTGCAGTGGGTAAATATGGTGGTGGGTATCACCAATGGGATGTCCCGAAGTCGGACATTGTCCCGTTCAACAAGGTACGTAAAAACATAGCATCAGACACATAGTATCATATCACCCATCAGGGTGTAGTGCGCAGATACTAATGACATAAAACCGCCATCCATCGAGCAACAAAAATAGACCGTGTACGGAACAATGGTCATATACGGGCCGGCCGCATTTCTCACGAAGGCATCCATCCTCCTCATCCTAACCCGAGTTTTTGCACCTTACCGCAAGACAGTAAGGTTCATATACGTATATTTTGGGGTCCTGCTCGCATATTATGTCCCCGCGATCATCGTTAAGGTCCGCATCTGCATGCCCATCTCGTACTTTTGGATGGGCCAGGATTCGGAGGGATCCTGCTTGGATGAACGCGCGATTATTCTGGCCGATGCAATTATCAGCGTCGTGAGCGACCTGACGATCCTGGTCCTGCCGCTTCTCCTGACCCATTCGCTGCAAATGTCTCTCAAGAAGAAAATCCGCGTCATTGGCATCTTGGGGGCTGGTGGTTTGGCTTGTGCGTCGAGCATTGTGAGACTGGTCCTGATTGTTCAGAAGGGGAACGCCAAAGACCAGACTTATGTGTTCATGCAAATCAATCTCTGGGGGTAAGCAATTAATAAAGTGCAACCCGCTCAACTTATCTTTTAGGTAGCTAAAATGAAATCGACAAACATAGTAACGCGGAAGTGAGCATCGGAATAATCTGCGCCTGTCTCCCATCCCTGGCCGCGCTGCTCAACCGCATATCGAACGAATACATGTCGCGCAATGGCAGCCGGAGCTATGACTGCGAGCTTGCTGGAACAGACACACTGACAGGGTCCAAAATAGCTGGGTCCCAAGGGAGCTTTAACGATGCAGGATCTGAGCAAGAAATCCTAGCCTCACACGCACAATCAGACATGAAGGTTGAAACTGCTATCCGAGCAGACGAGCCAGGAACGATGCATTCGCACCACCGCGCGCTTCACTCTTTTACCGGCCGTGGGATCATGAAGACGGTTGATGTTTCGCATACAATCACCACCAAGGAATAAATTCTGAGGGAAGATGTCGAGCGGATTGGAAGTGGTTGGTGCTACGATAATAACTTGATCGGTCCCTGGTTACGGAAGAGCGAGATATTGGCTGGACTGACAATAACGCAACTTCATTCAATTTCAATAACCAGTTAGTTATTTTTTTTCTTCTTTTTGGCAGAATTCTGAATCGATCACAGTGTGTTATAGCTTCCGCGTAGTTTTTTCTTCTCCAGAATTTGCTCTTCGTGTGGTGAACGGAAAGAAAAGAGAAGAAATAGCTGTCATCCATGGATCTCTCTCATCTCATCAATCCACGCCTCAATCCCGTTCCCAATGCTGAATGGCTAGAGAATTCTATGTCGAGAATTTCCGTCAACGAGAGCCCCTTTCCCGCCCTCTTCATCTTCATACATAACTGCATTGCGAAGTCAGTCAACAGCTGTAAATCCTCATTTCATCCACTTGACGCGTTGTGTCATCGCGTCTAAACATGGCATTCTTTGACGCACCCCTGGGAAGCACTGGGACACCGCCGAGATGCTTCTCGTTTCACCAATCGTTACTCCAAGTGCCAGGCCGGCTTCGACTCCCCTCCCCTTCCAAAAGATGCAAAGTCACACCATTAGCTGAACCCTCGTCTGCGAAGAAAAATCGCGCTCATTACGAGCACCGCTTCTGCAAAAGTTTGTCTAGAGACTGTCCAGCGGTCGAGCTTCCCAAATCCTCTCGGATGGCCCTCTTTTACCCCTCAAGCTCGGATTGGTAAGTATAACATAAGCGTCCGAAGTTTCTTTCATCAAGAAGAACAACCGACTAACGCTATTGTTGTAACGTTATAATAATAATTGTTGTAGATGGGAGTCGAACCTTTCTCCCACATCCACAATGCGCGTCATGAGCGCCTCAGCAACCTCCCCTGTCACCGGTACGACATATTACTCTCCCGTTTGACCTTCGAGATGACCCAGGCACATTTGAAAATACCGAAAACAGAAAAATGTCCCGGAGAATATTTTCTCGGGGCCGAACCTATGGCATGTTTCTCTAACGTTAACTTTAAAACTATCTCCTTCTATTATTATCTAACCAAGATGTCGCCCAAGCCTTTGCCAAGAACAAATAGCGGGACCTCAAATCTCCGGAGCGGGCCCAGCATATAAGCCTCGAATTGAGGGGGACGGACTGGGAGCCTTTCTTTCACAATATCAGAAACCTACTTCCAAGACCAAGGCATTTCGATCGCTGAGGTGATGTACAGAGTACTTGACTGGTTACCGTCGTCATCGCTTGCCACATCCATCAGGCGGCGAAAATCACCTGTTTTTACACGACAAGCACCGTCCAGGAAGCAATGTATATAGAAGCGCTCTTTGGAATGAAGATGGGGACGTCCTTGGGTTTTCAGATATGCCCTAAAAGCCGGGGGAAGTTAATGAAGGATTGGATTGGATTGGTGTACTGGGATCGCGGCCGTGGAGCTTATTTATCGAAATAAATAGGGCACAGTAACTCATTTTTTACAAAGGCATTACTGCAGCTGGTTTATCCAAGATAATGCAAAAGCACATACAAACTCATGTGCGTGTCTTTCGTGGCATTTTTCCACGTCATTTTCTTTCTATCTTTAGACTGACTGATATGCAATAGAGTTAAGATATGATTTATGAAAACCACCTTCCTTTTCCAATACTAAACAAAAAGCACGAAGCTTGTTGTTCGTCTTCGCAGTGTCTACTGCAGTCAACCACTACTATATTTTCGTTCCTGGCTTCCTGACATTAGTTGTATAGAGCCCTACTAACCATACAATAAACCTGTGCTGGGAGATCATTGCTGTGAAACATTTATTATTAGTCTCTCACTCTATCTATTAAGCAAATAGTTCAATAGAAAACATTGTTCTTGTAGAGTAGAAAAGCTGCTCATTCTGGCGAGTACTCTGTACTGGGATACATGAACACGATTAATCAGAGTTAATGACAAGAATTGAATATAGCATCAATCTTGAACTTCTCATTCGCCCGTAAACCGTGTAGAGGAGAATGGATTGGATGTGTGTGTACATTGTATATAAATGGTTGTACCTTACATTCAAATCCATACATTTATGTATGGATAGAATAATAGTAATTCAAATAATAGTGAGAGGTCTTACTCCGCAGGATGTTACATCTACAGACAAATATCAAGCTGTTCTCAGGGAATCATTTACCATATAGACATTGAGGTACATGTACATATGCAGACACACGATTGGAAGTGATAGAGGACAGTATGGGACTTGCCATACTTCAATCCTTCGTAGTAGTATTAATAATTACAGATGTACGGAGTACAGCGTACTGCGAACGGCACACACCGGTGAGCTACATGCGAGGACCTCGGAAAAACGTAGTCCGCCAAACGCATTGCAATCGGCCCAAACCCAAAGCAGCAGCAGCAACAGGTAAGATTTGGCGCCACCCACCCAGTGACCGACCCAGTAGTAGTGTCCCACCATCTGATGTCGGGAATGAAGGAATGACGGGGGTTGAAAGCGGTAGAAGGGGGGGTTGATGGGGTGCAAGAGAGGGGCGCCCACTTGGCAGCGGCTCTGCCCAGCGATTCAGCGAAAACGGGAAAAGCCACCGGTTTCATCAGTCCAGGAACAAATCAGGGGACATCGCATGCCAGAGCAGCTATTCTGTTCGTCCAGGGCACGTCGAACGGTGGTTGGCTGGTACCTGAGCAGAAGGCGAGAAAGTGCACCAAACGTGGAGCCAGCTAACTTGCTTTGCTGGGGGCAGATTCCTCCGATTTCTTACCCAAATCCTGTCATGTCATGGCCCTAGTGGCACGGCAAGGCAAGGGGCCAGGAGAGAATGGAGACTGGCGCATTGTCCTAGGCCGCACTAACGACAGACGGGGCTAGCTAGGGAGGCATGGCAGGCATGATGCTAATAAGAAGTTCGGCCCCCTTGCTGGGCCGCCTTGGACAAAGGGAGGGGGCGGAATCCCCTACATACCATACTGCAGTTTTTTTAGAATTTTTAATTTTTCTGGCTCTCTTTCTTTTTGGCTCCGGGGGCAAAAAACAGTCAAAGAAAGAAAGAAAGACAAATAAATACCCATCCCCTCATTCGCGCAGGCCTATGAGAAGGCAAATTAGGATCGATCGGGGATGTTCATGCTTGCGTGGTGTGTGACAATTCACATCACACACAAGCTCACAGCAGGGACCGCTGGAACACATTACTCCTCCTCCGTCCTGCTAAATAATCTATTCTTATGGAGCCAAGATCCGTAAACGGCTCAGGCAGCAGAGCGGATCGTAGGTGATGGATAGAGAATATTCTCGAGCCAAGATGTGCCACATGGAATGCTAAGTACAGCGCGTACACCGTATCGTGCCAGGCGAACTCGGGTTGGGCCCTTGATTCTGGGGGGAACTCACTCAGGAGCAATCAGGAGTCACTAACTAATAAGGAGTGGGAACAAGGAGGGAGGAAGTTTTAGCTGCGGATTAGCAAATGTCAGAAGTTATATAAAGTCCCCGCTGGATAAATTTGGATGGTGTTTCAAACCCCCTCCCTGCGAAGTGCTGACAGCAGGCAGTTTTTGTATGATGTAGGTGAGCCTGCCCTATCATCATCAGAATAAAAATAATAAATCTGAACCAAGATCCTCCTCCATCTGTCTGTCTGGATAGGATAGTCTGTCCGGATAGGATAGTCTGTCTGGATAGCCTGGATAGGACAATATGCCCAGCTGCACTAGGTGTGTTAGCGCTCAGGATCTGAAATTTCCCGTGCGAATCAAGCGGGTTTTAGTTGCAAGGGGAAATTGATCATCGACTGAAGTCTTCTTGCGCTTTCTTCCCGTCTCATCTCATCCTCAAGTCTCTCCATCTCCATCTCTCTCCGTCTCTCTCCATCTCTCTCTCTCTCTCTCTCTCTCACCACCACCTCTACTGCTTTCTTCCTCTGCATCCCTCTGCCCGTCCCTTCGAGGCTACATCTCCCTTTTTTCAAAAGGAAGACAGTCAGCTGGCTGAAGCTATTCATTCCTTTTGCCTTCGTGCACTTACCGCCTCAAAGAGGACTCGCCCTTTTGCTTCTTGTTCTTGTTCTTCTTCTTGTCGTTCGTTTCAGCCGTCCATATTTCCCAATTCTCCATCCTACCCTCCCTTCAAGACATCACTATACAACCGTTGACCTGAGAGAGGCGGACTGTATAGACAAAGCAACAAAATAGACAATAAAAAGGGAATTGGCATCGCCACTGGGATATACTCACTGGGAAAGGAAAGAAAAAGGAGCAGTTGTTTCTTGTTCTGAACGAAACGAAACAACCTCATCCGCTGTTTATTCACTGCGCACCGTGTTCTTTTAGGGGGGTCTTATTAATGTTTTAAAACATCCCAATCCACTTCCCAGCTGGATGACTCGATAAACGTCACTCCTTTGATTCATCAATCATCCCATCAACACACTCCTTTTTTTCTTGTCGCGTCTGTCACTCTTTACACTGTTTCGCCCCGAGGGAAATTGAGATTGCAGGCTTTCCAATCGTTCCTCCACTTTCATTATATACGACGAACCTAGACTTCATCCAGAAAAGCAACCTATTATCGATATTCCCGAGTCCGGACTCGATACACACCGCCATATCATAGGCAAACCATATACATATCTATACCAAACATGCATTTGGGCATCGTTTTCACCGCAGTTGTTGCGGCGACCATCTCCCCGGCGTTGGCGTTCTGGCGTCTGCCATGTCGGGGCCGTCTGGGCGTGGCCCGTCTTGATCCACTGGTCAATCCGGGTGCCATCTCGTCTCACGCACACGTTATTCACGGTGCCAGCAGTATGTATTGATCTGGAGAACTACTTGTTTTCTTTTTTCTTTCTGTCCTTTTTGTGCTGGTGGAATGTTTATATACATATACATATATATAATACTAACTGCTTAATAGACTTCGGCATGAGCGTCACTGTGGATTCACTGTTAGCGTCTGACTGCACTTCCTGCGCTGTCAAGGAGGATAAATCCATCTATTGGACTCCCGCAACCTACTTCAAATACCCCAATGGCGATACTGAATTGGTGGACCAAGTCGGTGGTATGCTTGTGTAAGTTTAATCCCCCTCCCCTCCCCCCTTCCCCTTAACACAACATAGAAAGCTACCGCTTTTGTTTTTCCGCCGTATCTTCTAATATGTCCACATTCTGCAGCTACTATCTGCTGCGCGGAGATAACGTGAAGGCCTTCCCAAAGGGCTTCCGTATGCTTGCCGGTGACCCATACCAGCGTAACTTCACCTGGCCAGTTCCAGACCCTCCCAAGTCCTCTTGGTCGGGGGCTCAAAGCTCCCAATTTGCCCTCTCCCAAAAGGCAATCGGTTTCAACTGCCTGAACTACGCGGGGGGCAAGAATGAACCCACCCTCTTCCGCCACACCCTGCCAGACAAGAGCTACATCGACGCCCACTGCCCTGATGGCGTCCGCATGGAGATGATGTTCCCATCCTGCTGGAACGGCAAGGACCTCGACAGCCCCGACCACAAATCCCACATGGCATATCCCAGCCTTGTCGAGGACGGTGTGTGCCCCCAAGGCTTCGAAACCCGCCTCGTATCCCTCCTTTACGAGACCATCTGGAACACCGCCAAGTACAGGGGCGTCGAGGGTGAATTCGTCCTCTCCAACGGCGACCCCCAGGGAAGTGGCTACCACGCCGACTTCATGGAAGCCTGGGAGCCCGGCTCCCTCGAAAAAGCAGTGAAGACCTGCAGAAACCCCTCTGGCCGCGTCGAAGACTGCCCCGTCTTCACCCTTATTTCCCAAGGAGAACAAAACAAATGCAAGTTCAAGATGCCCTCCATCCTCGCCAACGAAGACTGCCAGTTCACCAAGGGCGGGCTTCCCGGCGCCGTCGAGATCCTCCCCGGCCCCGCCTACGCCAAATTACCCAAGATCAAGGTCCCCGAAATCAAGGCCCCGAAAATCAAGCTCCCCGAGCTGAACGCCCCAGCGAAAGATGCTGCCGGCCCGCTGCCAGCGGCATCCACACCACCCCCGCCACCACCACCACCAGCACCAGCCGCAGCTACCCCTCCCCCTCCCCCTCCCCCACCCCCACCCCCACCTGCCCCCAAACCCTCCACAACCCCGGCCCCAGCCCCCGGCCAATTCTTTGCGCCCAAAGAGGACTACAACGGAAACGCCACCCCGATCTCCACGAGCACGTACACTGAGGGCAACGTCGTGTATGAGGTTGTCATCATGGAGGAGAAGGTGACGACGACCATTGAGCTGCCGGCGGGTGCGACCCCGCCTGCTGGAGCCAAGGCTGTGCGGAGGGCTCATAAGCGTCATGGACACGGGCATTTCCATTAAAAAGAGCTGGAGGGATGGAAGCTTGTGAAGCTTGTTTTTGTGTTTTTTTTGTATCTTTTTATTTTCTCATACTTTATGGTGTGTGTGTGTGTGTGTGTGTGTGTGTGTGTATGTGGTGGTGTCTAGCTAGCTGGGCGTGTGATGCCCTGGTTAGATTCGGGGAAGCAGGGGAAAGAGATGGGAGTGGGTAGTGAGATGCCTGTAGTTTTTAGGGAAGAGGAGAAGGATATTTTTTTTATATTTTTTCACATATTTTTCACCATCTATTTTATCTCAATAAGTTAGCTAGCCTCTGTGGAATGTTAAATAGGGTTGTATTGTTTCCCCCCCTTGATTTTGCCGTTTAGTTTTCACCCTTAGTATCATGCATGCTCCACCTATTTCTCCGAGATCTCGTGCGGCTATTGAAGAATCTATACGAAAAGTGAAAAGGGGTAATAATAACTTTCTTTCTTTTTTTGTTTTTTTCTTTTCAGTTGGATCTTCCTATCCGTCTATTCACCCGTTGTACACCTTGGAAAGGTCACCCAGCACGCCTAAACGTCACCTGAATTGAATAAAAACAGGCAAACAGCTCAAACCAGAGGTCATAGTTCTCTAATAGCTCAAAAAGCTCTCCCATCCCATCCCCAACCCTATGAAAAAAACCACCCCATCTCTATCCTATCTCTAATCTCTATCTCTAAAAAGCAAAAAGCAGTCAAATTGAAATCCCCCCCCCTTTCAACATAACATATCCCCCCCCCCAATCTAAATACACTTCCCCCCATCCACAATCATATCCGTCCCATTAATAAACGCCCCCTCCTCACTGCCCAGATACAAACACATATTCGCCACGTCGTCCGGCTCCGTCAGACGGCCCAGCGGCACGTTGGAGATGAACTGCGCCCTGTTCTCCGGCGTATCCGGCACGCCAACGAACATCTCGAACAGGCCCGTGCCCGAAAGTAAGGGGCAGACGTTGTTGACGCGGATCTGGTGCGGGCCGTATTCGGCGGCGAGGCCTTTGGTTACCTGTTGTGTTTTTGTTTTTGTTAGTTCTGGGTTACTTTGTTTTGTTGGTTGGCGGGTAGGGTTGAAGAAGGACAGTGTGTAAAGGGGAGGGGGAAGACTGGAGTCTGACATTAGAAACAGCGCCCTTGGAGGCATTGTACCAGACAAGGCCAGGCCTGGGTCTGGAGGCGCCCGTGGAGGAGATGTTGATTATGGAGCCGCCCTTGCCCTGTTCGAGGAGCTTGGGGATGAAGGATTTGGAGGCGTGGAAGATGGATTTTACGTTGACGTCGAAGACGCGCTGGAATTCATCTATTGTGACTTCCACGGACGGCTGTGGGTTGCATTTTTCTTCATGTTAGTTTTAATTATATTTCTGTATGGCGTAACTCTGCGTGGCGTTGGAAGTGGGAAAGAAAAAAAAAAAAGTAAATAACTGAGATATAGATAATTTGTAGTTCTTTTCTTCTTTCTCTCCCTTTATCCGTCGAAAAAGAATTCCAAACAAAACTCACCTTATTTCTATACGTCGTGCCCGCATTATTCACCAGGATATCTACCTGGCCAAACCTGCTCGCGGCCTGCTCAACCACGGCCTTCCAGTCCTCTTCCTTGGTCACGTCCATTTTCATAAATATGATGCTCTCTGGGTATTCCGAAGCTATTTTCTCGCCGCCGGCAACGTTGATATCGCCAACGACCACCTTTGCGCCCTCCTGCGCATAGCGTCTGGCAATTGCGGCTCCAAATCCGGAGCCACCACCTGTTCGTCAATTTCTTAGGGAATGCGGATTTGAATAAAACAAAAAGAAACGGGATGACAGGTTTGTGTGGATTCAGAGGCACACGTACCGGTGACGATGGCAACCTTGCCCTCTAGACGGGGGGCCATGATGTTTTTGCTGAGGGGTGTATAGGCGGGTTACTGGCAGTCGGTCAGTAGGAGGATAGGGATATCAGGGCTGGTGACGGGATTCTAGAAAAAACGTCAGCCGTTGCAAATGGTCTGGTCTCCTGGAGCCTCCTTTTAAACCGTCCTGCAGGAGATTTTTTCTCTTCTTCACCACGTGGAATTGTGAAGGCCGTGAGTGAGAGGAATATAGGATATAGTACTTTTCAAGTACCAAACTAGCTCCGTTGCAGCGCAAGAATACTTTTCCAATAGCGCGAAATGGGCGGGGTGACAGGGAAAACATTGCACATACCGTTCTGTTTGCAATACTTTCAATAGTTCGAGCGGTGGTCGTTCAATAAGAATAGAAGAAGAGACGCGAGGGAAGAGGTTTTAGGTATTTTAGCAAAACTATTATTATTATAGCGGGTAAAAAGGCATCATCTGCGTGGGATTTTGATCTTTTAAACTTCTCTGTTGCCGAAGAGCGTCTTTGTTTCTTCGGCATGATTAGTGTTTCGGAGGGGTTCTACAGACTACGTATTTACTATCAGACTACTGGTTAGTTATTATTATTACCCATTGCCATTATCATGACAGGGGGAAAAACATGCGGGGGAAGCTTCTAGCCAGGCTGGCGAGCTTCTCCACAGCAAGTTTTCAGCAAGTTTATCAATGTGGGTGCCAACTTTAGTAAAGAGAGAATGACAATCCTAGTTACTAGTATCAAGACGGAGCCGTTGAATTTTTCAACACTCTAAGCAAACATCGCACCCGCCGGATATCATGGGCGTCGTCCCGGCTCTCGATATCGGGTTGCCCTGCGCCATTGGCCTTTAGCCATTAGCCGTGAGCCGTGAGCCGTGCTCGCTGCCAAATTGCCAAACCAGACCGGCAAAACAACCCGTGCGTTCGGCTTCTCGGTAATGCCGGCCAATCGCCAGCGTTGCCGTGGGGTTAGCAGCCAGCCGATTTGTATCCAGAGAATGAGCAATAGGATTGATAGATAGATGAATAGATAGAGGTAGCTGCCGAAAGGTTGCAAATATTTTCGTTGGATCAGCTATTGTTGAAGTGCTCACTCCCGTGGCTACAGAGGGCCTGAGAAGCATACACTTATGCAGATAATATAATCTGTCAAATGATAGACTGTTGGTCTAATCATCGCACGGCAGTTATTGCTTCAAGAGATAGTAAGAAGTTAGCGAAATCATTCATTCTTCATCGAACGAGTCTTACCCAAACAAAATCCTTGACATCCATTCCATTCCCGCCGTCCTTCTTCGGCAATGCTTCCCGGCACGGTCAACTTTTCCATTTCCGGACTGTTATGACTGCAGACATGCTCGATCTGCGGTAAGCTGGCTAAATTGATATTGGTTCTCTCTGCTATCGCGACAACCTCTTCGTGGCCAATGGAATAATGGATTACCCAAAAGACGAAAAGAGGTGGCAGACTTCGTGTCATCATGTTGATTATCGAAGCTCTCTACTATATCAATGCAGGGGGGTATTCTGAGCGTGCTATCTCCGCCTGCGTATTGCCTGTGGCGATCTCCCTAGATCACGTGACCAACCACTATATTGTGTAGGCTACTGGGGCAAAAGAGCTCAGTCACCACCAGCGCTGCTGGTAGAAGGGCCGATCAACCCCCTCAACCACTATATTGTACTCCGAACTCCGTATACTGTCACACATCATTGAAGTTAAATACTGCTGATTTATAAGATCTTGGCAAAAGATGCAAGTACAGCCACTCAATCCACTGAACACCTGGGCCTTTTTCATCTGTACTTTGCAAAAAGCAGCTGTAATATTAATTAGTACAGATGCTCTGCCCACTGAACAGTCATGATATTGGGGCTGTACTTTTTTTAAAAAAAGTGGAGATCTGTACAAAAAGAATGAGTACACACGGCCGCACCGAACAGGCCCTAAGTGCTGCGGCGCAAATAGCTCCCTAGACAAGCCTAGTCTGATTCCCCCCTCCCAATCTTGGGCATAAAAGTATCGATTGGAATTGGAGATATCTAGCAGGGTTCCAATGCAGCAATGGGTTAAGCAGAAGGCACCACTGTTGCCATTAAGGACAATGATTCACAAAACAAAAACCTGCGAGCAAGGAATCTTATTTATTGAATGTTTGTTCATTCTTATGTGTTTTTATCTCATATCTGTTTCATTCCCACTCCGTCTTTGTTGACATAGGTGTACCGAGCATGGCGGTGATATCGACAATCCAGGAACTCGTAGGGAATCCATTTATGCTTTCGACCAGCCTTGCTATTGTAAGTTGAAAAATTACTGCCTCCCAAAGGGGATAGCTAACAGATAGGTTAATTGCTGAGACGTATAGCTTGCAGTTTCACTGATAGAAATTTCTAGGTCATACTATATCTCAGCAGTAAACTCGTTTACAATGTTTTTTACCACCCACTCCGCTCATTCCCTGGCCCAACCAGCCATGCGATGAGCCTTGTGCCGTATATTTACAAAATCCTTCGCGGGACTCTAGAATATGACGTACTAGACCTGCACAAGGCTTACGGCGACGTGGTACGAATCTCCCCTCATGAACTGGCTATCTGCGGCCCGGGCTCCTGGAAGGATATATTGGGAAATCGCAAAAGTGGCGAAGAACAACTAGAAAAGTTCTGGCAGTATTATCGTCCTGGGGGAACGGACGAGTCAACTAGTATCATTAACGCAGATCGCGAGGAGCACAGTCGCCTGCGCCGTCAGCTTTCCCATGGCTTCTCCGATAAATCAATGAGGGAACAGGAACCCCTGATTACTCGGCACATCGACCTCATGATAAAGAGATTCCTTGAACTGGGTGGAGCGGGTTCGAAGTCTCTCGACCTTACGCAGTGGTATAATTATGCCACGTTCGATATCATCGGAGATCTGACGTTTGGTGAATCGTTTGGATGCCTCGAAAATGCCTATTTCCACCCCTTTGTCAAGCTTATGCTTGCATCAGGGAAAATTGCTTCATTCCTGCAATGCGCTGGTTATTTCCCGACATTTAAGAAATTTTTGTTGAGCTTAATTCCAAAGACAGCAATGAAACGTCAGGCGAACGTCGCAAAGGAGAAAATCCTAAGGCGGATGAACGCCGGTATAGAGCGCCCGGATCTAATTGAGGGATTGTTGAAGAAACAGGAAGAATGGGTAAGTCACTGCTTCAAGACAAGAACTGAAAATATCTTCTCCTATTATACGTATAACAGGTAAACACTCTGTTGCAAAGCAAACTCCGCCCTTGGGAAATAAATCCCTAGTTCTGGGATACCAGATCGCTTCTATGCTAACCATGACTCCCCTTTCTCCTATAGAATATGAGCCTCGATACCCTCTCAGGAAACGCTCGACTGATCCTTGTCGGCGGCTCCGAAACAACCGCAACACTTCTGTGCGGCGTAACATACCTGTTGCTATCGAACCCTCAAGCCCTTGCAAAGCTGACAGCGGAGGTCCGCTCAGCTTTCAAAAGTGAAGACGATATTAACATGAACTCCGTAAACGAGCTGGACTACATGCTTGCATGTCTTAACGAGGCAATGCGAGTGTATCCACCCGTGCCGCTCGGGCTCCCCCGAGTGATTCCCAAGGGCGGTTGTCAGATAACTGGACAATTCATTCCGGAGGATGTAAGACGTTCCTCCCCTCCTTCCTTCCCTCCCTTCCCTCCCTTCATCTCTTCTTCTGTATCGAGATGTGAGACTGACAAAATATTCCGTACGCTGGTCATAATAGAGTGTGGTCGCGATCCACCACTGGGCCACATATCACAACGAAAAGTACTTCACGGACCCGTTCGCCTTCCACCCGGAACGTTTCCTAGGGGATCCCAAGTTCGCCAACGATAAGCGCGAGTTGCTCCAGCCTTTCCATGTCGGACCGAGAAATTGCCTTGGCAGAAAGTAAGTGAAGCACGCATATTATAATATCAATGAGAAAGAAACACAACCCCTAATATAACTAACTCCATTATACCCCTTTACCTCCTCCTACTTGACCCCTCAAACCCAACCTGGCCAAAAAAGCTAACCACTTCTTATTACTTCTCAAAACGGACTAGCCTCGCATACGCCGAAATGCGCCTCATTCTCGCGCGCCTGATCTATAATTTCGACATGAATCTCGCGCCAGAGAGCGCGAACTGGTTGCGGAAACAAAGAGTATTCCTCTTCTATACAAAACCGCCGTTGAATGTTTATATGAGGCCTGTGAAGAGGTAGACTAGTAGGTTGGTAGGGTTCTAAAAAGGGACTTTGTTTTAAGAAAAGAAATGTTGGGCGGGCTGCTTTCTATCGTTGTTTAGATTGCATTTTCCCAGTCGTTGTCTTTTTGGTTTATTTTATTGATGAGATGGGGAAGAGAGACACTGCTCGTGGTAAGCCTTGGATTTGAACGATTCCTTCATGACGGTCTCTTTTTGCTTAAGATGGCATGATTTCACAGCTATTAATTTGGTTGATACACGTATCTATGTACTCGGACGACATGCCTAGAAAAAAATAAATTCGTGGACTCAAAAAGTCGACAGGAGATCAAAGGAAATCTAAGCTTCTGTGATTTTCAAATGTTGTTTTTCAGGAAAAACTCTTTTATAGAGCTAATCTCGATAATTTAGATAGCTAGATTTACAATATTTTCCCTACAAGGGCTTCCTCATAATTGGTACCTCACTTTTCCCTCCCCCACCCGGCCCTCCTAACTTCCCATACCATACACCTGCCTGCCTGTGCACCATTTTCTCGGACATTCTGCAAAAACACAGCTACTATGTCATCATGTATCATCAAAGGTTACTTCTGCTACGTCAAACCTATCTTGGTACCTCTATATATATACACCCGTTCAGTTCTTTTCTGCAACACCCCAGAATGCTTGCTTTGAAGGTGCATGAAACAAAATATATAAGAAAACAGGGTGAAGGCGCAAGACACCAACTTTATCCAGAGCAGTGCAATGAACATTATTATCCTTGCCCACTCTCTTACCTAGTCCGTCGTATTCATACTGCATACAAGAAAAACACAAACCTAAAAAAAAACCAATGGGTATCGGCTACCAGCATGTCGAGCTCCCTAATTCCAGTGTCCCAAACCCAACACGAAAGAGAAAAAAAAAAGGAAGTAAGAAGAAAAAGACATGTATAAAAATAATAAAGTTTTATAGTTATCAAGTAATCTCAAAGAAGTGGGCGTAATTTGGGTATTCCATCATTCCGCATCATCCACCAGGCCCACGGCGGGCAGGGCTCCTCCGCCTCCCCGCAAACCTAGTCGTACGCGATCTCGAAGATTCGGCTGGGACATTTGGCGCCTGGGTCGTAGTCACACCGACACCACGCCTTGCTCCCGCCGTAGCGTCATCGGGGCCCCGTTGCCTAGTAGCGTGTCTGGATCTAGCACGGTTCAAAGCCGGGTTTAGCAAACCTTCAGCTTCACCATCCAGTTCCATTTCAACACTTTGATTCGGGTCCTCGACAAGACCACTGCGTTCGTTCGTCCATTCTTCTTCATGGGTGGCCCGCCGGTCCAGTCCACGTGACTTAGTCCGCGTGGCTGCTTTTTCCCTTGACTTCTCTTTGCTTTTGGACGTAGTCCTTTCTCTACTGCTAGCACCAGCAGCAGTTTGTCGGGTGGTGGGTGGCGGCACGTATTCCTGCTTCTCCTGTTCAATTTCCCATATTTCAAGTGCTCTTGAGAGTAAAGTTCCCGCAACGCCAGCACCGGCTGCAGCGTCACTGCCGCTAGCGCCTAAGACGCGAACCGCCTCATGTAATGCGGTGACCGCTTGCATAGTCCGTCCTAGTTCAAGTAACACAAGGCCACGGGCCGTATGTAAGGACCCGGTAAGGCCCCTATCTTCATAGCCACCAACGCTCGTAGAACCAGCAGATACAAGACCACCCGCTCCTGCACCTGCGAGTGCCGCTCCATAACCAGTCGCAGACCCGCCGGCTCCGATTCGAAGGGATTCATCAAACTCCGCCAGTGCTTCTTCAAAATGTCCCAAACGACGCAGAGCATGCCCTAAATTAGCTCTCGTGGCGAGCCACGCACCTGGGTCACAATTTAATGACGAGGCCAAGGCTAGCGCTTGGCGAAATAATTCGACGGCACCTTCAAGGTTATTTTCGTGGTATAAAACGACCCCTAGTTCATTAAGCACCAGTGGGTCGCCACCTGATGGAGCAGGCGATTGAGATAATGACTCAGTAGAAGATGGAATGGTATCAGACATTGAGCCGGATGACATTGAATAGGCGGCAGACAAATACTCGTGAGCCAGAGACATGTTGTTTAGAGCAAGATGCTGCATTCCCAAAAAGAGTTGCGGAAGGTGACTTCCTTGGAATAACCTCGCAGCAGTACTGTATGCTGCAATTGCCTGGTCATGTTCACCCTCTGCAGCGAATGTGTGAGCAAACCCGATCCAGGCTGGGGCTGAATGAGGATCCAAAAGGGAGGCCTTGGAGAAAAAGCGTCGGGCTTCAGAAATTTTACAAACAGACATGTAGTATACACCAATAGCGAGATATGTATATGATTCCCCTGGAACGTTATCGGCAAGAGTATGGGCAAGCAGAAATAGAGCGTTGGTGGCGCCCGTCTCATATAAACATGCGAGATGGAGAGGGTAAACGGCAGGCGAATGGCCAAGGTTATGACCTTGACTTCCCTGTGAGGCAAGCATGGGTCCAGAATCATCAGAAGATGAGAGAATAGAGGATGTAAGTGACAATGCCTCGGGGAATCGACACTGAGTATAGAGAGTTTCTGCACGAGAGAGAAGAAGATCAGGGTTATCGGCAAGATTGTAATGTGTGGATAGCGTTTCTGTAGCGTAAGAGAGAGCATAAGGGGAGGAGTATTTCGATAGGCGAGTTGTATATAGGAGTTTCATAAATTCAGCGGCTTCTTGAGCTATTGATGGGTCTGTACAATACGTAATGGAGTCGAAATCGAGGGATTCTAAGAACTCGAGCTCCTCCGCTGGAGACATAAGAGAGTTTTTCATAAGTTGATCGAATGCCTCAAAGCACTGCACATCAATTCGCACAGCATCTTTATAACAGTCCCTGGCTCTATCGAAAGCGTTTTGTCGGGCATAGCATAATCCGCGCAGGTAGCACATGGCAGCCTCAAACTTGATGTTTTTGGCATCTTCCCGTTCTCTTTCTTCGCTTCTTTCAACGCGATCTGCCCGAGAGGAAGCACTTTTCCCATTGCGCAACGTAATATTGAAATTCCCATTCAGATGCTGTAATTTCCGCCGGGTATTGCTGGAGGAGGCTACAAGGTGGGTAGGGTTATTGTCACCAAGAATGGTGAGGGCTTGGTCAAATTTGTTTTGCTTGATATAGCAATGCGCTGCCAGATATCTACATGACGAACTCCGGGCGATCAAATCTTTCTTCGATAGTAACGCTAGTGCTCGAGTATAATTGTTGTTTGAGAAATGTACCTGTGCAAGCCAGAATGCATCATTGTCACTGTCTGGGAATAAATGTCAGTTCACAGTGAAATGCACGCCATTGAACTAGAAATTGAAAAGCCTCACTTGTAAGGGCGAGCACCTTGTCGCCTATGTAGATAGCTGCATCATGCTGGCCTTTGTTCAGGGCGTCCTGCCGCCAGCTGCGGAGAAAGGACTCCATGAAGCGTCAAGCGCGGTACCCCTCAAAATTCCGTGTTCAGGGACAGTCACTCATCCGGACTGAGTTGGACAATTCATGTAGATGGTTCCCCCGCGTGCTTACTAGGTAGAAGGTTTGTTTTGTTGGGATGTTGAGCTTGTCGCAAAAAGCTCGCTGTTGATGTTTCCCAGCGAGGAAGAAGCAATCGAGATGTGGTCTGTGCGTCTGTTGACATCACATGGCGGGTATCGGTACGGTAATCTGTGTATTTGTATATTTAGCCGACAAAACAATACCTAGTATATTGATGTACTGTGTACTTCATATATTTTATAACAGAAGTTCTGTTTACTCTTGTGATGAATGGACAAAGTAGAAACAACCTTCGAAACTATATCCTAAATTCACTGGTACTTTGTTTGTCGAGGTTCTGTTCTTGCTCGGAGCTACAGGAGGGAGCTGAATACCACGTGTGATCTTGAAGCCTCCCCCAAAGTTCGGTGGCGCGAACCTCAACCCTGCCACAATTCACGCCACGTCTGCTCTTCAACCACCTCATTCTAATCTGCCAAAGTGATAAATAGCCTCATATATAACTATCCGTTACTAGTTATCCACAATTTCACTGAGAAAGACGCTCATTTACTTAGCCCACCATGTCTGAACGCAAAGTGCTCACAAAGTACTATCCCCCGGACTTCGACCCGTCCGTCATAACGCGGACACCTAAACACCTACGGGCAACGGGTCCCAAGCTCCTAACAGTCCGCCTGATGGCTCCATTCAGTCTAAAATGCACAAATTGCGGTGAATACATATACAAAGGTCGCAAGTTCAACGCGCGCAAAGAAACTACAGAAGAAAAATATCTAAACATCCCCATTTATCGCTTCTATATTCGCTGCACTCGGTGCAGCAGTGAAATAACCTTCAAAACCGACCCCAAGAACATGGACTATACGTGCGAACGCGGTGCTAAGCGTAATTTTGAGCCCTGGAGGGAAGCCAAGGAAAGTGAGGTCAATGAAACAATGGATGAGACGCTGGATAGGTTGGAGAGGGAGGAGGGAGACAAGGAAGAGAGGGAAGAGCGGGATAAGATGATGGAGTTGGAGGAGAAAATGCAGGATTCGAAGCGCGAGATGGCAGTGGCGGATGCTTTGGATGAGATTCGGACGAGAAATGCGAGGATTGAGCGGGGGGAGAGAGGGGCTGGTGAAGAGGCGGCGTTGCTGAAGGCACAACGAGAGGCGGACGAGGAGAAACTTAGGGCTGAGAGGGAGGATGAGGAGGCTGCGAGGAGGGCATTTATGACAGATGGTGGAGAGAGGGTTAAGCGACTAGTGGAGGATGAAGCCTCTTCATCGGGTGGGGCGACACCGGCTGTTGAGAAGTCCGATATGCCACCACCTCCCTCGTTTGCTAGGGTGCGAAAACCGAAGAAACCGTTTAACGCCGGTCTTGGGATTAAGAAGAAGCCGCCGCTGGTTTGAAGTTCGTTTATGGTTCATAGTACTTGCATCTGGTCTCGAGCATATCTGGGCGTTTATCACTGCGGTTGGAGCATTGTCATTGGATACATACCAAGGGAGTTATACAATTCATCAATAAAGGATGTGAAATTTTTGTTTTTTAAGTATGTTCTAAGCCAGTTGGATATGATGTATGAGTAACATTTATAGAGAAATTTAAATGTAATTTCATCAATACATACAGATAAATAAATACTAAAATTATTCCTAGGCCTCCATAGAATTAACCCCACAAACCCCTGACGCCACGCTGAGCAATGATAGACAGACCATTGCCTGCATTTTCCGTCCCCAGTTCATTTCAGAGCCGTCATTGCGTTTTACAGTATTCGAAATAAAAATAAAAAACAATAGGAGGTTGTTACTAACAATAAACAACTGAAAGGTAAAAAAGTCGGATCAATGTTTTTAAAAAATAGTACAAAGGAAGTTAGAAATTGATAGAAAGAGAAATCACAAAACAACCACAATGATAAAAGGGTGAAAAAGAAGAAACCACAAAGCAATATCACAGAAGGGGTACTGAGTAAAAGAAGAGAGAAAACAATCCATGAGCGGCACATCACAAATAGGGCATCCACAACGCGTCACTCTGCGCTAGGTTCTGCGGATTAACCGCCCTCGAAATAAGGTCAATGACGGATTGGTTGGCAGGCAAGTTTCCGTCAGGTGGGCTCGCAAGGCTAACAGCCCTATTGACAATGAATTCACAATTGCTCTGTACCATATCTCGCAGCTGGCTCTCAATCGGCGAAGCTCGCTGCGCGGTGGACCAGAAGATCATTTCGTCACGGACGAAGAGGCTCAGTTGCTGCTCCAGCTCATGTCGTGGCTCAGTAAGGCAACGGGCAATTGCCATCACTGCACAGGCGAAGATACCTTCAGTGGCCAAGGGGCCCATCAATGTTTGGATATTTGGTGTAAGGCGGAAAGGCACGTGTTCAGGGTTGAAGAAGAGAGGTTTGGCTGTGTGCATGTTGGGGATCAATTCGGATCCCCAGATATCTCCTGTGGCACGGGAGATGGAGATCTTGTTCGGGTAGCGGTTGGTCATGTGCATGACATATGTCATGAACGCGACTGCAGCATATTGGTAGGAGAATTGGCGACGGAAAAGCCAGAAATCAGCGAAGTTGGGATATGTTTGCTGGAAGAACTCGAGCAGGATCGTGTTAGGAACCCATTTCTGTTGGATAGCGGAGAAGATTTCTGACCGCAGAACTAAGGACTGTTCAGACGTGCGCTGTTCATTATTACGGTTAGTAAAGGGTTGTGGTAACGATTGCGATCCAAAATCACTCACATTTAGTTTCGTCTCGGCCAGCGACCGCATCTTTTCCATGGTGAACAGCACAGGCTCGTCTTTGCTCATGCCGGTCCGTCGGCAGTGGTCCTCATAGACTCCCTGCAGCGAAATATACGACGGATCATCCTTAACAAGCCGGATATGAGGGGCGAGGGGAACCATGAGGGGGAGATGGAAATAAATATTGCGACGCCGGCTCTCCTTTCGTTTAGAGAGGATGCCGTTGAATATCCGGAAGAGTTGCAAAATCCGCTCCTCCCGGCGACAATGGCGTGCAGCAGGATGTTGAACAGCAAAGCAATGTAAACTACCATCATGACCACGCATCTTCAAACGTCGGTGGCAGACCCCGATCCCACGCACAAGTTCAACATTCGGTAGGAAGCGATCGATGCGGATAAAGTCCTGGTTTTTATCTCTGTACTCCAGGTATTGCCCGGGAACTTCAATCTCATCGAATTTGAGGAATTTGAACTCGCTGAGGTGAGGAGAGAATGCTTCGAGGGATTGTGTATGTGGTCGTCGGTCAAGCTTTTCTTCGAACTTATCCCGCCATCGTCGTAGCTTGTGGATGTACTCGTGCATGGTCGGCTTCTTGACAACGAAATCAGCCTCGAATGACTTGCGGATATGCGCGGGAAGAATAGTCTCCGCGAAGCGAGTAATGTTGCCCTCTGTCGCTGGAGGAAGTTTGAAGTCTTGTGCATACGAAGCAGGCATCCGACCCACATAAGCAAGACCATCATTAAGTAAAGCAACGATAAGTCTGTATGCATCTTCATCCGGCGGGCACTTGAAGTTCTTGTGGATTTGGTCGACCATTGTCTCCATCGAAAGCGCTAGGAGGGGGAATGCGGTTTTAAGGGTAGCCATGACATCTTCCGCGTATTCCCACGATTTCTTAAGCGGCTCCTTCTGTGGAGCGTCTGGGTCTGGCTTTTGCTGCAAGGGATTCATGGCGCCTGGTTGTCCAGGTTGGCCGAGCTGGCCTACTTGTCCCATCTGCCCCGGTTGCCCCATCTGCCCAGGCTGTCCTACTTGTCCCGGCTGTCCCATTGGTCGGGGTTGTCCAGTTTGGCCAATATGAGGCGGCTGTCTAGGTGAGGTCTGCGCATCTGTGGTACCATTAATCGCAGAACCATCAGATCCGGCCGTTCCAGGCTTCGACTCCGGTGTGCTATCTTTGATGCCGATGCCCGGAGATTGTTGCTGCTGCTTCGCCCGGTTAAGCCTCTCCTGTTTCTGCTCATGCGATCTGCGGATAGAAACTAAATCCTCACGGCATGTCCTTAACAAGAAGAACAGAGATTGTGGGTATAACTTGGCGATCTTGCTTAGAACTGCTTTGGACAATCTTGCTTCACGGTGGGATAGACTAGTGAGCAGCTGTGGGATGAAGGTAATCCAGTACCAGACAGGCGTATCACCCTTGAAATTTTCAAAGGCGGAGGCAATTTTCCCTTCTTCGTTGTCCAGACTCAGCAGCCAAAGAATGCGACTCAGAAGCTTTCTTGATTTGGAACTCTTGTATAGACCAGCTGCCTCGAGGTAGCAACTAACGGCATTACTTGCAAGTTCTATTTCCTTAGGAGATTCTTTGAATCGTTGATCGCTGTATTGACCCCATTCAGCCCAGGCTTTGGCGAGTCGTAGATCGTAGTATAGAGCAACCCCAAACGCTTCGTTGGCCTCATTGGTGTGATTGAGCTTAGCCAGGAACATCCCCTTCAATGTATAGAATTCGGCCTTTTGTTGGGCGTTGAAGTAGTTCAGGTTCGTATTGTTGATCACGTCGAGTCCGCTGTTAAGTTCCTTCGGGTTCTGGTAATGGCACTTGGCTTGCTCTCTTAATTTGAGGAAGGCTTCTTGGATCTCAATATTTGGTAGTGTGTAGATGCGACTAAGCTGGTTGATACACACTTCGGGCATTTGGTGTTTCCGTGCAACATGAGCAAAGCGGTTGATAATCCAGGCTGTCTCGTGATAACCTCGGTAAGCGTATGAATTGCTAGTAACAGTATTTGACTGGGGAAGAAGGCTGAGATAAGTCCCATTAATTAACTGGAAAATGTGCTGTCGCCACGTAACTAAGTCTTGCCAGGCATTAATATCGTCCCACACGTTTGGTAATCGATCACGCCAGGTTGCCAACAACATCTTCAGCTCCCCAGACTTGGTGTCTAGATTCCTTTCATTTGTCTGCGCCAAGCTGGTACAGATAACGCTTGCATCGTGGAGCTCGACTAGCTGCTGGAAATTCTGAAGAATCGGAATATGTGCGTTCGTAATCCGTTTGGGAAGCTGGTGCCACTTTCGGATCGACAACTGAATGGATTCATCGCATATATTATTAAACTCCTGGGGGCCATCTTGCTTCCCATGGAACTTGAGAAGAGACATGAAGGCCTGGAAGAACGTCCGTCGAGGAGTTGGGGCATCGGAAACAGATTTTATCAGGGAATCCAACTGATCGCGATTCGCTTCGCCCTGCCAGTTGTCAAGGTTTCTCCAGGTCGCTTCCAAGAGAAGGTCGTTGAAGTTTTCATGTTTCGCGAAATCGCTAAGTATCTCCCATTGCTGCAGCTTCTGCGCACAAATCATCCAATGGTCCTCCCAGAGGAAATACTCTCCTTGCGAGAATGGAACTGCCCCAGTACGCGCCTTGATTTGAGCTGACTCGTACAGTTGCTGTGCCTTATCCCACATTCCCTGTTGTTCATAAGACAGCGCAGCATTGGTTTCGACAAATTTACACCGTCTTCGCCAGGTGCCGTAGAACAAATCATCTTCCTGTAAACCAGCGTAAAGTTCAACAAGAGCGTCGAGGTTACTTTCACGCACGGCGGGAGTGTCGATCAGCGGACTAATAGCCGATTCCTCAAGGGCGCAAGCAGCAATATACCAAGCATCGTACGTGCGACTGAGATACTTCATGACATGCGGTGGGATCTTGAAACGCGGCTTAGCTCTGACCACACCTTCGAGAAGTGCTTGGATAACATTTGGTCGATCGTCAATTTGGCCGCGATTATACTCGCGCGTGAGCAAAGTTACCATGCCTTTCTCCAAGTCGCTCCGCTCATCCCGATTCAATGTAGACCAACAAACAGTAAAGAGTGTCACCCAGATCCGATAAGCAAGTTTGGTATCTGCATGCTGGAGCTGCGAAAGGGGCTCCAGAATATCACGAACTTTAACATCACCCAGTTCCTGGCAGAATTTTCTGTGGTCTGAAATTAGAGACTCCAGATTGCTGTCCACCATCAGACCATCCTTTCTGGGATCTTTCTCTGAGCTTCCGAAGAGGAATGCAGTGGGCGAAACCGTAAAGTCTTCCTGGTGGAGTCGAGCGGGCGTGGTCATGTCTATGGAGCCAATAACCAACTGAGACGCCTGTGTGAGCCAGAAGGAATCGGCAAGCGTGTCCCAATTTTGCGACGTTAGTACATAGCTGAGCCGAGTATTTGCCGATCGTGTCAAGCTACGGTCAAAAATGGCCATGAAGCGATTGCGCATTTCGACATCTTGTGCGCGGGTGCCTATGAGGAAAGCGTGTTCCAACCGAACCGTCAACTCGGTTCTCGTGATCTTAGGGTCCTCGTAGATGCGAATGACTAGCTCTAGGAATTGTTTGAGGGGTGTCTGATCTGGCCTGGATTCGAAAAGCAGCATCTTATGCAACACTGCAGTTTTCTCCTTGAGCGTCGGCCAAGACTCCGTGGAGTCGAATATCCAAGACTCAGCCATTCGCAGGATCTTAGTACAAAGGCGGATGTCTTGAGAGCGCTCGACAAGCTGAGCAAGCACGCTAAGGAAAGGTCTCCGCTGTTCTCCTAGGTAGGACATCCTCGTAGCGAGGAGATCAATAGTCTTCGAAATCAGGTCGACGCCAATTTCAAACTCTGGATCATCAGAAGAAGGGTGTTGTTGTTCCCCAGGCCGCATATTGGCCATATTTCCAGCAGGATTGGCAGAGTTATTATTGCCGCTGTTCGCGTACGCAGCTACATGATCCTTCGCAAGCTTTAGTGAGAATATCTTCATGACGTGAAGAACATGCTGGTCGATCTCTGCTGGTTTGCACTTCGACAAGGTCCAAAGGATGTTGATGGCCGCAATGTAATTGGTGGCGGACAACGCCTCTGTGGCGATT